GGTAGTGGGACCATCCATCCCATAACTTTCCAGTTTATCAAAAAGAAGGTTATGATCTACTTTATATAATGCTGTACTGAAGTCTACTTCATCCACAGCATTATCCTCATCTACTAATCTAATCACACTGTCAGACAAAGCACAACCTGTTTTTAACAAATCCATGCTGACTTCTGGTCATCACTTTATTTCCAAATACTTGCAAACCCACTGCTTGATTATCTATCCCCAGAAGAATATTCCTGGCACTGGGAATAATGCAGCATTCAAGTCCCAAAACTTTCTGGAACAACCAAGCTTTTTACAAATTACCAAAAAGCCAGAAGTAGGAGATATCCTTTTTCTAAAAAGGGAACCCCCATGGAAAATACCCACCAGGGGGAGGGCTTCTTGACCCTTGAATTTTCATTTTGAAATATTTCATGTGTTAGTGCAGCTCCCACAGCAAAAATGTCATTGGCAGTAATAGGACTGTGCAGTAAACATACTAAAGTTTTCAGTGGTATTCGAGGACAGTTCTATGTAAAAAGAATTATAGCAAATGGATACTGTAAGATGACAAAGCTGTGAATGAACTAAGATGTTAAGACATTCATAAAAAGATGGAAATTTTAATTTTCCTGATTTTCATCTATACTACTGGGCTTCTATTTTAACATCTATTATTTCCTAGAAATCAAAAGAATTACTTCAAAGGCCATTATGGGCACAATTAGAAAATCATTATTAAATAATAGGTACTTAATTTGATATATGACTCCAGTTTTACAAACAACTCAGTTGCTTTTTCTATATATAAAACTATAGATGTTTTGGGAATATGCTGGAAAAATCAGATTTTATTTAAATTTTCACCAGACTTTATAGGGAAAACAAACTTTAAAATGCCTGCAAATCATATTTCTGAATTGAAAAAGGACAAAAATTTCATTAATAATTTAGATTAGCATGCTGCTGGTCAGTTTTTCAAAATGTTTGAGACTTTGCAAAAACAAATAGACTATGCAAAACTGCTCAATAATATAAGCAGTAAAATATCTCTGTATTATATATTTTGCATCATATTCATTATTCTACTTATTAATATCACTAGAATATGTTTTAATTATCTTAATTACAGTTAAATTTATTCAAATTAGAAAAAGTTGAATTGGTAGGTCCATCTGAATGAACGGCCATTAAAATTTGAAATAAGGTAGGATATTCAACAAATCAGCTAGGATTTTAAACAACATTGAATTATTATTGCATGATCTTGAGATAAATTCAACGAATATTTTTTGGGACTATTGGGCACTTCAGGGGATGTGCAATAATGATTGGCTTTCAAATTTTGTATTTTGGAAATGTCATATGCCAGAAGGAATTCTAGGGTGTTTTGGACTTGCCCTCACATTGGCATATGTTGGGTTAGTAAGGTTGTAAACAGGATGTTGGGAAAAGAAACAAAGGTCAAAGATGTAAATGTGTTGGTGAATTATATTGTGAAAATTTGAACCCTATATAACTTTTAAGAAATATTGCATGGGCAGCAATTAAGATAACTGTGGGGTTCTTGGTGTTCTATGAGCTTGGTTGTTTTCTTGCAAATGTTTCCTTACCCAACTAGGTAATATCATCAGTGGTCAAAGGAAGTGGGATTTGCTCTCTGTTTATATATGAGTGGGTTATCCTATCAGTGTTGGTGGGAGTGTTCTTGGTGGTTCCTTGATTAGTATGTTGTTTACTGCTTGATTGTTGGTCTAGTATTAATCTTGGTGTCAATCTCTGTTTATAAACAGAAATTAAAACTCACTCCCTTCTAATATTACCTTCTAAAGGTAATATCTGATGATATTATCTAGTTGGACAACGAAGTGTCTGGAAGAAAACAACACGCTCAGAGAGCACCAAGGACCCTGAATGCAACCTTTAAATATTCACTTCTATTGGCATTATGATGATTGTCCTACTATAGTAGAAAGAATGCACACTTCAACATCCTGAATGGAAGAAATACTTATATATGAACTGCTTTTCTATGGGGTTAAAGTTTAATTTATTCTTTAAGACCAGACACTCTTGCATGTTTTATCATTCTATGTATTTCTATGTACATTTCTGTACTTTATTTTTTGGCTTCTCTTTTTTCTTCCTTGTATTATCATTTGTTCTTGTATCTAGTTATTTTCCTTTTCTAATTTTATTATACATTAAAAAGCAATAGGGATAGCTCCATTGCAACAGAGACAATTGTGGCCCCTACCCCTAAGCCTTTTTCTGATTATATTAAATAACTCCTGTAATTAATGGGTGCCATCTAGTGGTACTCTAAATTTCTGCAGCCCGGATTGTGGAGTGTGGAGAGGTACTGGTAGGTCAGTTTACAGAATGTATATAATGCCTCAGACACAGTAAAGTATATTGTAAGCACAATTTGAAATTGGGGTTTAACATTATTTTAGTTGCAGTCATTTTTCTAAGGCAGTTCTTCCCGCATTTTACATTACTCATCATCAAAATCCTGCTACCGTAATTGAGCATTGCTGGCACCTGCAGTTACCTAAAATGTATGTATTCAGTCATCCCAGATGGCATACAGATTCAAAATGTCTGACTTAAAATAGCTCTTTATATTGTCTATTTCAAAAGACATGTTCTAGGATTCAGTTAGCAAATCCTGTTGTAACTTTCTTCAATCTGATAATAGCTGTTAACTGCAAACCAATCAGTGATATCACAACAGACCAGGCTAGCTAGACATTCTTAAAGTTGTCTATTGCCACACAAAGGGTTTGAGGAAAATTATTATAGTATAGCTTTTATTGTCATTGTACATCATGTATACAACAAAATTGGTTTTAGCCTCACTGGTGCAATCCATGACAAAAAATACAAACATAAATAATATAAAGAATAATCCCTATGCAAGTAATTAGGGGGGGAAAAAGAAAGAAAGAAAAAGAAAAACTAGTCATAGGTTTCCGTGTGCGCATGGAATGATTGTAGTTGTGTTTAAGAGTTTGACAGCCCAAGGATAGAAACTATTTTTAAACCTATTTGTTCAGCTGGCTATGCTTCGATGTCTTCTGCCCAATGGTAGAAGTGCGAAGAGACACTGACTATTCTAGTCTGCATGGGATTCTTACTTTCATCCGCTGTTAGGGAATGCAGCCTAGATCCATTCATGTAACACTAAAGGTAAAAGTTCTCTCACACATATGTGCTAGTTGTTCCTGACTCTAGGGGGCGGTGCTCATCTCCGTATCAAAGCCAAAGACCCAGCGCTGTCTGAAAACATCTCCATGGTCATGTGTCTGGCATGACTAAATGCCAAACACGCATGGAACGCTGTTACCTTCCCACCAAAGGTGGTTCCCTATTTTTCTACTTGCATTTTTTACCTGCTTTCGAACTGCTAGGTTGGCAGAAGCTGGGACAAGTAACGGGAGCTCACCCCATTACACGGCACTAAGGATTTGAACCGCTGAACTGCCGACCTTTCAATCAACGTCAGCATCTTAGCCATTGCGTCATAATTATAGTCATAATTAGCATGAGACTAATTACAAGGACGGTGAAGATTAAAAAATAAATCTCCCAAAAGGTCAATGTACTAACTAACTAAATCGAGCAAAAGCACAGCCAACAGGGTAGCAGCAAACCAATAGGCAAGACATATTACTTCAGCTTTCTGAACAGCTATACTGTCAGATCTCTTTCGAGGTTCAGTGTGGTCGCCAGTTCTGATCAGTGTGCGCTCTTTGCACGGTGGGACCTGTGTCTTGTTCCAGCCCCCAAATCCCCTGCCAATCCCCACCTCAATCTGCTGCTACAGGAAGTTCCTACATCATTTCAGTTCGACCCTGTTAATTTATGACTAGGCTGGCGAAAGCCTAGTACATTCAGATTAACAGAATTGGAAGGGACCTTATAGATCATCTAGTCCAACCCTCCGCTCAAGCAGGAGACCCTACACCATTTCTGACAAATGGCAGCCCAATCTTTTCTTGAAAGTCTCAAGTGATGAAGCTCCCACCACTTCTGAAGGCAAGCTGTTCCATTGGTTGATTGTTCTCACTGTCAGAAAGTTCCTCCTCATTTCTAGGTTGAATCTCTCCTTGGTCAGTTTCTATCCATTATTCCTTGTCTGGCCTTCAGGTGCTTTGGAAAACAGCTTGACCCCCTCCTCTCTGTGGCAGTCTCTCAAAGACTGATAGTACAGTCTCTCAAAGCCTTGATAGTACAGTGGTTTAATGCACCCTGTTATTAACACAGCTGCCTGCAATTTCTGCTGGTTCGAATCTCTCCTCAAGGTCGACTCAGCCTTCCATCCTTTCTAAGGTGGGTAAATTGAGGACCCAGTTTGTGGGGGCAATAAGCTGACTTTGTAAAAAATATACAAAAGAATGAAGGCTATTGCTTAACGCATTGTAAGCCGACCTGAGTCTCCGGAGAAGGGCGGCATATAAATCAAATAAAAAAAAAATAAAAAAATATTGAAACACTGCTATCATGTCTCCCCCGGTCCTTCTCTTCACTAGACTAGCCATGCCCAGTTCCTGTAACCGTTCTTCATATGTTTTAGTCTCCAGTCCCCTAATCACCCTGACAGAATTTAGCATATGATCAGTGTGTGTGTGTTGAACAAATGCAGGCTAATAAAACAAACCACGGATTTCCGCGCCTAGATCCCGGAGCCTAGATCGCTCTCGGATCGGATCTTTTAAATTATTATTATTTTTTTGCAATTATTATTATGCTTTTAGCAACGCCAAACTCAATCTTGCAATCTCTTTAAACAAGTCCGGCGTCCCCCCCCCCCCCCCCCCCCCCCCCCCCAAAAAAAAAAACCAAAAAAAAAACAACACAACCGCCGCGGCCACTTCACCTGCATGGCAACGAAATCCGAGGCCAGCGATTAAAAAGCAAACGCGGGCGGTTCACGCCATTTCCTCTTTTCCTCTTCCGGGTCAGAGCATCACGAGGCGAGGGCAGGAGGGGGGAGAGGAGGCAGGAGGAGGAGGAGGAGGAGGGAGGGGCGTTCGGAGGGCCAGCGATGGCGGCTCCAGAGCAACCGGAGGCTGAGGTACGTACGCCAGGTTCGCACGTGCTGCGCCCGCGGGAGCTTGTTGTGGAAAAGGGTGGTGGTGGCTGCGCGCGCCCGCCCGCCCGCGGGGCGTGCCTTCCTTTGAGAAGCTCCCAGCCTAATTGGTAGAGACGCGCAATGAAAAGAAGGGTCGCCAGGGGTTTTTTTGTTTGTTTGTTTTGTGGCGGAGGCGAAGGATGCCGCTGGGAGTAGCCGCTCGGTTTTGCAGAGCGAGGGAGGGAGGGAGGGTTGCAGCGGGTTGCATTTTTTTTCCCAGGCACCACCGGTGCCAGCGCCAGATCTGGTGAATGGTGAGGCAGTTGCACACCTGTTGCATGGAGAAGGTTTGAGGACGTCCGTTTTTTTTTTTAAAAAAAATAATAATAATAAATCCACTTTCCAGCTTTCCCGAGCGAAAAGCTTTTTGTAAGACACGAGTTGTGATGCCGTTTTCTATAGTTCCGCAACCGAACGCAACTGCGTTTGACAAACATGTTGAGAGGAAGTGTTAAGTTAGACGGACTTTTCAGCCTAATCTAGGCACGAAAGATGAGCGGACGGTAAACTAACTGCAGATGTCCCAAAGAAAGTCCAGTTGCCTCTTGGAAAAAGCACCTTTGGGACAACCATGACCCGGATGACTTAGAATCTCCATAGACATTATCTAGAGATGTTATCCTGCCAAAGTCAGAAACTGTCACTTCTAACTGCTCATCTTCCCAGGGTCTTGCTCTCCGTAGTACGGTGTTGTATATATCACTCATTTGGGCTCCTGCTCTTATTAGCTAAAAAGTTGTATGTAACTTTACTTGGAAAGCCCACTAATAGAATAGAATTTACTTTCAAGTGAGTTTGTCTATGTCTCAGTTTACTACTGCGAAGGGAAAAAAATGGACCTTGAATAAAATTGTCTTATTTAAACCAGTATGTCTGAGAAAAGGTTAGCATGTATTTGCTTGATGCTCTTGGCTGTCATTAGATCGTCTTCTGTCACTTGTCATGTGCAAATGATCGTTTCAAGGAACATGCTTGCTGGAAACCTGTTTGCAGCAAAAAGATTTAACATGATTAGCATTTTATTAGCATTTTAGAAATTATTATTGAAATGATTTTCTGAATCATTGACATAGCAAAGCAGTAGAAACCATTACTTACCACAATTAGCCAAGTAAATATACCAAGAGCCAGCCTGTTACAGAAGGTTGGTGTTGGACAAGGATTAGAGAAATGTGAGTTCTCATCCAACCTTACCTGTGGAAATGTTTTTGTTTTCAGTCAAATCTGTTTAAGCCTCTAATCTCTGAAATTTTCCAAAGCCAACAATCCTCTTGTATATTCCCAAATTCGGAGAAAGGCGGCATACAAGTTGAACAAACAAACAAATAAAAAATACAAATCCAATTTATAGCTAAACTCTTTTATTCACTCAATTTCAATAAAACTTGCCAGTCCAGAAGTTCTTGATCTTTAAAGAAAGCCAAAGAATAAAGTGATTAAGTCCAAAGTGATTAAGAGATGAGCCCTTTAAGAGTCCATATAGGCAAATTTAATACTATAAGCACAATGGAATTCTGTGATTCTGAGCTGATTAACAAGCTGATTGGAAAGACACAATTCCTGCCTCCTCCCAAAAAAATGCAGCTGTGTGGGTAATCTATCTTTAACTCAGCCACCCAATTGCTGAAGTTGGATGCTCTTTTTTTGGCTACAATGTGTTCCATTCCATTCTCTTCACTTCACCATATATACCGGTAAATAAAAAGGTAAATAAATAATACATGGTCATGAATGCTCAGGTTCCTCATGCAGTAGACTACCGTCTTTGTCAAATTTTCTAAGATTTAATGGTAGATACTGTGTATCCCCAAAAATAAGACCCAGTCTTATATTTTTTGAACCCTGAAATAAGCACTTTTGTAACTAATATAGCACCCAGCAGAGAAATAACTACCATGTTTTCCCGAAAATAAGACCCTGTCTTATATTTTTTTGAACCCTGAAATAAGCACTTTGCCTTATTGCCATGCACTCAAAAGCCTGATTGCGCTTATTATCAGGGGATGTCTTATTTTGGGGAAAACAGGGTATCATTTCAATCTCATTTCATTTCTAACAATGTTTTTCACGTTTTTTAATCCAGCAATTTACCTGTGGCTTTTTGTTTGATCTGTCAGAATTACTCTATAAAGTGGGAGAAAAAAGTCCAGTTAAATACATTGTTTTATACATTCAGTAGCCCCCCCCTTTCAGCTTTAGAGCATGAAATTAAATGTGAATGTGATAACTTCTGTTTTGTCATATAATACAGGTAACAATTTAAATACCAAATAGCTTTTTAATGATTGAAAAAACACATGGGCGTATTTCCTTTCCAAAGGCCCAGATTGTTGGGAGCAATATGCTGACTCTGTAAACCGCTTAGAGAGGGCTGTAAAGCATTGTGAAGCGGTATATAAATCTAAGTGCTATTACTAATGATTTTTTTAAAATTTGCAGATAGAGGAGGCTGGACAGGTGTTCCTCTTGATGAAGAAGGACTATCGAATTTCACGTAATGTGCGACTAGCCTGGTTTCTTGGTCGTTTGCATCAGGTTATCTGCTCAATGTCTGAAGCTGAATTGGTGAGTAAATTTTATTGCAAAGCTTCTAAACATTTTTTTTGTAACGTGAGAGAAGCAGAAAGGGGTTAGTTCTTGTGATTTTAGGAAGAGTAATTCATGTACGGAATTCTGTGATTTCTTTCAATTTTTGTTTTTAGCTTTGTCTCTATTTGGTTTTTTTGTTTTGTTGAAGGTAAAGTCAGACAGTGAGTTAGATATTCTCAGCATCCTGCCAAACAGCTGGCAACCTGATGAGCCTTTGCAAATTAAGCCGTACCTCCTAGTGCCTTCAACACATGTCACTTTCCTTGCACACCAGTACCGTTTTGTGATTGAACTGGATTTGAGTCCATCTACAGGGATTGTAGTAAGTATATTACTCTCCAAATTGTAATTTGAGGTTCTCCATCCTTTTTCTTTGGCTGAGAGTGCTTCCTGTTTAGAACTCCCAAATACTGCATATCCCCTCTGAAGAGAAACTTGCCTACTAGCTCCTATTTTTAAAAATCTAGTTTATATTTATGGAGATGTTTAATCTGCATATCTTCACTGGTGAAAATTATTATGAGTTCTGAATATTTAAAATGTAAAATTCTTAAGACATATTTCCAGGTGAGTGGAAATAATTACCTCTGAGGTAAATTAAGGAAAACTTGCATATCCTCTCTCTTTTTTTTTCCAGGATGACTCTCCTGGGGAGATAATTTTTGATGAAGTGTTCTATGCTCTCTCAAGGTGTTTAGGAGGATTGTTAAAGCCCTTTAGAATCCCAGGTTCTGATATTATATTTCAACCTGAGATTTTCATCACTATCCAAGCATATTCTTCTATCATTAGCCTACAGATGCATCAGGTAATTCTTATATCTTCAGTTTTGAGATGTTTAGGTGAAATACTTTTGAGATGTTTAGGTGGACTACTGTAATGCTCTCTACATGGGGCTCCCCTTGAAGAGCACTCGGAGGCTCCAACTGGTTCAGAATGCGGCCGCGCGGGTGGTTATGGGCGCACCTCGTTACGCCCATGTAACACCTCTCCTGCACGAGCTGCACTGGCTCCCAGTGGTCTTCTGAGTGCAATTCAAGGTGTTGGTTACCACCTTTAAAGCGCTCCATGGCATAGGACCAGGATATCTACGGGACCGCCTTCTGCCACCAACAGCCTCCCACCGACCAGTTCGCTCCCACAGAGAGGGACTCCTCAGGGTGCCATCAACCAAGTTATGCCAGCTGGTGACACCCAGGAGGAGAGCCTTCTCTGTCGGAGCCCCTGCCCTTTGGAATGAATTGCCCCCGGATATTCGTAACATCTCTGATCTCCGAGTCTTTCACTGTGCCCTCAAGACCCTACTGTTCTGACAGGCGGGGCTGTCTAATTGAATGATTTTAAATTGGGTATATTGAATACAGCGATGGACTGTAATCTGCAACATTTTAAAATGGGCTAGGTAGCCTTAATTACTTTTTTTTTTTTTTTTTTTAAATTTGATTTATATGCCACCCTTCTCCGAAGACTCAGGGCGGCTTACAATGTGCTCAGCAATAGCCTTCATCCTTTTGTATATTTATACAAAGTCAGCTTATTGCCCCCACAAACTGGGTCCTCATTACTTGCGGGCATTTTGGACTTCATTTTCCATAATCTGTAACATTGACAGTAGTCAGTATGTTTTATGAAAAACATCGTCTAAAACATTCGATTTGCCTGTCTGTGTTGTAAAAAACATTTGTTGACTAGAACATGTTGCATGTAGATGGATTCTCTGGGTAACCATTTTATATGCAGCTGGTTTGACCCAGGTGAACTTTACATCTTTGGTCTAATTATATCAAACATAGATGTAATTTATGTTTTGAAAATAAAAATATTTGTTGTTTAATCTAACATAAAATGTGAGTTCTTTGTGTGGGAGTAACTTGTGCAAAATAGCAAAAAACAAACAAACCAACAACCATAAAGAGGTACAATTTGCCAACGAAATTAACACTTTAGTTACTGCTTTGTATGTATATATGTTTGAATCTGCTTTTTAAAAATGTTCTTTGTTAGTGAACTGATATAGTTCCCTTTTATAATTTTTTTGGGTTTCGTTAGTATAGCACAGTGAGTGCGAACCTTTTCACCAAATGCCGAAAAGGTTGCGTGGAAACATTGCGTGTGCACTCACACGCTCATCAGGGCCACATTCCAGAAAAGATGAACTTCCGGGTTCTAGCGCTCATGCATGCCTGACAATCAGCTGGCCGGTGCACATGCCGAACATCAGCTGACAACAGCTGATCGTCACACGCGTATGTGTGCCAGAAACCCAGAAGACAAACAGGCAAGGCCGCCTGTGCCGGGTGACATGGCTTCATGTGCCACCTTGGGCATGCGTTCCATGAGTTCACCATCACGGGTATAGCATTTGCAGGATTTCATTGCCAAATAAAACTGACAGATTTTTTCCCCATGGCCCAGGTGCTGTTCCAAGGTTGCCTGTCGAATGGAACAAAGACAGAAACCTTTTTGAACCAGGTTTATACACAGTTGTGCGCCTTTGAAAACAAAGTGGCTGAGATACTCCAACACCAATATGAAGCCAAAACTCAGGTGAGAAGCCATAGTAACTGTTTTCTTCTTGAATCAGTGGGAAATCTCTTCATATTCTTTCCTGTTCTGGGCTTTTTCTGTTTTTCCCAGCAGTCCATGCTAGGACCTTCCCCTGGGAGGAAAAAAACTAATTTTTCTACACACAGAGATTTTGTTGAAGTTGACTTAATAAGTCTTGCAAAAATGGTTCTAATTAATCGTAATTTGCTTGCCTGTCCATGGCAAATTGATCAGCTAAAAAGGAAAGGAAAGAAAACCAACATATAAAGTCAGACTGAAATTAGAAATGTATAATTAATAAATAATCTATTATAAATAGTATAATATACTATATTATATACAAAATAGTATAATAGTAAAATGTGTTTATAAAATACATTTATCATTATACATTATATAAATTGAGACACTTCTTATTCCTATTCTATTTCTATTTTATTCTATTCTAGAGCCTGTTATGCAAATTATAAGCCTATGATGCACAGATGACATGTTCTGTTTTAGCTATTTGTAAAAAGGAATACTGAGATACTATGTTTAAAATGCTGTGAATGTATTGAAATAACTATAGAATATTAAATCTTTTATGACCTATGTAAATTGTCCTAATTGTGTAAAAGAATCTGGCTTTAATTATTTCAATACTTTATTGGAATATAAAACTTGAAGGTACCTGGAGTGGATGACAATGTGCTTTGTATGCCCTGGAGTTCGGAAGTAATAATTGTTCGTACTGAATAGTAGTTTATAAAATAGTTGTCTGAAAGGGCAAGACACATGAATGTTAGAAGGAACCTAATAACTATAATCAAGGGCATATTTAGAGCTCTAAAATAGATATTTATTGTCTTATTATTATTACCCCAATTATTATCCTGATAGTGGGAAGCTCTTTCACACTTGTTGAGGATCAGAATAATTCTAGCACTACATTTTGCTAGCTTAGCAAATTGAAATTTTCTTTCTAAAGTTTCTTTTTCAAGTTTTTGTAGCATGCCTACTTTTGTGAGAACTAATGAGAAACATAATACGGGTAGCCATAGTTTAGCAACATTAATTGGGACCTCTCTGTCATTAAATGAAGTGGTTGCTGAGTGAAAAATCGTGTGACTGCAACTGTGCTTGTGATTTACTTCAGCTTTAATTTACAGCATCAGAAGGATATGGTCTTAAACAGCTGGCAGAGCCCATATAGTGAGGAAAGGTTTCAAGAATTTGACTGGCTAGGTAAAAGGGCAAATCTGCTTTTTCCCAACTCCCTCTCCCTTTGGAATGCTCACCCCAGGGGCAGGATAATTAGCAAGAAGGAAATTAATGTTTGAGTTTACATTAATTGGTGAGGGATTGTAAAAATAAGGCACACAATGGAGAATGCACATTGAAAAGAATGTGCTAGACTCAGCTGTTCTCACTGTAGAGTCACAAACTATTTGGGCAAAAATAGCCTTCATTGTGAAATTGATTATATTTTTCAGAATGGGGCAGCAGGCTGAGCCAGCCAGGGAATCTAACCAACTAGAATCCGAGCTGAGTTTGATAATTTGCACTGGTAACAAAAGCATCTCAGGAAGAGAGAACTTATTTGGACAATGTGTCTGTGAGAAGGGGAAAAAATGGATCAGTCACAGGCAACACGTACTAACTTAATGGCAAATGTGTGACTAAAAGATACTGTGAAGGTTGTAAATGCAGGCATTGGTTGCAAAATTACTTTTACATCGTTGTTGTAATTTGCAAATGATTGCTGTCTGAAGCAGTCACTGAATGAGGACTACTAGTACCTTCATTCTTAAAGCAGGTAGGAACTTAGTGAAAGAAAGCTGGGTTTCATGGCATATTCGCAAGTATTTACTCTTTCCTCCTGACTGTTGTTCTGTATTGTTGATTTTCCTTTGCAATTTCTAGAGCATTTCCCCATATTTGTGTAGAAAGCTTGAAAACCTTTCTCAGCAAAGGATCAGTAACAGTGAACGGGAGACAGCTGCTTGATGGAGATGAGCTCAGATAGGAACTATAACAATAGCTAGCAAAAGTTGATGAGACTAGTATTTCCTAACTGAAATCCTAGAATAATTGCTGTTGTTTTTTGCTGACATCTTAGTTCAAAGAGGTTTCAAGAGGTATGGTTTTATTAATATTTATATTTGGCAATACTATTTTTTTAGGTATCTTAAGCATTTCTTAGTATAAAGACACTTGGCTGTCTTAACTACAGGCTGTGGTCCAGCCAACATTGGGTTCAGGCAAGCATTCCTCTTGGGAATAGTATACTATAAAATTTTGTCTCAATGTTCTTAGTTCTAAACAAAATAAACGGAAATAGATGCTGCTGAAAACTAACTGGACAATATAAGTACATACCAACCCCCAGCTGCTAAATCTTCTTTTAAAAGTGAAAATGTTATTCATTGTACAGCAGACAAGGTTATTGAAGAAAACAAAGTCTGGGGAAGTTCTGAAATAGTTATCAGTTCAGAGGAAACCAGCTTTAGCCACCTAAAATCTATCGAAGGCAAGAAGCCTGGTTTAGTGAAAAAGCAAGCTACTCAGTGTAATACACTGTATTGCAATCACAAAGCAACAGTTAGAACAATCAGGAGAAAAAGGAGAATTGAAAACTATTTCAGCTGATGAAAAATCTAGTGAGAAAATACACTCCTCATTTAGTGCTACCCTGTTTTGTATCCATTCACAAATAAGAGGGTAATGAAACATTTTCTGACCACTACACACACTTGCAACCAAATTTTGTCTGCCTGACAAACACAAGCTGGGGTGAAAGTAATGCTGGAAAAGGCGTACAAGAGACCTTTATCTAAATGAGATGGCAGCAACCAGTAATCTTTGCAACACATCTGTGTGTCACATGTTTGCTTAGCGGTCATTTGACTTCAAATTTAGGGAACAATGTGGTTGCTAAATGAGAGGATGTGTATAGTTTTGATTAGTGATATTATGACAGATTAAAATAGCAAACTTCTAATTCGTCCTAAGACGAATTAGGACAACAGAAGTATTTTAAATCATCTAGCCCCAACTATTCTAAATGCTAGCATTATTTGTAACTTCATAAATAGAAAAACCAATATATTCTATAAAGGTTCACCAAGCCTGGAAAAATCCAAAAAGCCATTAGATTGTTTGAAATATGGAAAGACATTAGATCAGATAAACTTGGTCCAGAAATATATTTCTTCAAAAGATATCCTGCCCTGGTATCTTGATTTCTATATTTAAAGATTTATTCAGGAAAATATGGGAAGCTGAAATCTTGTCAAAAATATAAAAAAGGGTGGTTTCTGATTACACAAGAAAGAAAAAAAACATAACCACATATCCTGTTTTCCCCAAAATAAGACATCCCCTGATAATAAGCCCAATCAGGCTTTTGAGTGCATGGCAATAAGGCAAAGTGCTTATTTCAGGGTTCAAAAAAATATAAGACAGGGTCTTATTTTCGGGAAAACATGGTAATTATTTCTCTGCTGGGTGCTATATTAGTTACAAAATTATTGAAAAATATTTCTCAATTGTCATTTGAAAATGATAAAAGAACTAGAAAAATCAAGTTGGGCTTCGATCTGCATGTGTAGTTGCAATGATCAAGTAACTATTAGAATTGCAGTTTAAATTTTGTCAAGAAATTTACATAGTATTTATTCAAAGTAACAGACTATGACAGCAACTTGGATCAAGCTTCTAGCATATGGAATTACACCTAAAATATGCTGAAGGTCTTTGTTTAATCATGCTGCAAACTGTTAGGTTGAATGACAACATCTGGAATCCACAGTCAAGATTTCTCCATTAAAACTGAACTCCATTAGGATGGTATCTTGCTACTTTTATTCAATATACACATGGATTATATTTTGGGAAAATTTATTGCCTGGAAATGCTGGTGGCACTCTTATGTATTAATCCAGTTCAATAATTACAAATTTAATCTCTATTGATAATACCGTCATCCTAGCCAACACTTGAGAACTACAAGAAAATATTAGTCATCTGTATATAAGAAGGCAAACTGTTGCACAGGAACAGGTCACCATTGAGAAGGTCTGGTTCTGCTGTTCTGATCAGGTTCTGCTGATGGAACTCTGTAGAGGACAGGATCCTTGGCAGGACCTGTCTCCTAGTTCTTACTGAAAAGTCGGACCTTGAGTTTTAAACAGGGTGGATAAAAATCAATGATTTTTTAAAAAAAATAAAAAAAAATCAGATTTTTTTTATTTAAATCGGATTTTTTTGATTTTTATCGAATTTATTTTAATAAAAAACTTTTGGGGTAAAAATCTATCATAAGATAGTTTTCTATTTAAGATACATAAATAATTTAGTTTATTCAGCATGAAATGGAGCTTAATTATGTAGCATGAGGCTGTATATTCTACAACACTGGGACTATCGGTGAGTCAACAGTGGGTCAAAGGAGTAGCAGAGATGACAGTTGCTCTTTAAAAATTATGATTTAAATCAAGTTGATTTAAATCAAGCCTTTTTACTAGTGATTTAAATCACAATTTAAATCAACTCGATTTAAATCAAATCCACCCTGGTTTTAAAGGCTTAAAGATAATAACTAGGACCTCAAATTATCCTTGGCAGTTGACGGATAGGTGAAGACACGTTTTGTAAGTAAAACTAGATGTACCCATCATTATTTAGATCATGAATGCTGATCAGGTTTAAGTTGGTCAGATGATCTTCAAGGGCAGCCTCAGGTAGAGCCCCAAGTAGAGAGAATTCCAGTAGTCCAGTTGTATTTATATGGACCAATGGATCAGTGAAAACTGACTTTTGAGAGGAATTAATAAAAAAGGCTTGAGGTACCTGTAATGAAAAACATATACTTCTGAGGTATAGTTATTAGAGTTTCTTCTGTTCTTGCAGGTGGACTTGTCATCCCTTAACCAGGAGCATGTTTGTGACACTCAGGAAATGCCAGGGAAGAAGTTGGGAGTTTCAATGGTTACAGCTGATGTTGGACTTGTCAGTATGATTCGACAGGGAATTTTGGCATTGCAGCTGCTTCCTTCCAATTCCACTGCAGGTGAGTGGGATCTTTTTAAAAACTGTTTCAGAGTCCATCTCTTATGTTTAATTAGAAAAAGGGAGACAACGAAGGGAAATTAAGTTAGTCTTGTGTACTCTTGTCTGGAGTCAGTTCTCTTAAATTTATATCATATCTTTCCTCCAAGAGCAGCAGAATATATAGCTTACTCTTCTGTTTTTCCTCTGTAGTAATAACTACATCATTTGCAACATTGCAAGGTTTTGCTTTGCTTCTCTGAGCCTAGAAGTAAATTAACTCCAATATAGGAAGTTGTTGAGCTCTTTGTTTAGGAATGCTTGTTGGGGTTTTTCTATAGTTTTCAACCACCTGCAACAAGCCTTTTGCTCTGAGCACAGTACAGATTATAACTACATGATCTAATTGTGAATGAATTAACATATTAACAAAATTGGAAGGGACCTTGGAGGTCTTCTAGTCCAATCCCCTGCTTAAGCAGGAAACACTATGCCAGTGTTGGCGAATCCATGCATGTCCATGCTGGAAACCACAAGAGCAGCCGCCTGGTGCGCATGCGTGAGCCAGGCAGCTGCTCTTCTGGTTTCCGGCACACACATGCATGCTGGCCACCTGGTCTTCCGGTTTCTGGCACACATGTGCGCGCGAAAACCAGCTGGCCGGTGCCCATGCGTGTGTCAGGAAGATGATCTTCCGGTTTCCAGTGCACATGGTCTTCGCGCATGCATGCATGCCAGAAACTGAAAGACCAGGTGGCCGGTGCACATGTGCACACCAGAAAACAGAAGAGCAGCCGCCTGGCGCGCACATGCACACCGGGCGACTGCTCTTCCGGTTTCTGGAGCTGCCATGTGTATGAACACCAACTGGCCGGTGCGCCAGAACCTGGAAGAGCAACGGGCGATGGCTTGCGTGCCCGGAGAGATGGTTCTGCGTGCCACTTCTGGCACGTGTGCCATAGGTTCACCATCACGGCACTATTTTTTATTGAAAACCTCCAATGATGGAACATCCACAACTTCTGGAGTCAAGTCATTTCACTGATCATTCTCACTGTCAGGAAATTTCTCTTTGTAGTTATTGTGGATGTTCTAAAAGTAAAAGTAAGAAAAAGTAAAATAAAAGTAATAAAACTCTGGTTGTAGTATTGTAAAATGCATGCTGGAAATCAGTAGAGTTGGGGGAAAAACTACTGCAAATAATTCTTTCAGTGCCATCAGCCTTATTTAATTGCAAAAGGGTTTTGCAATTAATAATAGGATCTAATTTAAAATGTAACAATTACAGTGGACCAACAAGTTTGTTTTTTTTAATTTTAGATTGGTCTTGTCATCAGTTTTGTTTAATGTGTATCTTGTTCTAGATTCAGGAAAAGGGCCATTGCTGTTTTCTAGTTAGTTATTTTTCCTCAGCACTGTCACTTGCAAATCTCTCTCAGAATTTAATTCTTGCCTTCCATGATGGAATGTTCGTGTCTATTTAGTGCTGATAATTGTTGTTCTTATTTGAAGGGATCATTGTGATCACAGATGGTGTCACCAGTGTGCCAGATGTAGCAGTCTGTGAGACTCTGCTCAATCAACTACGCAGTGGGACTGTGGCCTGCTCTTTTATTCAGGTGCTGTTGAAAGTACATGGGCTGTTGTATATTTGTGAATGTACTGCAGTTAGGGCCGTCCTAATACTAAAGAAGAAGCCATCTGCCTCTAATGGCAATATGAAAGCTAGTGCTTGCTTATTGACCTTTTCAGTATTTGGTTATAACCGAAGGAGAAATTATTTATGGTGATACCAGGAGTCTAGTTGTAGTACTTAGTTCGATGAGCAAATACTGATCCATGGTTTGATTATTAAGGCTATAATCCACAGTTACTTAACTAGGAATAGTTCCTGTTAAATTTGCTTCTGAGTGGATATCTGTAAAAGTGCACATAATGCTTTTGAATTTAAACAGTGAAATAGCTCAAGTCTTGGCATATAGTTTGTTCATATGTGTGTATGTTTATTTGCATGTGTATGTGATATGTGTGCAGTATAGTCATTTATATACATTATTTGGTTGAAGCTTCAGTTTTTATCAGTTACAGATAAGGCGTGCATTTAGATTTATGTAAATATATAAACCCATTGGAACCTTTGCACATTTCAGTAGCAGGGCAATTTCATGCAGCAATTCAAGGTAGAGGAAAAATACTGATGATTAGATTTGCTTCTCACTTTCATGTTTTTCTGGTTTAGAGACCAGACCCAAAGATGCTTTTTCAAGAGGCAACTGGACTTTCTGATTTTTCTTTGAAGACATTTCGCTTCTCATCCAAGAAGCTTCTTCAGCTCTGACTTCTTGGATGAGAAGTGAACCATCTTCAAAGAAAAACCAGAAAGTCCAATTGCGTCTTGAAAAAGTACCTTTGGGACAATCATGACCTGATGATGACTGAGAATCTCCGTAGACATTTAGAAACCAGAGTATAAGTATGCTATGTCTAGAAATATTTTCTGTCACTACAACTACAGCATTGAAGATATCCCTAATATCTACATTGAAATAGAGCTAAGTTCAACATAAGAGAAGGAATCTGTTCTTGACAAAGTTATTGTGCATTCTTTTTCTCTTTCGTAGGTGGGAGGAGTCTATTCTTATGACTGCAGTTTTGGTCATGTTCCTAATGTTGAGCTCATGAAGTTCATTGCAATGGCAACATTTGGCACATACCTTTCCACATGTCCTGAAGTTGAGCCTTCTAGTTTAGACATGAACGTCTACCATAAAGCTTTTCTCCCATATTCCTTTCTGCGCAGTGGGGAATCCTTGAATCCTGAATATTACTGTGGTAAGCTTACCTTCCGTGGACTTAGATGTAGTTTCTCAGTCTTATCTACCCTATTTTCACCTGTGCCAAGAAGATAAGAATCTTGGGTCAGATTGAAATGTCGGCCCAAAGAGTAGTCCATTTTTGCCAATATTAGTGAGAATAATGGGTTTTGCAAGGGGTAAAGGAACAGATGGGTCTCTATAATTCTGTTAGCTCTTCGCCACTTTCAAGTTTTGAAAGCTATATTAACCGAAGCTAAATAAAAATGGTAGTTAACTATAAACAGATTGAAGGGATTCATTTTTCTCTTTGGATGCTTCGAGGGTTATAGTGATTTGCCTGGCCTTCATTATTGCTGCAAGTGGTGATGTGCAGGATAAGAAAAAATAATGCTATATTTACTGTTTACACAGCTACATTTGTCACCCATGTGCAAAGGGACATAATAAAGTGCTTGAATTCCTGCATTGAGATTCCTGAAATGGCTCATGGCCTCATAGGAGGAAGAAATAGTTTGCAGGATAGATCAGTTTGGAAATAACACTTGCATGGTGTTTGCTATCATTGCAGTCTCCCAGCACAGATTATTCAATGAACATCTTGTTTCTGCAAGCAGCAACCCAGCCCTTGCCTTGAGGCGAAAGAAGCATACAGAAAAGGAGGTCCATGCTGATCTTATTAGTATAATCTCTGTGCGGCTACGAGAAGGCTATAGTATCCGTGAAGTCAATATTACAAAAGGTGATTATTCAGTGTTTTCTTAGTCTGTTTCAGGCAGTGTATGTTGCCAATTGTGATCATGGACATGCATTATTTTCCCTCGGGGGGCTGCACTTTTTGCAAAATGGCTTCTAAGACCATAAGGGATGGCTAGCAACACACTAGAAGTCATTGAAGAAAGTAAGGCTGAAAATAACTGTTCTTTTTGGGACTGAGAATTTTTAAAATGTAAATTAGGGGGTGTTGCAGAGGCTTCAAGCATCCAACACCCCCCAAAAACAAAATCTAGCAAGAACCATGTGATCTGAAATCAGTGATGCTGAATTTCACAATATTAAGCATTCTGAAGGTTGTAGAAATATTGCTGGGACATGATCCTATTCTAATCTTGAATATAACTCATTTGTGGAGTGGCTTTTAAAATTATGTCTGTAAAATTTATTGTCAAATCTCATCTGGGAACTCCCAATTAATTTATCTTAAACTAACAACTCAAAAATTATTGTGAATACAAGCAGTGCTTTGAGTTCCATAAAAGAGTAGTGGGATAGAAATGTGCCAAAACAATTTTTTGCTTTATGGGGACTGACTGTCAAATGCATATTTTGTTTTTGAATGCTTGTGGTGCCTGATTTATGCTTAAGATATATGGGTAGAGTAGGCAAAATTCCATCATCTTGTTCAACAAATGGCATTTAGTAGTATTCTGCGTAAAGGCAGTATTCATCTGTAATATAGTGGCCTGTTTATTGGTAGCTTTATTAGTTACTGTATTGAGTTGTAATTGTTAAAAGCCCCATTGTTGATCTTTAAATATAGTATATAAATGTGTAACATAAAAAATGAGAAATCTTGTTTTATCTACTTTTCATTAAAAATATTTCACAGTAGTTCAAGATGGCAAGCAAAATAGATCATCAGCTACACTGAGATTGAAATTGTTACTTTAGCTGGTTTATAAAAAATGACTGCCATTGCTGTGCTTCCCATTGCAGAAAATATTAATGGGTTGTTTTCAGAAAAGCATTTCATAAATATTAGCTAGATATTGGAACTCCAAGTTCTGAGATCAATTAAAAATAGAAATATTAAGTAAATATGGAGTGTATTCCTTCAGAGTCTTCTCTGGTTCTTCCAACATCACTATTCACTGGAGCAATAACATTAGAACAACCTAGATAAATCAGTAAGATAGACATCAAAAACAGAAATAGGCAACAGAATATAGAAATTAATCAGGCACATAAATGTGCTGATTTTGGCACAAGTTGTGCCAAAATTTTAAAAAGTCAGACTTTGTTAAGGAGGGGCTAATGTTTTTCTATTAAAACACATTGCTCATTCCTCTTGCACATTTACAGGTGGTACTCAGCTGGAAGTGAAGCTCATCTTGCTATGGAAGCACAATATGAGAATTGAGTATTTGGCTGTGGCTCCCTGGCCCCTAGATCCTTCGAAACGTAGCACATGGGTGGAAGTCACTATGGAGGGCAGTTATGACATTTTGCACGACATCAGCTGTACTGTACGGAAGCCCATCACCAGCCTCTATCGCACCACTGTGATACGCCGCTTCTGGAACACCCTGCAGAGGTGAAGATTTGCTTGGTGCGCCCTTTGAGTGGGGCTTCCCCACCCCCAAGGGCTATGGGCAATATGTAACACTGCCCTTTAGTTTGTTTAAATGTTTGTTTAGTCCCAATATGGAATGTTAATGTCAACAACGTTTATAAATTAGGAACTGTTGTTGATCATGATCGTTTTCCTCATTTCTATTTGGACATTAGAAAGAACTTCACTGTTAGGCATAAAATACCTCTTTATTTCTAGAGAAACCTCTTTAATGGGAGTTAGGAATTGTCTTGAATTGATCTCTAACAGGATGTAAATTGTGACTTAAAGATCCTTGAGAGGGATTTTGTTGTTGTTGTTGTTTGTTTTTCATTTTTCAGTATCAACCAAACTGACCAGATGCTGGTTCATCTGCAGTCATTTGACAGTGTCCCAGAGCATTTCACCATTCCTGAAAGCACTCGAAATGGCGTGCCACTGTTCTATATTCCTCCAGGATCTACTACACCGGTACATTATTTGTATATTACTAGCCAATTTGCACTAAGTTGCTGCCTTTTAAGCAGCCTTTATCTAAGTTGCTGCCTAAGTTGCTGCATTCCTTTTTCTGTTTAAAACTTGCTTTATATTTATCTCTCTTAAATCTCAAATTAAATATCTATATCTTCAGCAATTCTATATCTTCAGCTCTGCTTTCTCACTTCTGAAGGAAAATGTATATGCTGTTATACATTTGTACATTGTAATAATTTAATGAAGGTGCTCAGATTCTTGATTATTTGGAATCATACCTTGGCAGCAATAGGTTAGAAGCAAGAGATTCAACATATACTTGCTTTACCTTAAGTTAATGTAGCCAAACGTTGCAGTAAGAGCAGCTATGCTAAAGTAACATGCCAAACAAATGTTCTGTGTATCACTTATTTACTCTGCTCTTTGTGTTGCTCATTAGATCTATCATGACTGGCTATTGCCGTTTGTTAAAATGAGAGAAATGAGATTATTCAGTTTACATTCTTTTTTTTTAATGGGTGGACTTCAACTTCTAGAATTTCTCAACCAGCAGATTTATACAATCTCATAAACAAATACATTGAAAATACTAAGATACTAATAACAATAAAATTTAAATATAGGCTACCCAAGCCAGTAGAACTAATTACAGGTAGTCCTCCACCTGTGACCACAATGGAGCCCAAAATTTATGTTGTTAAGTGAGATATTTGTTAAGTGAGTTTTGTCCCTTTTTACCACCTTTCTTGCCACAGTTGTTAAGTGGATCACTGCAGTTGATAAGTTAGTAACACGGTTGTTAAGTGAGCCTGGCTTCCCCATTGACTTTTTTTTTTTTTTTTTAATTTGATTTATATGCCGCCCTTCTCCGGAGACTCAGGGCGGCTTACAATGCGTTAAGCAATAGCCTTCATACTTTTGTATATTTTATACAAAGTCAACTTATTGCCCCCACAAACTGGGTCCTCATTTAACCTACCTTAGAAAGGATGGAAGGCTGAGTCAACCTTGAGCCTGGTAAGATTTGAACCTGCAGAAATTGCAGGCAGCTGTGTTAATTACAGGGTGCATTAAACCACTGTACTACCACTGTACTACCAAGACTTTGCTTGTCAGAAGGTTGCAAAAGTTGATCACACGACCCTGGGACACTGCGACCATCGTAAGTATGAACCAGTTGCCAGGCATCCGCATTTTGATGACATGATCAGGGAGATGCTACAAAGGTCATAAGTGTGAAAAATGGTCTTAAGTCACTTTTTTCAGTGCCGTTGTAACTTTGAACAGTCACTAAATGAATTGTTATAAGTAGAGGACTAACTGTAACTGCCTAATATGGTTTTTCTAAGCTAAAATGTTTAAACAATTAGTTGCACAGATGCAACCAAATTCATGAAATACGATTTCTGCCATTTTCAGGTCCTGTCCTTGCAGCATAGTAGCTCAGATTCCAGTCACTCACAGTTTGCAGCCTATTGGAAGCCCATCTTGTCGATGGATGCCAATCTCTGGCAGAGGTGGTTGCACATGCACCGCATTGTTATCCTCTTGGAACACGACATGTACGTGCAAGAAAACATATATGTATCATGGCACGGTATTTAACATTTCAAGGTTTCAGAGCTTACCAGCCATTGTGTTGTTATTGACGGCTGACATAACAAAAGTTGAGCAATAAGGTCTTGCATATGAACTTTTCATGGGGTAGGGATAATGGGGGATAATGATGGTACCTTAATAACAGGCACTAACTAACTGTTTGATCTGTTTGACAGGCCAGTCCCAAAGCATTTGCACACCCCAGGCAACAATGGTCGTTACAGCACCATCCAGTGTCGCATTTCCCATTCAGCTCTGACTTCTTTGCTGCGTGATTGGAGTAGCTTTGTGCTGGTAGAAGGCTACTCTTATGTCAAGCTCATGCACAGGTGAGGGAATTCAGAGAGGAGAAAGAGCTGAGACTGAGCTGTTGAAGACCATGAAGGTGTAAAATCCAATGGGGATAGAAGGTTTTTGCATAGGATTGGGCCAGTCATGTTGAGTAAATAACTCTTAAGAGGAAAATCTCATCGAGCATTTCATAGTCATTCATTAGTACAGATAGTCCTACACTTGCAACCATGACTGAGCCCAAAATTTCTGTGGCTAAACAAGACATTTGTTAAGTGAGTTTTTCCCTGTTTTACCACCTTTCTTGCCACAGCTGTTAAGTGAATTTTCCCCAAGGACAATCCCCTGGTTTCAATTATACTTTAACCTTTAAATTCTTCTGAATTAGTGCGTGTATTTGGCTTTTTTACATGTATCCAACAACTATGATAAAATGTCCCTTCGCTTATTGTTGGTACCACAATAAATGTATTCAGTTTGCTATTTCTTTCTTGTTCTGTAGCTCTGAAGATCTGCCTCCTTTTTCATTTTATGTGGTGAGGATTATTTCCAAAGCTCCCTGCATGGTTCTTCGGCTGGGTTTCCCCATTGGGACACTTGCAAAACTCAGGAATAAAGTGAGTGCTTAATAAGTTTGCCTGAATCACACTGAACATTATTTAGAATTGCAAAAAATGCACAGCTAAAATGTGCTTGGTGGATGTTAGTCTTGGAATAAAGTTTTAGGATTGCCAAGAAGCACGTTTTGCATCTGTATTTTTAGGTATAAAAATATAAAAAACTTGCGTATAAAAAACTTGGGGTCACGTTCAGGGGTGGGATTCAGCCGGTTCGGACAGGTTCAGGAGAACCGGATGCTAATTTTACATCTGGTTCACTAAACCGGTAGTTGCAAGGACTGGCTGGCCCCTCCCATCCTGCCCCTCCCAGGAGTCTCCACACGGCCCATTTTGGATGCCAGGTAAGCAGTGCCTACGCAGAGGCTCTGGGAGGGTAAAAAATGGGCCTTCCAGAAGTCTGGAAATGGGCCTGTTTCCGGCCTCCAGAGGGCCTCCAGAGCCCAGGGGAAGCTGTTTTCACCCTCCCGGAGGCTCGAAGAAAACCTCTGGAGCCTGGAGAGGGCGAAAAATGGGCCTCTCAGAAGTTCTGTTCTCCGGAGCCCAGGGGAGGCTGTTTTCGCCCTCCCTGGGGCTCGAGGGAAGGAGCTTGGGGAGCTTGGGGAGGGCGAAAATGCCACCCCACCCCACCCTGTGGTGCAAGAGGCAAAGTAGGCCACACCCGTCCAGCAACTGGGCAGAGAACTGGTTGCTAAAATTTTTGAATCCCACCCCTGGTCACGTTACAAGCTTCTCTTCAAGATGTTAAATAGTATTTAGGAATCACTATCTGAAGGTAACTGGATGAATCATGGCACTGATGAATTTATTAACAAAGCATTTTTGGCATTGTTGTTGATAAGAACAGTCTTGCTCCTCTGGGGGAATTCTGGGACTGAATATGGCTACATTGTTTTTATTATTTAAAGTTATTTTCAATATATGCATTTTTCTCATTTTTACAACATTCAAACTACAATTTAACTTTTTAAAAGCAAAATAAAGTTCATAACATAACGAAAGCCTAGACAATAAATACATTTACATGTTACTGTCAGCGTCTCAGAACTGACATAGAAAAGGGAGGAGAAGCCTGAACTTTTGCCTGCTAAATCCCTTTGAAGATTCGGTCTCCTCGGAGATGGGGAGGGGGGAGACATTCCTGTGACCTGACGAAGAAAGGAATCAGGAAAGTGACTTGGAAGATAGCCAATGAGAAGCAGAGAATTGGGGATCGGAAAGGGAGGGATTGGGGGGCAAAGGTCAGTACTGACCGCGAAGAGTCAGGATCAGGTTGCTGTGCTCGAATAAAGAGAAAATTTCCTTAAAGACCGGCAGTTTGGAAGTTCATTTATTTTGAGATAGCATCGAAACCTGACAGTTACAAAAATTAAGCGAATAACATAGTAATGCATTAAAATATGTGGTAAAATGTTGGAATGCGGGAGAATGTGTGCTGCAAAGGAGTTCAGGGTCTGCAAAAGTTGCTGTTCTTATGCGTGGTGCCAGTTCCTTACATAAACATGATTTCTTCCTATCTACTTACCTTTCAACAGATAGTAGAAGAATTGAGAGACTGTATCCTTCAGTTACGTTTCCCCCACAGAGTACAGAGCAAAGAGGCAACTCCAAAAGTAAAGCGAAAGGTCCTTGGCAGCAGTTCCCCATCAAAATCATCTTGTTTGCCTATGGCCCAGCCACCCCTCTCAGACAGACCTTGCCTTATAGTATTGCATAAACCTCTGGAAAAACTCCTTATCAGGTATTATGTATGGAGCATATGTACATGCGCACTTACTTATATCCCTATGGGCAGAATGTTAATTCACAGAGATGCAGTTGCTTTAGCCTAGCTGCTGTTTTCCAGATGACTTCGGCTGTAGTTTTTGTATTCCTTTATCCAATGGACAATGGATGGCTGTGGGTAATGGGAATGTCTTGGAACATTGCTCGGTTCAAAAAGTTTGTGAGCTTCCTCTATGCCTTGACCTTAATTCATTCACATGAATGTATCTCAAGATATTATTGAAAGAATTATATACAGCATGCACTGCAAATAGACCACTTAACATGTCTCCGAATTCATAAAATGTGTTTTGGGTACTACATTTCCCTGTACACATGGCGTGCGAATCTGGATTCAAGCATGCATAGAGAGGGACATTTTGTTTTCTCTGCATAGTCCCTTTGATTCTTGAATCTTAGAAAGCTAAGTGTCAGCTTTGGAAGCCATATTAGGCCGGAAGCTTCCATGCTGCCACTTTCTCATGTGTGGGAAAAGTAGGAGGGAGGATTTAGTAGAAGGGTTGTCTTTAGACATAATAGCATTCTTCCTGTCGGTCAAGGTCAGGCCGATCCTGCATCTGGAGAAGGAGTGGTCGGAGTGCTGTCTCGAGATGGGACAGATGGTGATTGCAGCATATGATTGACTGAGGAGTGAGGGGATGGTTTTGGGAGTATTGATTTACTGAGGGAAAACCCAGACCTCTCAGATTCCGGTTTTCCCAGATGTGCCAGTTTACCTATTCTAGTAAATAGAACTTTGAAAAATGCTTGCGTCAGAGTTTTTACTTGGAGTTGGAGTTTTTTCTGGAACGCTGACACTAAGTACTTTTTAAATTTTAAAATAAAAAGGAGGAGAATATGCAAGAAGAGACAAGGACAGATAGTATAATTTATGACTATAACAAACCAGTAAATCATTTTCTGGTCATGCTGGTTAGAGATACTGGGAATAATTTAGAAACTCAAAAGTCTTGCATAGCTCAAAAGTCTTGCACAGGTAGTGTATTGAGCTTATAATGAGAAATCCAACACCTGTTGTCTCAATCCTTCTTTCTCATTTTCAGATACGAAAAGCTGCCCTCTGACTATCATGTTCCATGTCTTTTACCCTTGGAGAATCCTCCCATGTCAGGTCCGCTTACTATGGTGGCCAACCGCACAGCTTCCTCTACCGTGGCCTCCTTATCTCGCTATTTTTATCACCAGCGCTGGATCTGGTGTGTACAGTCAGGGCTGGTCCCAGCAGTGCCCATCACAGCTGTGGCCCAACTACTGTCCACTCTCACTGAGTAAGTACCTATTTGGTCTTGAGATATGTTGGAATCTGTAAATAGGAGAGCTATAAAAGTAAAAAAAAAAAAGCAATTATATCTGAGTCACTTCTTTCTCTGAAGATCAGTTGCCTTTGCCAGTACAGGCAGTCTTCAACTTAATGACCACAATGGAGCCCAAAATCTATGTTGCTAAGTGAGAAATTTGTTAAGTGAGTTTTGCCCCATTTTACGACTTTTCTTGCCACATTTGCTAAGTGAATCACTGCAGTTGATAAATTAGTCACCTAGTTGTTAAGTGAATCTGGCTTCCCCATTGACTTTGCTGGTCAGAATGTGGCAAAAGATGGTGACATGACCAACCCTGGAACACTGCAACCATCATAAATGTGAGTTCAGGCATCTGAGTGTAAATCACGTGACAGTGATGGGGATGCTGCAATGGTCATAAGTCTGAAAAATGACCATAAGTCACTTTTTTCAGTGCTGTTGTAATCTAATGGTCACTAAGTGAACAGTTGTAAGTCGAGAGCTACCTGTATGAGAGTTAAAGTGGGAAGGGGAGGGGCGTTGCATTTTCACTGTGGGAAAAGAACATTGTGCTGTGTGAATAAAATGTTCTGTCTCATGGGAGACCAGGATGTAAAATAGCCTTGTAATTTATTCTTCTCTTCGGAATGATGCAGGATACGCTTGTCTGAAGGCTTCCATTTTGCTTCCAGTGGTGAAGGGATTGTCAGTATGGTCCAAGAATTACCTATGAAGGTAAATCCTGTTGCTTGTTTTATTTTGTTATCTTCTGTGGTGCCACATTTTCCTGTTCACGAGGAAATTGGTAATAGCAGAGTGCATAGAAATATGGTATATGTGCCTTTGTGTCAGTGTTGACTCCTGGTAACTTCCTGGTCAAGTTCATGCAGTTTCGTTGGCAAGATTTCAGAAGTGATTTATGATTGGCTCCTTCCTAGGGTTGAGAGATAGTGACGGGACCAAGTCACCCAGCTTGCTTTGTGCCTGAGATGGAACTTGAACTCATAGTTTCGTGGTTTCTAGCCTGATGTCTTAACCATTTGATCAATTTGGCTCTTTTAATAAAAATCTTAGCACTTGGTATATCAAAATATATTATGGTATATCCTTCCCAAAGTGGTATAAATATTGCCATACATAGAAGATCTATGACAAAAAATATTTATTTAGGTACAATAAAGGTAAGAAAAGGATGAGGGAAGTCTAGCAACAAATGGCTGTAGAGCAGGCCTGTAGAGCAGGCCTGGATGGGTCACGCGCAGGCCACGCACACCTCGGGTGTGCAAAGACAAAAAACATTGTGATACATCACAATATGTCACGGGACGCGATCAAGTTTGACACTTGTGGTATAGAGGAATACTGTGAAAGGGATATTCATAGATAATTATCAAATAAACATGCCCTTTGTTTTTTCTCCACAGTCTCTCATCCAAAAAAGGCATATTAAATTACATTCTGAGAAAAAGCTGTTCTTGATTTGACCAAGAATTTTATGGCAAATTGGCACTGCTTTGCCTCTAGTCTTGGAACCTCATTGTGCTAGGAGAGAAGTGGCAACGGAGCATGACAAATTTACTATTATTTTTTTCCACAGAGTGATTCCACAAGAGTGAGTGGCAATGAGAAGCACACCTGCATTGTCCAATATGTGATATTCCCGCCACATGCTACATCTACCAAAGACAGGTAAGAAGTCCTGACCGTAAAAGAAAGCACGCAAGGAGTAGAGTCATCCAGGTTCTGTTGTGGCCATTATATGAATGTGCCTGACTAGAAGATTTCCAAAGGGTAACTAACTGTACCAACCAATAACTTTTATCTACTGTGAAGGAGCCTTTGGTGCACACAAGATTCTCCACCTCACTCCTCCCCAGAAAGATAACACTGACTTGAAGATCCCATGATTCTTTATTTGTTGTTTTTATTTAATATAAAACAGTGCTGACTTACAGAATTAATATTACCATATAATCCTTGTAATAAATAATATTTAGGTGTTCAAATCATCCATTCTGAAACCAGTAAATGTCTATGAGTATATCATGTAGTATAAACATGTGATAATAGTCACATCTTAGTTTTTATTCTATTGATCAATAAGACACCCTCTTCGTTGCAAATCTGAGGTTTTGGTATTTACAATTTTACTCACATTACTGTATCAAGTTGTGTTTGCTTGTTATGTGCCTTTCTGAATTCCATACTCTGGATCACCTCACTTCTCTCCACAATGAGCACAGATGAATACCTGTTTCTTTGTACCTATGGATTAACACTCTATAGGCCTCCTGAACTTGAAGCATACCCTTGGATAATCTTTGCCAAAGACCCACAGCTGTGTTTCTCCAAAATCTGAAATTAATCAAAGTGCTTTAAAAATGACATCATCATTGGATTCATGTATAAAATTGTTGATTGGCTTGTCATGTTTTGCTTTATCTCTGCATAGCGCTCTGTGCTAAAATAGAATGCCATTCCATAAAATGAATTGGGAAAACATGATGCAATAAAGAATTCTGTAGAAATTTCACAATGAATATGTAATAACTAATATACTGTATATTCATCCTGCTGCCAATAATTTGTCCAGGAGCACAATTGCTTTAGTTTTGAGTTCTATAAACCAAGCAACGTCGATATATAGTCTAAGACAGCTAAAGTTAATTTATTTTAGTCTCAAGCTTGGAGGCAAGGAGGGTTGGAATTGAACTGGAAAGCCAACTAAATATGTTTAATATTTAAGGATGATTTGGATCTTTAACTTCTAAGGAATAGAAATACCTGAATCAGCCAGGTGAAAAGGTGGGTGAGGCTAGAGCATACTAGATTTTATTTTATCTAAATTGCGTTAAAGTAATTAAATATAATTATTATGACTATTTCCTTGTATTTAATTTCTCCCTCCTGTAGACTTAACAATGTTTAGCAACTTCTGGAAAACCTTTTGTGATTCAAACCTTTCTCAGGAGTCTCTCACATTACTTGCTTGCTTTCAAGTTTCTCTACAGATGAAGATAATGATACAGAAGTGGAGGCAATTGAGGTGGACATGGAATTGAACATTGTCACAGAATGCTGGGTTGAACCTCAAAGCGGCTATGTGGATGGTGTTCAGGAGAGTTGGCAGTACCTACACGGCTTATCCTACCAGAAAATCCCCAAAGCGGTATGTTTTTGTGTTGGGGAGAGGCAACATTGGTAGGGATGTTTGACTGGCAGCCAATCTGCTGGTTTTGCTGAATCCATTTTGTTGAAAGGGATTAAGACAGGGACTGTTTCCTGTATATGGGCAGCAGGTAAAACAATTGCCAAAGCAACCTATGCAGCCAAATGATTGGGAAGGTTTTGTCTCACTGAGGAATGAGACGTGGCTTATATTTGTATAATTGGCTCTGAATTATCCTTGTATTACTGTATCATTTTGAATGCATTTTTGAAACATGTATTGAATCCTTTTGAACAGGTTTTCCAGTCTATTTTATTTCAGATTCCTTTTTCAGATCTATCCTCGAGATCTGTCCTGCATCCATACTGTGCTTGCTTTTGAGTATATCAGCCAACTTTGCCAAAATAAGGACTGGGTTTTCCCAGCATGCGATTCAAGGCCCACTGAGGTTGAAGGTAATAGATTTATTTAATGCTTTCTAGACATTTATTATTAGGTCCTATGGACTTAATCCTGAATATGACATTTTATTATTATTTTTTTTGCTGTAGGTCGTGATGCTCGAAGTGGCTCCCGTGTACATGAGATTCCTTTCCAGTTTGACCTCATGAAACTTCTACCAAAATGCCAGCAAATTGAGATGGGTTTTTTGATGCTGACAAGAGGCAAGTTGTGTGTATATGCATCACGGAAAGGATATCAGTTCATTATTTCTTCCCACCTCTGAAACGTATTAAGCAATAATGAAGATGAGCACATCTGTAATGTGTGCCATCCTCTTTTGAACATCCCCATGTCACCAACATTTGGCCTTTATAAGAGTTTTCTGTTCAAATGCATTTCTTGTGCAAACTTGACATTGCTGTCATAATTTGATGTTGTTGAAAATGTAATAATGAGCTTGATGGGAAGATCTCTACCAGTCAAAATTTCTTACTGTGCAATTTATATTGTGTGGGATTTATTTTTAACTGGGTAGGGAAACTTTAGATACTGTTTGCCTATCTAGGCTATCAGATCTATATAATGTGAATTGCTGTGTTTTCCTAGCAGCAGGAGAAAAAATTACTCATAGTTTTTATTGTCTTGTAGAAAACGATGGAATCATAAAGGATTCTTCTTTCTTGCCCAATGAAATGCTTCTTAGCCTTTTTCATGGCTGTCTCCAGCATGACCTCAGTGACAGGGAAATCACACTATTGGACACAGATCATGTAACTTTCATGGAGCAGGTGCTTCAGCGAGACAGAGATGGCCACCCACCCCCATTTAAGCTCTCTATGGTTCAAGGTAAGAGAGACACAGTAGCTAATTCTTCCTTGAGCTGTTCCTCTGATGGTTTCCTCACCAATGTGTTTCTTCCCAGAAGAACTCCCAAAGGCTTCCATTCCTTCTGAATGCCAGAATCGGAAAAATACTTATCACTCTTTTGGCAACAAAGATACAGCTACCTCTGCAAGTACATATCAGGTACAATGATCTTTTGAGCTCAATGTCAACATTCCAAATATGTCACAGAATTTCTAGGCCTGTAAACTTCCTTGCTTCTTGCAAATTGAAATTTGGCGGGTGGGGTGGGGTGGGTGGGCTTGGTTGAAGTAATATAAAACGGGTCCCCAAACCCCGGGCTGTGGCCCACTACTATTTGCAACCAGGCTGTGTGAGCAGCGGCTCAACTTGCGTGAGGAGTGGGCCGGCACGTGTGCACACACATGCGCAGCTCAATTTGCACAAGTTGAACTGGGCGTGTGTGCACTGGCCCGCTGCTCGCACAGCCCAGTTCCCCTCTCCTCTCCTCTGCTTGGCCACCAAGCCGCAAAGGTTGGGGAGATAAGTGAATGGAAGAGTCTGACTTATGTGTAGAAGTCTGGCAGTTCCTTGATGACTTAATGTTCTCCAGCCTGGCCCTTTTCAAGTTGGACATATTTTAGTTACGGAGGTATCCCAGGTTGGGGAAGGCTATGTATTAGTTGAAAGTGATCCCTTAATTTTTTCCAATGTAATATCTTAGTTTTCATAAGACAGTATGTGGGTTCATCTACCATTAAAGCCTCAACACAGTGTCCAAGATTTTGTAGGCCAGGTTCATATTTCATGCATAATATTAAATCATTTGTGATTTACAATCTATAGCAACTTAGTTCATACAATATTAAGCCAAAATGAACCATGGTAGCTTCATGTGATCTGCGAATGTAGTAGTTACTATGTTCATTATGTAGGAGGGATGAAGAATTTGTGACCTTTGGATATTGTTGTACCACAGCTCCCTGTAGCAACAAATAGAATAGCTAATTATGAATCACATTTAAATGTATAATTCAGCATCTGGAGAGCCACAAGTTTCTCACTCATGGACTAAGGTTAAGGTCTAAATGACTAAATGATGGGAGCAATTAATTTCTGGTACCAAAAAATAACAGTACATTTTGCTTCCTGATTAGGATGGAGAATGAGACAGCCATACCTGAAAGCTATGCCATAATCCAATTATGTTTCCTCTTTTAGACTCCAGTTAATATAAAGGAGTCAAAAAATGATATCTCGCCAACATCTGTTATACTCTTTCCCCAATGGAGATGTTATGCCAAGCTGGTAAACCCACAGCATCTTTTCCTTACCTTCTTGCCAGCTATGTTCTCAGGTAAAGGATTCTGCTTTTAAAGCTATCTAGGGAATGCAAGAGAAGTTTGGTGTTGGTTCTTCAGTTGTAAAGAAATGCGACAGATATTTGCCTGTATATTGTAGTGAATGATGTGAACAGAATTTAAGCTTGCAAGATCTACTTTGCTTTTTAATTATAAGCCTAAAATGCTTCAAGTACAAAGGATATTCTTTTTATTAAAGAAATTGAGGCTAGATAACTTTATTTTTATATAAACTGGACTCATAGAGCTCAGCAATAACGGTCCATTCCTTATCTTTTCACTTCATTGAGTTTTCTTCATTTCAGCAATGGAACTAAGTTTTTTTTTTTTTATTAAAGAGTTTTACAAAAAGAAAAAAAAATTTTTTTTACAAATATTTCCCCGTCCCCTCCTTCCTTACTCCCCCACTCCCCCCGAACTTCCCAAAACAAAATACGGGGTATAACAATTAACAAGCATATGCTAAACTAAGCTAATTAACTAAGGATTCCTATCCCCCACTTCACACTTTAACTCCCCTTTTACTTAACTAAATATAAATACTCTTAATTTTTCTATTCATTCATAAGCTATTTGATACTTTTTAGTCCGATATTTGTTTTGAATATAATCAATCCATCTTCTCCATTCCAATATATATCTTTCTTGTGAATGATCTTTCAAATATGCTGAAATTTTCGCCATTTCTGCCAGATTCGCCACTTTTAATGTCCATTCTTCAATAGTAGGCAAATCTTCCTTCTTCCAATATTGCGCCACCAAAAGTCTAGCTGCAGTTATTAAATTTAAAATCAATTTGGTCTCTATAACCGTACAATCTGTAATTATACCCAGCAAAAACAATTGTGGAGTAAACTTTATCTTCTTTTTAAGAATATTTTGGATAATCCACCATATTTTAATCCAAAATGCTTTAACTTTTTTACAAGTCCACCATATATGATAATAAGTGGCATCATCTCAATCACATCTCCAACACTTAGATTGCAAATTCGGATACATACAAGCCAACTTTTTAGGATCTAAATGCCATCTATAGAACATTTTATAAAAATTTTCTCTTAAATTTTGTGCTTGCGTAAATTTTACATTTCTAACCCATATTTTTTCCCAAGTTTCCATCATTATTAGTTCCTGAATGTTTTGTGCCCATTTTATCATACAATCCTTAACTAATTCCGTTTCTGAATCTATTTCTATCAATATATTATATAATCTTTTTATATGCATTTGACCTTGGTCTCTAATTTGTTTTACCAAATTTTCCTCGTTCTGCATGATACCAATTCTCTGATCTTCTTTCCATCTAGTTTGCAACTGACCATACTGAAACCAAGTTTGAATTATTCTTTCTTCTTTTAATGCATTTAAGGATTTTAACTGCAATACACTCCTTTCCATTTAAGAAGCTCTTTATAGGTAATCACCTCTTGCTTTTGTTCTACACTTATATTCTCTATCACATGTCTGGGTATTGCCCATATAGGTATCTTATAATTTAACTTATATTGATACTTTTTCCAAACTCGTAACAAAGCATTCCTTAATATATGGCTTTTAAAGGTCTTGTCCACCTTTTTATCATATAATAAGTAAGCATGCCAGCCATATAACAAATCATATCCTTCAATATTCAATATTCTTTCTTCTGTTGAATTAATCCAGTCACTAATTATTGAGGACAGCTGCTTCATAGTATAATCTTAAATTAGGCATTTTAAGACCTCCTCTTTCACGTATATCTTGCATTATTTTTAACTTTATTCTCAGTCTTTTCCCTGACCAAACAAAATTATTAATACCCTTCTGCCATTCCCTCAAATTTTCATCTTTCTTGAGATTGGTATCATTTGAAACAAAAATAGAAACCTAGGTAAAACATTCATTTTTATTGCTGCTATTCTTCCCAACAGAGATAATTGTAGTTTTCTCCAATTCTCCATCTCTTTCTATATTTTTTGCCATAACAATTCATAATTATTTTTATATAATTTTACATTTGAGGCTATAATATATACCCCTAAATATTTAACCTTTTTTATTATTTCAAATCCTGTTAGTCTTTCTAGTTCTTCTTTTTGCTTTACCGTCATGTTTTTAGTTATTATCTTTGTTTTTTGTTTGTTTATTTTAAATCCAGACATTTGTCCATATTGGCTAATTATATCCATTAAACCTATAGCTGATTGTACTGGTTGAGTTAAAGTAACAACCAAGTCATCTGCAAATGCTCTTAATCTATAATCATGATGTCTAATTTTAATTCCCTTTATTTTATTTGACCCTTGTATTTTATTCAATAAAGGTTCCAAAGTTAAAATAAACAATAATGGTGATAAAGGGCATCCCTGTCTTGTTCCTTTTTCAATTTTAAAAGTTTCTGTTAAACCACCATTAATTATTATTTGTGCTGTTTGTCTCTGATATATTGCTCTAATAGATGGTGTAAAGTATTCTCCAAACTGCATCTTTTCTATTATTTTCAATAAAAATTGCCAATTCAATCAATCAAATGCCTTCTCCACATCCAAAAAGATAAGCGCTGCAGGGACTTAGTTGTTCCTTTCCAAATATTCCAATAAGTTTACAATTTGTCTTACATTACATTTCATTTGTCTCCCACTTATAAATCCAGATTGGTCATTATGAATCATTTGTTGCATGATTACCATTAACCTATTTGCTAATATTTTGGCAAAAATCTTATTGTCAGTATTTAAAAGCGATATTGGCCTATAATTCTTAGGTTGGCTACGATCTTGGTCCTCCTTTGGAATCAATAAAATAAAAGCTGTTCTCCAGGAAGGGGGTACATCTCCTCCGTCTTGAATCTTACAAAATAGTTCCTTAAGCGGTTCTACCATTTCTAACTGCAAATTTTTATAATAAACAGCTGTCAGTCCATCTGTGCCTGGAGCTTTACCCCCCTTTAACTTTTAATTGCTAAAATAATTTCTTCCGAAGTTATTGGTTGGTTCAGTCCTTCCCTTTGCTCTGGTGTAATTACAGGGATATTCTCCTCCTGTAAATATCTGTCTATGTCTTTGCCTTGAATTGTATCACTAGCATATAACTTTGTATAGAATTCTAAAAAGGCTTTTTTAATCATATTTTGTTGATATAACTCTTTACCTTTGTATTCTATTTTTTCTATAGTACGTAACTTTTGTTTTTTCCTTAACAAGTAGGCTAACCATCTACCTGGTTTATTTGCATTACAAAAAGTGTTATGTTTAGCATATTGTAAATTAGTTGCCACTTGGTCTGCCATCAAGATATTAAACTGCCCTCGCAACAAATTCATTGTTTCCTTTATTTTCTTATCTGTTGGATTTAATATAAGTGCCTGCTCTTTCTTTTTTATTTCCTCTTCTAAGTCCCTCTGTTTCTTTTCTTGTCTATGTCTATATTTATTATTCAAATGTATTAAGGTTCCTCTCATATATGCTTTACTTGCATCCCAAATCATTTTCATAGGTGTACCCTTGTGCATATTCATAACAAAAAATTCTTTCATTTGTTTTTTACATTCTTTCACATTTTCCTCATATCTAAACAAATTTTCATTTAGCCTCCAAGACCTTCTAGCTCCCTTTTCCTGCTCTAATTCCATCCACACCGGACTATGATCAGATAAAATTCTTGAACATATCTTCGTCTTCTTTACCCTAGAAAAGAAATCATTTGTGATTAATATAAAATCAATCCTAGAAAAGGATTGATGTCTATCAGGAAAAAAAAGTAAAATCCTTTTCTTCAACATTTCGTTCCCGCCAGATATCTCTCAGCTCCATATCATCCATTATATCAAAAAAAGATTTGGGCAATCTTGCATGATTGTGGATATTTTGAAGTAATCCTTTTTTGTCCTTTTGGGTATCCAATACTCCATTCCAATCACCCATTAATATACACGATTTATAATCCCATTGTATTATTTTGGTATGCAAAAGATTATAAAATTTTTCTTGCTGTTGGTTAGGAGCATATACTCCAATTAAAAGTGTTTTCTTCCCTTCTATTAGTAATTCAATTGCAATATATCTTCCTTGAGCATCTGCCTCAATTAATTTGGCTGTTAAGTCTGTCTTTAGATATATAACTATACCATTTTTCTTCTCTGGTGTAGAGGCAACAAAATGTGCCCCCAATCTTGAATTTATCAAATATTTTTGATCTGTCACTCTAATATGTGTTTCTTGTAGGCAAATTACATCGTTTTTAAACTGCTTCAAATAATGAAATATTTTCTTTCTCTTTTGTGGTGAATTTAAACCATTGACATTCCAAGTCAAAAATTTAGTTACCATTCTTGGCACCTTGAAGCTTTAAGAGCGCCAGCTGAAGATCCTCCTGCACCTTTCTCTTCGGCCTTGCTCCTCCCACTGCTTCTGTTTTTGTAGCTTCTTGAGCTTTCATTTGGGTTTGCTGTATCTTTAAATCTTGTTATTTTCGCCTTGCTGCAGCACGAGTCTGCCTTTGATCTTTTGGTTCTTCTCTTTTTTCTGCTACTTCCAAAGGTTGATCAGTACCAAAAAATTGCAATAAATCTTCTTCAATAAGCGAAGTCTCTCCTGCAGCTTGTGGCTGTTTACTTTCCTTCTGTCCTTGTATTTCCAGCTCTTCTTTTCTTCTCCTCATTTCCTGAAATGGTGGGCATCCAGCCTTTAATACGTTAGTATAAAAATCTCTTGCCTTCCAAATTGTATTAATTATTTCTCCCATATAATTCACCACCAGTCCAACTGGAACGTCCCATCTAAACTGAATCTGTCGATTTCTAAGTTCATCCACCCAAAAAGCAAACTCCTTTTTGCTTCTCAACATTTTTGGAGGAATTTCTTTCAGCACTAAAACCTCTTGTCCTGCAATTTGAAGTTTATTTTTATAAAAAGCTTGTAAAATTTCATTTCAGGTCCTCCTCGTTGTAAAGTAAATCACAATGTCTCTTGGCAATTGATTCTGTCTAGCAAACCAGGAATTAACACGATATATTTTGTCAATTTGCAATGAGAGATCTGCTTGTTGCTCCCCAGTTATTTTTGCAAAAACCTCTGCAAAGATCTCTCTCAAGTTCTCTCAATTGTGTTCTCTCAGACCTCTTACTCTCAGGGCAAACTCCATCGCTTTATATTGTAGCATCACCACTTCATCATCTGCCCTATCCACCTTGGTCTGAACTTCATCCATTTTATTTTCCAAATTCAGATTAGACTGATTAATTTCTTCTACTCTTTCATCCAACAATTCAATGTATTTTGACAGACCCTGAAATGCCATTACTATATCTTCTCTTATTTCCTTATTCTGAGTTTGAATGACTTCTTTAATTTCAGCCATCTCTTCAGACACTCCCTTAATTTTCCCCTCTAAAAAAGAAGTTTGTTGCTTCAAAGCCTCCTGCAGAGATTCCTGTAAAACTTCCAAAGTCAATATTGCTTAGCACATTGTAAGCCGCCCTGAGTCTCCGGAGAAGGGCGGCATATAAATCAAATTAAAATATATATATATATATTTGTGGGTTTGAAGTAGACAAAGATTGTAGTTTTGATGGTTGTGCTGGCGATCCTCCAGCACTTTTAAAGCCAGATTTTATTTGCTTAGAAGCCATTTTTAGCTTTCAATTTATACTTCCTACAGCAACCAAATCAATAAGTCCAAATGTTTTTAAATCTTTTGTAAGTATTATAGTTTATTTAAAGTCCAAACGGTAGTCTTTCCACTTTAAATCTTTCTTTCTTTGGTGTAGAATCCAATAATCTTAAACAGCCTTAGAAGCGCTAACGATGTTAATTATCACTTTCACTATAACTTTTACTTTCACGCCCTGTTACAGTTCAGGCGCCATTTTTGCTTTCTTTTTTAAAAGTCTTAGAAGGAAGAAGTATAGACACAGAGTTAAAGTTCAGTACTTGCAGTTGCTAGGACTCCTGTTTTTGTTCTGCCTGCTTTGAGATTATTTTGAATCTGAATGTTGATTGCAGGGGTGGTCGCGGCATCTTGTTCTGCTTGAAGCAGAGAATTCGGAGTTCAGTCGGACTATCAGGGAGCTCTCACCCTCCAAGCCCCAGAATTGCTCCTAGGGCTTTTGGGAAGCTCTACCTTTGTCCGGCTGCTCGCCTTCCTCTCTTCTCCCGAGGGGAAGGTTTCCAAACCGCCAGACAGCTGATTTGCGTTGACTTAGCGGTTTTAACGAAATCGCGGGGCTGACGATCCAAAAGGAGCATCTGTCAGCGCCGGAAGTCCGAATGTTCATGCTTTTTAAAGACGAGTTCAGTGTCTTGCCCTTTTGATTTACCCTCAAAAAGTGTTTGTATATGATACCTTGCAATATAAGTTACAATATAAATGGAATCCATTATGCTGCCTAACAAATGAGTGAGGATATGTGAAAAGCATATATATACCAATTGCCAAGCAATTATAAGTTTAAATAATATACCAATTAAAAGCCTGCCCAGAAAAGTATCACAGAGTTACTACTTTCCCACTGATAGCCCTATGGGGAAAAGGGACTTTCTTGTGGCTAACATTTCCTAGCTGCCTAATATTGACATTCATTTCATCCATTTCTGGTGGCAAAGACAAAACATCAGTTATATCCCATGGATGTATTTTGGTATTGTAATCCTTAACAATTATTTTGTTTTGCAGATGTACAGAGATTGATGGCTCCTGGGCCAGACCAAACCTCAAAAGAGACAGACCTTACATTGCCCCAAGAAGCACAAGAGCTGAAGCCTATGGCCTTGCTTCCAGCTGTCAGCATAACACCGGCGGATGGTGTGAACCTTCTTTGCCTTGTTTAACTGTGCTATAAATGCTGGCTTGGGAATGTTGAGTGGAGAAAGCACATTAAATTATAAGCATTCATGACTATATACTAGAGACTAGTACAGCTATTTATATGAGCTTGGAACCTCGCTCTTCATGTCCTGGAATCTAGTCATGCAAACACTAGCTGCCATGAGGCAAACAATAGTAGACCATCAAAGGCAAAAAAAATCCGACAGTGCAAGGGCATGGTGCCATTTTGGGAAAGCTGAATTTAGACTAGATCATGTTGAAGCAGGGAAAGATGCTTTAATTAAGCATTTCTAGCTATCATACTTTTGACCTGTGTTGATGCTTGGGCTTATTTGTCTAAGACCAATTTAGGCATGAACTTCCAGTTACTGATCTGAAATGACCAATTATTTATTTCTCTTATATATTGAGTCATACATGCATGTATACATTTATAAATAATAAATAAATAAATAACTTTGTCATTGTACATGTATACACAGTATACCCATACAACGAAATTCACTTAACACCCAAAGACCAGGTCCAAAATACATAACAATCCCCAAACACACTCCCACCCACCCCAATTCCCCACCCCTAAAACCATCCAAACATCCACACAACACACCAAGTAATGCTGTCCAACAGCTCATTGATGGTGGCCCTTTAGTTCATTGTTGAGTGCAATTATAGCTCTGGGATAAAAACTATTCAGAAAATATGTGGTCCGAGTTTTAATTGTTCTGTATCTTCTGCCAGAAGGCAACAGTCCAAAAAGATTGTAAGCAGCTCAGGGAAGAGGAATAGTCTTCAGAGTTCTCTCTTCTTCCCTCCTGTAGGACAAACAGCAACAAATCAGCCTTCTTCCAGTTCCTCAGAGGAACTGGAAACAGAATTGATGGTCCTCTGCAGTTCTCGGTCATTTGCCATAGAAACTATATATTTCTGGCCAAGAACGATTATGGATTTTATCATGTGGTTTAATAGCAAAGACCTTTGTTGTCACCTTTTCAGAGTAAGCCAGAATAAATCTTTGTGGTAGTTTAGCATACTATTCTACTGTTGCCCAAGAGGCATGGCATATGAAGAGTGCTTCCTGCTACAAGGGGTAGTTTTTTTCTAGCGCTATACAGCAACCACCAGCAATAGTTATGTTATGGAGGTGAATTTAACTTCCAGGTAATTGTAGATACTAGTACTTATTTTGGCATCTATTTAACTAATGAGTATAATTAAGCAATAAACTTAGAATAGGAAATCTGCCTGAGACCAAACGACGCCTGGCACATTTTCAGTCTTCTTTCATCCATATGCTTAGTTGACAATCAGACCAAGTACAAATTAAAGATTCAGCTTTCTCTTTGACACTACATATGATGGTTTGAAGAGCAGAAGTTGCTTCTGCAACTTCCAATGATTTGTCAGTTTAGATCTTTATTGGCTGACTAGAAGTAGCTCTCTGTGGTCATAGGGAGACGTTTTCTCTATCACTTCTTTGATCTGGAAGTGATCAAAGTGACTATTCTGGAATAGAATAGTCAGAGATTTTACCTAGGGCCTTATGCTTGGAAAGCATCTGCTCTGCTACTCTCTAGTATTTTCCAGTGGATAACAGATGTTGAATGTTGGGCAGGATAAAGAGATTGCATGGCTGCCATGTCAGGTCACAATTAGAAAGTGACCATCACCCCTTAATATTAACTATACAAGACTGCAATTTTGCTCTGAATGCCTGAGGTTCAATGTGAGTTGTATCCAGGTTAAGTGAGAACACTTTTCATTTGTATTTTAAATCATTGCTAAAATGGTTTTTAAATCATTTGTATTTTAATTGTTTCATCCCCATGATATGTTTAATTTGCAGAAAGTGACCAGACTATAGGAGATCTAGATGCTGGATCCAAAAAAGAAGGACGCATCTCCTTCGGCCGCCAAGCATCTCAGCCTGACCTGAGTGAGAACTGCCGAGTTCGCTGTCCTGTCTTTGTCTACAGTTGCTCCTTGGAGGTGCTACGGGAGCAGATGATAAATTCTAGGACAGAGAAATCTCTACGGGATATCTTTTTCAGGTGAGGAAACATGCAAGAAATTTAGTAACATCTAGGTAGATCTTGGACTGAGGTAAAGGATGATGTAATCAGGACTCAGTATCCTAACAGTTGATAGAAAAGCATGTATAAAACTATGTACGGTTAACTGAGTGCTTGTGTTGAAATCAGAACCATTAAAGCATGAATACAACATCTGGAGATCAATGTATCTCCAGGTGTTGCATTCATGTTTTAATGGTCCTGGCTTCAACACAAGCACTCCATAGACATTTGGGGCCTCCTTTAGATGATGAATTTCTTAGCCTTATTGGGTACTTTTTTTTCCAGAAGCCAGTCTATGGAGCGCCCCACTAGTGCTCCTTGGCTAGATTCCAAGCACAAGGAAGTGGTGAGTTACTGCACTTTGCTACAGGAACATTCTCACCAGTGCTATGTGAAAGGTAAGGGACAGAATTACTTTGCTTGGGAATGATGAGGTTGGAAAAAGTGGGATGTTGCACTTTATGTAACAAAGTCACCTTATGTTTGTCCTAGGCCTGGGGTACCTGAAAAGACTGGACATTGCTATATTAATATAACAAATCTATACCCCAGTAAGCCTCAGACAGTAACCCTGGGATGCCTTCTTTGCCCTTCCTGCTGCTTGGTTGAAAAACTATCAGAGGCACATTTGCATGGACATGTAATATTTATGTTCCTCGTTTGACAGGACTATTTCGGAGTCTTCAGCAGGGTCACAACATTAGCTCTCCTGATCTGCTAATCGCCATGGATTATTGTGAGGAACTTCTGCAGGAGATTGATATCACTCGCTTCCTGCTAACACTATGTAATCATGTGCGCTCCTTCTGTGAGCGCCACCAGCAGCAACTGTTTGTCAGCCTAGAAGGAAATCAAGCATCCAAACCACGTGGAGTACTAACTTCGGTTTCCAGGTAGAATTAACATTTGATATAAAGAAGGGAAAAAAAGCAGAAGGAATTGCTTGCAGTCTTGTACTTATAACCCAGGGTAATTATTTTTAGCATGTTGGTTCTGTGACTTTTCAGGATTTACATAAGGAAAAAGAAGGTATAAAATATATATGAATAACAATACTGAAACTATAGGAGGAATTTGCAAATCGTCACATAATAATGAAATTATCTTTTTTTAAAAAAAGTTTGGAGTGGCTTTTCACTGGAATTTTATCACTTATGACAAAATAAAGAAAAATAAAATAAAATCAGAAACATAAATATGTCTCTTTCAATAGTACATGATAAACAGGGACTTCAGGTTAAATTAAATAATGCTTTGGCACTGTTGCCTCGGGTTTTTTAAATGATCAACAATCCTATCTTCTGTTTCCCTTTGGGCAACCCAAAAGTCAGAAGAAAGTATAAGAGAAATGGGAAAAAAAGAGCTGGGAAGTAGAAGACAGGATTAGTTTTTGCAAACTGAGGAAGTAATCCAGTTGTTAAATCATAGTTCCGAAAATGAAATGCAGAAGCTGAGAGATAAATATAAACATGTAACTAATCTGGATTTAATAAAAAAAGTGCATCCAATATCTAAAAGCACCAAAATGCCCTTACCTTGGAAATAATCAGGAAAACAATTTCGAGAATTACTGATGACTTCATTTTGTAATGTTAAATTAGATTGTTGGTATAATTCATTGGGTTGACTTGCTAGCTTTCAAGGTTAGTTGATGTAGTCTTTTGTAGCAAGGACAATAAAGGGTCATGTGACACTCTAAGACTAACAAAATGTGTTATCACATAAGCTTTTATAAATGAAGAGGGTTTGAAAGCAACGTGATTTTTTTTTGTTAGTCTTAAAGGCCCAGAAGACTCTTTGTTTCACTTATAATAACACAGTGACTGTTTATCCTATATACTTTTGTAATTTCTTTGTTCAAACTGTAGATTTGCATTTCCATGCCTCTTAGCAACTTTATCTTATGCTCCACCCTTCATATTTTGTAACTTTTTGCCTATAGAAAATTTAGCGTGCTAAAAAATTTAACAAGGCAGGTTAATGTCATGAGGAAATATGGGGTTTAACACAAAATCTAGCAAAGGACAGCATTTTAAAGCACTATATTGCTTACAGAAATAGCATCAATTATTAAAATACATGTATGCATAGCTTTTTACTTTAATATTTGAATGATACTAATTTATAATTTGGACATTTTTATGTGGAAATCAGATAGTCTGTATTTTCAAATTGCCAAGGGTAAAAATTATTCAGAACTTTGTGAAAGATAATTATTTTTTTAATTGAAACCTAATCTTTATTAGGAAAAATAGTTTCATTGCTACATTCCTTAACTATGGTTTAGCACTGTGTGCAGAGCAAAGAATCCATGTACTTTTCACGTTTCTCTTCTTTATTGTGCCAAGAAGAGGAATATTGCAGAAGTGAATTTCCCTATAGCAGATCTGTAAATCCATGTTGATAAACAAGCCAGAAATAAACACCGTTATGTTCTTTTATTTAATAAGCTAGAGTTTGACCAAGTGTTTGATTATTCCTCCTCTGAGTTCTGTAATATGGAAAATGCATGAGCCCAGGCTTTGCACAGACTGGTTTCTAGGCTCCATAAAATAGGTTTTGATTTAGTGTTACATGCAAATATGGATGGTTTTCAAGTTATCTTAGAAAAATATAGTAAGTTTTATTTATTAGATTTTTATCCCACCTTTATTCCTTATAGGTACTGTAACTCAAGGAGGTGGACATACTTAATACTCCTTACTCCTCCTACTTTTCCTACAACAACAACCCTATGCAGTAGGTTGGGCTGAGAGAGAGTGACTGGCCCAAAGTCTCCTATCCAGCACTCATGCCTAAGCTGCACATTTGTGGGTTTTTAAAATGATTGAAGATTATAGGTGTGACATGATGTGGATAAATCAAACTTTCTGGGACAAAACTTTATTTTATGAGAAATAAAAGGAAGCACCCCTATCATTTATAATTTCTGATCAGAAATTTCAGGATGTCATGCCTTTTATCAACAAAACAGAGAAATAGATTTCATGTAAATTGAGCTTCTAAAATTCATATTTCATTACCAATGATAACTTTCTAAGCCTTTTTAGAAAGATTCTAGAAATATATCTTTGGTCATGGGAATATATATATTTTAGCTGTATTATTTTATACCTTTGATTTATTTGATTAACACCTGCATGGATGGACTTTCTAAGGTTCACGTCTTGTGCTAAACTTTCATGTGATCTGCTTGTTTATGTTTTATGAGGACCAAATTAAGATTAAGAAGTGTTGAATTTCAATTTGGTTTGTATTAAAGTAAGCAAATAATTTACCATGTGTTTGTCTGACAGATAGCTGTGTCAACACAAGCATGTGCTTGTTCTACCTTTAAATCTTAATAGCTAATAGAGCAACACATGCAACTGTAGTACAGAATTTTTTTTCTAATTATGGATTCCCAATCTCTTATTATTTATGACAACCTATTTGATACTATATTTGAGATACAGTATAAGGAATATAGAGTTAGAAGCAATATTACAACATTATGGCTGGATTGTTCCTTTTCTGACACCGAATAGGCAGCTGGCTCACATAATAAGAGTCGAGGTGGCGCAGTGGTTAGAGTGCAGTACTGCAGCTACTTCAGCTAACTGCTAGTTCAGCAGATCAGCGGATCAGATCTCACCCGCTCAAGATTGACTCAGCCTTCCATCCTTCTGAAGTGGGTAAAATGAGGACCCAGATTGTTGGGGCAATATGCTATTTAGTATACTGCCTTTGGTGTAAGATGCCCAGAGTCCTCGGAGAGTGGGCGGCATAGAAATATGACAGACAAACAAACAAACAAACAAATAAATAAATGATATTTTCAGGGCTACAGTTAAGATAACAGTTTTCTGAATACTACAAGCAAAGTTCTGGTTTAGGGAATTATTACAAATAGATCATGAAACCATTAAAATACTGACAATTAGAACAAATTAATAAGGAATAGAAAAAAATAAAACACATATCTAGAGAGAAAGAGAAACTGTCAATAATGAAGGAATCTTGAAAATGTGAAGAAAAGTGGCTTTCTTTATCTGAATAGGGAAGAAATTAAAATAAATATGAGTATTTTTATACTGTTTATACAAATAGTAGCATTTATATACTGCTACTATTATTTCAGAATAATAGCACTGTACAGCTGTCATTACCTATGCCCATTACTACCCACACTGCTGCATTCTGGACAGGGGTGAAATCTACTTACCTTCCTTACTGGTTCGGAAGTACATGCGCCACACGCGCACACCTTCTGTGCATGTGCAGAAGATAAAAAAACATTACTTCCTGGTTAAAACCAGGAAGTAATGACACCCAGGTGGCGATTGCTACCAGATCGCCGAACCACAGGGAAAAATCGCTACCGGATCGGGTGATCTGGTCCGATCCGGGAGCATTTCACCCCTGCTTCTGGACCAATTAGAGCTTCTGCATTGTATTGAAGGGCAACCCCAATACAATGGGGTTGTATTGGGGTTGTAGAAGATATTGCCGAATTCTAACCAGGAACTAATCAAAGCATGAGTGCCTCTTCCAGCAAAATTGTTTCCCTTAAAGCAATCTGTTATGTCTAACTACTAAGAAAAATTATGCTGGGAGAAAGTTCTTAAGAAGGGGTAATTCAGACATGCTGGTGACCAGGTTTGTTCTTCTGAAACCTGCCATAGTGTTGAAACAGAGGATTTCAGTGAAGCAGATTCCCACGGCTCTGCCTGTCCTTCCCAAGAGCCCCACCAGAGCTGTGACTCAGAATTCCCTCTCTCGCTACTAGACAGCAAGCAACCTTGCCAAGTGCAACCTGACTTACAAGGGATCATCCAGGTAAGCAGAAGGCTGGTTCATTTTGAGGGAGGTAATATTTTAAAGCTTTTTAAAAGTTGAGATCACTACTTTTATTGCTTTCTTCTTTTCCACCCAGGAGAAATTCTTGGAAATTAGCAGCTTATATTTTAAGCCAGTGCCATCCAACCCCCATTACTATTTCTATTGCCCGCCTTCCACCAAAAAAGAGGTAGGAACATAGGTTTATAACTTTGTCATTATCCCCTATTCTGGGAGAGGACTTGAAAGAAGAATTCAGTACGAAGACTTTGGATATGTTACATGGACATTTTTTTTTAAAAAAAATATAATTTTAGGAAGAGGTTTCACGGGACCATCAAGACCGAAAAGGCAGTGAAGACGTTGAGAGTTCAGAAAATGATCTGGCAACTGATGAAGGTATTAAACTGTACTCTGTACTCACTGATGTGAGATTTGGAGCTGGAGATGGTGTGCTTGGTGTACTTTGATAATTTGATCAAGAATATTGCAGTCGTGGAAATGTGAACTAGGGCAGGGGCTGCCAGACTTAAGTGTACCTTTCAGTCACAGAAGCTCATTTTGCATCGGTCACTACTCACAGCCCAAGTTACATCACAGTGTGGTCATTATGGGGAAAAACTGTGGAAGAGTTAACAGAAGAGAGATGGAATCTAAATTAAACAAAAATAAATATGGGATTTCCCATAACCCCCTTGATTGAATGAAAATTGCTGCGAGAGAATGTCTAACTACCCAACATTGCTGAATCATATTTTTGTTTGGGTAAGCATATTAGCTGCAGAGAGAAGGATCCTAGCTGAGCAGTGCTTTGGAAGACTGAAGGCAGAGAGTCAGTAGGAGTACGGTTCCCTACCTGACTGTTTTCTTTGTCTCCCCAGCTATACTTATATTTCTTGCTTTTGGCCACGATATGGTCAGTCAAGATAGCTGTGTGTTTCAGTTTTCCTAGACTAATTTGTTTCTGAAAGGAAGATTCCTAGTTCATTTAACTCACCTAAATTACCTTGGAAACCTCTAGCAGAAACATTGCCCAACCTAACCTTATATTAATAGTGAGAATCTGTAGCCTTGCAGATAGGGTTGCAGAACTCATCATTCTCTGCTATTGGCTATGCTGAATATGGCTTATGGCCAATGACAGCACCCAGGGAGCAACCCATTCCCTGTCCTTATTTTAAAGGTTGGAACTCAGGTAAGAGGGCTCCTGTTACTCTGAAGCAATTATTTGTGTGTATCCATAGACTTGCAAGGGTGCTTTTGATGAGTCCAGAGAACAAATGTCAGTCATAACTGATTTTCTGGGACACATACTCTCCATAGAGAGTCCTGTACACATCCGGCCATGTATCTGTTGGTTTATTAGAAAACTAAAAGTTGTGCTAGAGCCAATGTAATATGAAGTGGGCAAAATAGTAAAGAGAGGATAGTTTTGCAGGGAAACAAATAATAGCCTATATGACCAGCTGTACTGTACTGTACTGTACTGCACTGTACTGTACTGTACTGTATTATATTACACTGGGAAATACAAACTCTCTGGACTCATCAAAAGCATGTTAATCTCATTTGTAACAGAATTACCTGCCATGTTATCAATCACTGACTGGCCAACCATACAGACATTGCTGGGCCATTGTTTAATCAATCACTGTAACGATTTTAGTTCATATCCACTTACAACTTTATATTTTTGATACAAATTACTGTTGTGTACTTTTACACGTGGTTGTTAGTCCTTTTTTATCCAAAGCCAATTTATCTTGCTAATATACACTGTTCATTTACCGGTAATCCTTTTAGGCCGAGGGTGGGCAACTGTGGCCCTTTCATAACTTGTGGACTTCAACTCCCAGAATTCCTGAGACAGCCAAGCTGGCTCAGGAATTCTGGGAGTTGAAGTCCACAGGTGTAAAAGGGCCACAGTTCCCCACCCCTGGTTTAGGCTACACTTTTAAAAGAGGACTTTTATAGAAGAAATCTCTTTTGGTACTTTGACAACTTCTCTTGAAATTGATAAATGATTTATTTTTAAATAGGGAACACATCCAGCTATGCCATTGGCACTGAGAGTGACCCAGAACTGGAGGTAGAATATCGGGAGCGCTTGGACCAAGAATTTTTAGAAGCCGGCTCCTTGTCAGACTCCAATACTGTTAACCAGGATGATGACTCCTTCAGTGTCCTGGGAGACTCCCTGGCAGAACAGGAACTGCTGGAGCAAGACATGCCTCCCCTCTTTATGCACTTGACCTGTTCTGTGAAGCTACGCAGCCAGCACTGTTCCATGCCTGTTCGCTCGCTGCCCACCTGCCTAGGTGAATAAAAAAGAACAAAATGAAGGTTTGGGGTGGGAATGATGGAACTCTAGTATGGGAGACATTGCATATGGCCAGGTAGAAACTCCCAAAGGAAATGTGGATTGATGGAGTCTTATGACTGAGATCCAACTTCTCCCTGAGCATTTGGCAAAGAAGCATAAAGAGGGGGTTCTCTGTGAGTAATATCTGCTGCTTTCTATAGGAGATGTGCTGGGCGGCCTTGAAAGCTCTAAGACACTTCACACAATTGACCTTTCTGACCTTTGTGTGACCCTTGACATTTTTGTCTTGACTGTTCCTCTGGAGATCGAAATGGTGAACGATTTACATCACAATAGGTGGGAACTCATGATTATCAAAGGGTTGGGGAGTTTTGAAGCCTTGGAAAAAAGTTCAGATGTTATTTCCTCTCTTTCCACAGATACACCTCTGAGAGCAGCGTCTCCTTCACCCGTTCCCCAGGACAGCCCTCTTCTTTCCGTTCAGATGATGAGCTTATGCACACCTTGGACAGAATGCCATCCTCCTCCACTGATTGGTATTAATCTTTTTCTATCAAATGTCTGTGCTGGGATGTATGAATTGAAGACTCTTAGGTTCAGAATGTGCATTCTCATCTTATTTTCAAGGCATCCAGCACTCTCCAATCTTCCTGCAGTGCACAGGCAAGCTGTTGAAGCCACTATGACAGAAGTGAGTCTATCTGCCCTTGGGATTGGGGCAGCTGGAAACTTTGGGCATTATCCTTCTTCCTCTGCCTTCCTCTGCTCTTCTGTATTAGAGCATGGCCTGGCTACAAACCATTCTTGGTAGGAATGCAGTTGCTAGAAACAGTCTCTTACTGGAGAGTATTCCATTCCATGACCTGGACTTTCCTCTCTTCTTTCTCAGATCCGTTGGCTCCTGGATGATGAGATTGTGTCAGCATTGCGTTACTCACAGCCTGTTACTGCTAGCATCTTGAGTCAAGCAGCTTCTCACATCTATAGTTCCCAGGGCCGCCCAAGCTGCCATTGTGAGGTGGTCCCTCTGCAATTTGTATTTGGACCTGAGAATTCTCTGGAAAGGTTTTGTGAGGTAAACAGGATTCTATCCCTTTGCCTTTTCATAGTGTTTTGGATAGATTTCATGTGATTTCTATAGTCTACAATCCCTAAATAACGATTGAAGAGGCTCTGTGATTATACATAATTCCTAAAAGCCTGAGCTAGGATCCTAAGAAAACTCCAAAATGTTCATCAGCAAATGGTGCACAGTATCCAGATCTGAAGCAAGCAGCGGCATTTGAATCCACCTGCAGTTCCTTCTCTCTGCCCGCTGACTGCTGCTAGAAGAAACTTTCCCTTTTCCAGGGCATGCATAATAGTTGCATGTGTTCAGGAAAATAATTAAGTTGTATACAGGAGAAGAGAATAAAGATCAAATACATAGGAGGCTGGAGTATTTTGTTTCAATGAATTATAAATTAAATTAAGTCAAATTTAGGGACTTCTTTTTCTTTTATCCCAGCCCTGCTTATTTCGGATTTGGATGCCAAATTTTAAATGCAGCCTTTGGTCTGGAAAAGTTGTAAATCTCTGCCTTGGATATTAAACCAGACCATGGTTGTCATTTCACAATAAAAAAAATCAATAGCACATATTGCAACTATAAGAAATAATACAATGAAATATCCCAGGCCAAAATTAAAATTACTGAGTAATAAAAATAAAACAAAAACCCAAACTTAACTGCAACCAAACAACAACAACAACAACCTGATGGCATTACTTCATTCAAAGAATCTGTAAAATAGATCTGTTTTTATTAACTTATAAAGAGTCAACAAAATGGAGCACAGATTTCCAGGGGAATGCTGTTCCATAACAGCATACCCACTGAAAAGCTGCACCTGTAAATTTCAGCTCCCTGCTTCACTTCAGAGAAGTGAGGAGTGACTGTCAATTTCTCCTGGGATATAGGAGTCTGGCAGGTTGACTCTGTCTAGAGAAGATAATCCTGCAAGTAGCATATAGTTTAAAATCAGCTTTTTGAATTATGCCCACAAGCCAATGCAAGCCCTGAACCAACCATCTAGTACTCTCATGCCAATATATGAAAAAGAATGCCAATCACCAAGAGCTAATCTTCTGAATTAGTTGTAGCTTCTGAATTGTCTTCAGAAATAGCCTCACATGGAATACATTATTGTAGAATAAACAAATAATACTGAAAACACAAGCAACTTTTGTAAGGTCCTTTACTTTATGGTTGCAACTGTCATACCAAGCAGCTGAATGAAAACCTCCATCTGTCATGTGGTAATAAGTTCAGGAGGACTGTCATACCCTGCTCTCTCTCAAGGGTAGTGGTGCTCTATCAAGAGACAACACTGCAGTTGTAACAGTGCCTCAGTGCACTGTACAAAGCCTGTTTTGCCAAGGTTTTGTTAGCTGCCCAGAGTCACTTTAGTGAATATGGACACACCTAGAAAAGAACTGGAACTTACTACAAACTCTTTCTAAATTGCCAGCATCACTTTCTCCCATAATGAGCCCTACAAAACTGTCTGGATCCCTGGAAGTGACTCCTCACTTCTCTCAATATATTCCCAGAGATTTTGCTATTTGTGCCATAATCTCAATAGCCACAGCAGTTTGGCAACCGGCAGTACCAGCAGTTTGACAAAATTGGTTTCCCAACCATCCACCCAACTATGCCCTTCCTTCACTTAGTTTCGGCCTACAAAGTAGATTCCCCTCTCTTCTTTGTTTGGGTGCTTCTAGGAGTTCCAGAAAATGCCCTTGCCCGGCTATGTCCTCAATGCTGAGGGAAGTGATTTCTACTATGCATCCGTCAGTCGCCTACATGCCTCAGTCAGTGGACCCAGCCCTTCTGTTACTCTCGAGAGCACTATGACAGGAGGCAGATGTGACAGCAGCAGCAAAACAGAAGGCTCCCTACCCTGTTCTACTCCCCCTGATGAAGCTCAAAGTCTCTGGGCATGGCCAGCAAATGAAAACAAGACTGGAGAATGTCTGGGCATAAGTAACCAAGTACCTGTTGAGGTAGGTTTTAGACGTGATTGAAACAGATGAGAGATTTAATGGTCATTGATATGGGACCACAAGGGTGACTGTTGAGGAAACATCCCGGACTATCTTGTCAGTAGAACTTTCCATCTTTTCTATGATGCAGGTGTCAGCCCAATTAACATCTGTGGATCACCAGACCAGTATTTTGGAGCAGGGTTGTCCAGGTGAGGAAACTCCTTTGACGCAGGCGCAACCTCAGGCTTCCTTTTCAGACAAATGGAGCAGTGAGCAATCTCCGTTAGCTACACCATCTCTACCAAATCTAACAGAATCTGTGTTCCCCAGCAAGGAAGGTGAGAAACTGTCACCAAGCATTCACAATTATGAAATATAAAATGAGTTCCTAAGCTTTTTTCAAAATGAAATGTAGTCTTTTGAAATTGTCATAGTACTGAACTCTTGCAGCTGCTCTTTTACTTATTTCATTTATTTGTACCTACCTTTATTATTTTTACAAATAATATTTTTACTTATCCAACACAACAATTTTCTTCACAACAACAGCCTTGTGGGGTGGGGTGGGCTGAGACAAATTGACTGGCCCAAAGTCATCCAGTTGACTTTCATGGCTAAGGCAGGACTTGAACTCATGGTCTCCTGCTTTCTAGCCTAGTGCCTTAACCACTAGACCAAATTGGCTGCTTTTGTTCTGCTTGCTTCAATAGAACTAATTATAATCAATGTTACTTTGGGGTTACTTTGATTTTAAAGTATAGTAAATCTTTATCAGTTGACTTTATTCTTGATCTACTACTTTATGAATGACAATTAACATTACAGATCTGGAAGGCTTTTATTTGTTTGAACTGTTTTTAAATTTTATTCACTGAAATTCAATTTTCAAGTCAAATCTACTTTTGTGTGTGTGAGAGAGAGAGGATCTAGCATCTTTATGTTTTGCATTCGTTTGCCTTTGCATGTCTGCATTTCTCCCTAGTATTTTATATAGCTTACTCTGAACAAAAATGTAGTATTTCACGCTTATAAAAACTCCATATTCAGGTCATTATCTTTTCCTTAGCCCTGACTGTTACACCAAAAGTTGTGATCTTCAGTAGGTGTCTGTTAAAATGCTTTTCTTCATAGCGTTACTCCAAGATTGATTTTTTTTATAATCAAGATCATTTTAGTACCATTGAGCTCATGAGACTGCAGTTCTAGAAAGCTACTGCATGTCTTGCATTTCAATTTTGGTATGAAGTGACCGTCAGTCAAAATTGGAACTTTGAGGAACCTCAGGTCTCAGAGCTTTATTTCGTTGGGGGTGTTCCTTGGAACCCTGAGAGTGACTCTTGCTTAATTTCTGAAATTACACAATCTGTGCAGCAGTCAGGATTTTTTAAAAATAATACTTTGTGTACTTTTAGTATGCTTGCATCCTTTTCTTTTCAGGCTCAGTTCTTGATGCTTGATGCCAGATTGTCAATTTTGATGCTTAAACCAAAGTTTATCGGCAGGATGTGCGGAATCTTTCACCTTGGGAGAAGTCTCTTAAGGGCATCTGACTCTTTTCTTTACAGGTGGTTATAGGAAGCAACAGCTTAGTCAAGTGCAAAGTTTGGTGTCAAGCCAGGGAAGCATGGATTCTGATCTTCTTGGTGAGTGGATGGGTTGTATTTTTGGGGAAAGTCAGTTTTGGAGAACTGGGGAAATATCTGTCTAGGATTTCCTGACAACATCATAGATGTGGACTATCATAGAACCATTGGACTCCCCAGGAACCTTCTGATATTTTTAGGATGAATTGACTGAACCCTTCACAGATAGCAGGATACATTTTCATTTCCCAGGATATGATGGAGGTAGCAGTGATTCTGAAGGTGAGGAGGCAGTGATGAGTGACCTAGAATCCAGGTGCCCTCTGATACCTGACTTCTGGCTGATCATCAAGATCCACCAGGATCGGGTTGAAGTTTATTCCCATACGCGGTAAGATCCTAATTCTCATGGCTCCCTAAGCAGAGATGAGAAAGTGATTCCCCTGAGTGATTTTTCTGACATGGAATTGGATGATCTGTGAATGCGCGATTTGGGGAGCTCAAATTGGGAAAGAGAAGAGGAGATACAGCTCTTATTGGCTGTGAATTTCACACCCAAAATCAATTATAATATAAGCATCTGTCAGTGTGCTGCTTTCCTCTCATCCTTGTTTTACATTTATCATATTCATTCAGTGATGTAATGAAAGAAAGAAAGTGGTGTGTGTGTGGGTGTTGCCCAAACTTTGTGTGTGTATTGCCCAATCTGTACCAACTATATATTACCTTGGATAGACTGCAATTCCTATAATTCTACTGGGCCGGAAAATTAAATAGTATAGTTTAGTGGAGTTCTGCTGACTGGAGAATTCTGGGAGCTGAAGCCCACACTTCTGAAAGTTCTGTAAGTTGAGAAACACTAGTCTAGTGCATCTAGAGGACACCAAAGTGGAAGATAATAGCACTTTATGCTTGGAAATGAAAGTTTCCTCATGAGTCAGGTTCTGAGACTTCTCTTTTTCCTCTCTATAGCAGCTACAATGCAGTAAAAGCAACACAGATTGAGGAAGGAGAATGCATACAACTTCACCGGGCAATGATAAAGAAGGTTGGAGAGGTTTGCCGTGTTGTTAACCAGGTAAGTATGGCACATTCAAGCTATAAAGCCTGCTCCTTAAATGATAACAAGCTATCCTGTAGTTTCCTGGAGGAATAGTGCTTCCTTGTGAGTAAGAAAATGCAACTACAAGCTTCTTTTTTAAAAAAATTGTCCCACAAATCAGTTAGAAACTAACCAAATTGAGAAATTGTAGGCCAATCACCTTAATGCTTTTTCTCAGGTAGAGGAAAGGGAATTCAGGATAGATTCTGCAAGAACAAATCCCATTGGGGGAATGGCCCTATTGACACTGTGTACTTAGATTGTGCATCTGTTGTACATATTCCTGGATTGGTGGGGGGCTGCTCATAGTCACTTATGCCCTTGTGATCTCAAGATTAGACTGTTGCAGTGCAATTTATATGGAACTGAAGACACTTCACCTAGTGCAGAATGCACTGGCATGGACAGTTACTGACACAAGTTACTTAGTGCATGTGACAATACTGGTTCACGAGTGCATTGGCTTCCTGAGGGCCTCCAGGTGTCATTCTAGATATTAGTTGTCACTTTAAGTCCCTTTGTGACTTTTGACCAGGTTATCTATGGGTCCAACCCTCCCCAATGGACTCTATCGGAATACAGGTTTGGCCTGAGCCCGGGACCCTGAGCATGTGATAGAGTCCATCTTTTGGCTATGTGGTACTTACTTGGATGATGCCCAGCTACTATGCATTTTATTTTTATATCACATATCTTACGTATTTTATTGTAAACTACCTAGAGTAGTGTGTAAAATGGGCAGCCTTATAAATCAAATAAATAAATATAGAACATATGGAGAGGTTAAAAAAATACATTGAGGAAGAAGACAGTGCAAACTACTTTTATATTCTTACCAAGGAAGCTACATGGATGTATCTGTAAAGTCACCAAGAATTGAATTCAACTTAAAGAAAACTTTACATTTTTTTTATTACAAACTCCTCCTTCTTTGAGCGTTTTTTAACAAACAACAACGGGGTGGGGTGGGGGGCTCAAAAACTGTTCCTGATGTGAGGAAACAATTAAATTAATGCTTCCTGCCCCCTTCTCTTTAAAGCGGTTGCTGCTGCAAGATCTGCATGATAGCCACATTTGTAATTCTCTGTTGGTCGCTGAGAGTGAGGAGGATATCTGGAAAACTGAAACACCTTATACCTATCGGCAGCGCACTGGGCCTGATGGTAGGAGCTTAAAGATGATTTTTGCTTAATGACTGTCCTGTTTAGCAACCACTCAGAGTTATAACAATGCTGAAAAAGAAGCTTTTATGAGGAGTCCTCCTTCTTAACAATCCTTGCAGCAAGTCACCTGATTGAGATTCTGGCACTTTGAAACCAACAGACATTTATGACCATCCCAGTATCTCAGTGTCACATTTGCCATTTGCACCGTTTACAGCCAGCTTCCTACAAGCCGACTCAATAAAGAAGCCAGCAGTAGCACTGGAAGTTGTGGTCATGTGACAACTGATTTAAATTATTGCAGGTGATTAGTTTAATAACCACAACGGAAGTGAGGTTGTAACTCTGTTCTGGTCACATGATGTCTTGCATTTGAGCTTAATGACAAATTTGGTGGTCCCCATTATGGATATTAAGCTAGGATTACCTATATTCTACCTGTATTCTAGTTGCTTACATTAACAATGATGCTTCTCATAAATAACAGAAGAACATAAGTTTCCCCCCCCCCCCTCGCCTTTTATTCTGTAAGATTTATGGCAGTATCTTAAGTTGAAAATCTCCTTGCTTGTTTCCATTACTGGTTATATATTTCCATACTTTTGTGCAAAGCTAATAGTATCTATTGTATGTTTGGGTTTCAATTGGGATGGGCGTATGTATAGAAAATATTTGTGCTTGATTTTGGGGCTATCTGTTGAAAAGTGGGAGAGAGCAAATCTGTGAAATAATCTCTCCCCCCCTTTCAGATTATCCTGGAGAGGAAAGCTACCAGCCCCGTGACTATCTTGCAGCCACTATGCAGTTCATACCTGGACATTTTGCCTGTGATGCAGTCTGGAGTACCACCATTCATGTGCATTCAAGGCTCAAGATGGGGCCCAATATGGGTGTTGCACGTGGTAGGTATTTGAAAGAAAGCTAGTCCTAGACTGTCCATTCTTGGACGAGGCCTTGTGCCCTAACATAATAAATTCTCTCCTTCTTGTTAGTTGGCAGTCCCTAGGAGATAGGAAAGGTATTGATAGGGTAGACCCAAACAGGATAGAACTTCATGCCAGACAAGATCAGGCAGTGATACAGCAGTCTCTTGAAAAGAGTGGGCTGCTGATATGGAATGTGGGGATGGTGGTAAGTGGTATCTGGGAGAATGCATCATATAATTAAAAAAATGAGAGAACTTTATAGGAGGGGATTCTGACATTAGAACTAAAATGTTTTAGTATCATGATTTGAGCAAAGCAATTGGAAGAAATCCAAGCAGTGAGATGAGGTTGTACCTCCACAGTAATTAAAAGAGATGTGTTAAAGTACAACTTTTTAAGAAATAACTTCTGTTTTTAAGATAGTATCTGCTAAATACTATAGATGTAGTTAGCATGTATTCTAGTGAAGAATTTTGCCAAATTCTTTGGCAAAGAATTCTTTGGCAATGTCCAAATATTCTCTGATACATAATACCTTAATGGAAACTCTGCTAGCATTTAATATTTTTTCACATATTGCTTCATGCCTATTAATAATATCAAATTAAGACAGTTTTCAAATATTTGAACGCATCCAGGAGATTGGTAATTAGGCAGGTGGGTTTAATGAGCGGGCTGTAACCCTAAGAGACTGGTGGGTCGGCTTCTGAAAATTGCTACAGATTAATTGGGCATTAAACTAAATCTGTCTCTTCATAAACTTGTGCTTCTCACTCTCTCTCCGGCAGCTATCCAAGCCCTGCGCTCTGTGCTCAATGCCTTCTCAGTTGTGAACAGGAAAAATATGTTTGTTTACCAGGAGCGTGCAACCAAGTCTGTTTTTTATTTACGGTAAGTTCAGTATGTCCTTGGACATGCCCACCACATTGCTCTCAAAGTTCAGAGGAGCCTACTCGAACCATAGCTTATTACTGACTTGGGTGCTGCCTTCCTTTTGCCTCTCATAATGTTTTTCATTCATTACAACACACTTTTTTTCTTTTGTTATTCTAACCCAGGCTGTCCGAAACCACTTCTGGTGGGAAGGCTGGGGAAAATGAAATCCAAAGTCTTGTGTGCCGTTCGCTGGCACTTTCACGCAGCCAGGAGCCCATTTACACTGAAGACATGAGTGTAAGTATCTGTTACATTTACATGGAACCTGTGTGTCCTTGGTGCTAAAACAGAATACAGCTAGTCCTTGATTTATGATTGTAATTGGGACTCAAATCTCTCTTTCTAAGCAATACTGTTGTAAACTGCAATCCTCTTGCTTAGTGACAAGCATAATCCTTACAGTTATGATTGTTGCTGTTAACTGAATCTAATGACTGAATGGTCATTAGGCAAGGCAATTTCCCACAGCCAAAGTCAGTAGAGAAGGAAGTTGCAATCCTGCTGGCAGGTAGATGACTGCTACCAGATGGAGGAGAGCACAAGGTGGGGTGGCATGGCACAGGGGTACAGGGGAAGGTCAGTCAGGATGCAAGGGGATGTGCAGGAGGCATTTTACAGGTCAGGGAGGTTGCACAAAGGTGTGAGGAGGTATGTGAGAAGTATGGGGTGGGCGCACAGGGTTGTAAGGGATTGCACAAGAGGCACCATCGCGGAGGTTGGTGAGAGTGTGCAAAATAACACCATGAAGGTTTGGGAGGGGGTGTGAGGGTGGCCAGCACAGAACAAGCACAGAATGGCTATGGAAGGGTGCACAGGTGGGAGAGACATGTGACCAGGGGTGAAATCCAGCCGGTTCTATCTAGCTCGGGCAAACTGGTAGCGGTGGCTGCAGAGGCTCCACCCACCCTAACGGACATCATGACGTTGCTTTTTTGCAACATTTTAAGCCTCTGTGCATACACACAAGGCTTTGTGCATGTGTGGATGACGGCATGTGCAAGCGGAGCAAGCGTGCGCAGTGCGCGCACATTGGCGAACCGGTAGGGAAGGTAAGTGAATTTCACCCCTGCATGTGACCTTTCCTGCCAGCTTTCCAACTGACTTTCTGGGGAAGGTAGCAGGGAATCTGACAAATGGCAATCACTTGAAAAGCGGTGCCCTTGGCATCTAGTTGTAACTCTGAGGACTGGTTATAACCAACATTCGTTCAACAGCATTGTAACTTGGAATGGTCAGTGGCCAAATGGTTGTAGGTCGAGGACTGCCTCTATACTAAATGCTTACAGTGGGAGCTTTGCTCTCTTCCCACCCAGGGATTGTGATGTTGCTTTTCTTTAATAGGGCTCTCACTCATCCTTGGGAACAGCCTCTTTCCGCAGCGTGGATTCCGCTCGTCCTATAAGCCAAATTGATAGACACATCCAACTAGTGGTTCATGGAGTGGCACCAGCAGGTAGGCTGGGCACACACTGGTGTAATGGATGGCTGGGTAATGGATAAGACAGAAGGAAGGAATGCCTGTGGAGATGCTGCTGTTGCTGGCAGAATAAAAGACACAACTATAGAAGTTACATTCTTTTATATTTCTCCTTAATTTAATAACCTCTTGTGCATATTTCCATTGTAGCTTCTTTGTTTCCTCAACATTTCCTCTAGCCATCCTATAAAAGCACTTTGGGGATCATGTCACAAGTCACAAGTCACAAGTCACTCTAATATATGCAACTATTTACAATTAACATAGCAACAGCAGGTGAAAGAGCAGAGGAATGGCAGAGCAGCTCTCAAAAACAGTATCCTAAATAGGTTAATTGACGGGCACTATAGCAGACCCAAGAGCTGTACTGGAGTTCAGGTATAAGAAGCTCAGACTACTTCTCCTTTCATAGGACCTGAGATCACAGACGAGCTGGTGAAGGTTCTGCGTAGACGTCTGGATGAAGCCACCCTGGATATCATCACAGTTATGCTTGTGCGGAACTGCAAACTCACTCCAGCTGATGTGGAGGTATTGGCTGAAGGAAGTACTGAACTTGCTTCCTGAGATTGTTCTAACTTCCGGCTGAAATAATTCTCCCCCCCTCCCCCCCTAAAATAAGAACTTTACTCCTTGACTAAAATCTCCCATCTTGGGGACTTTGTGGTCTCAGAAATATCAAACTATTGATACCCTATCTCTTCTGCAGTTCATACAACCTCCTGGGAGCCTGCCCACTGAAGTACTGCAATTTACTCTTCCTACTTCATGCCTGCCTTGGCTTCCAGCTGTAGCCTGCTATCTGCGGCAGAATCTGCTGATCTTTCTGCACACACCCAAATACACAGATAGTAATGTGGAGAACCACTTCAAGGTGAGTGTGTGGTTACCTTGAACTGCATGTTCAGTTTTTGGAGCTGAGTGGACCATTTTAGGTTGCCAGGTTATTTTGGTTCCAGTCACTGCAAATAGTTACGCTGGAAGGTAATTTTAGGTCTAAAAGGAAATGTTTGCTTCACTGCTATATAATCTCACATTAGACTGAAAATCATCCCTGTGATCTGGTAATACTGTTGTATTAAAAATGCTACAATTATATATTATTATACTTTTAAGTGTTGCCATTTTACTTCTGAAGTCTTTAAACACACAGATAGCTGCATAAGCAGAGGGATAGAATCAAGATCACATGAAGTGTAAATACCACTTTATAATGCCTTGGTAAGGCTACCCTTGGAAAACTGCATCCAGTTTTGATCGCCACGATGTAAAAAAGATGTTGAGACTCTAGAAAGAGTGCAGAGAAGAGCAACAAAGATAATTAAGGGACTGGAGGCTAAAACACATAAAGAAAGGTTGCTGGAATTGGGTATATCTAGTTTAATGAAGAAAACGACTAGGGGAGACATGATAGCATGATATCTAAGGGGTTGCCACAAAGAAGAGGGAGTCAGTCTATTCTCCAAAGCACCCGAAGGCAGGACAAGAAGCAATGGATGGAAGCTAATCAAGGAGAGAAGCACCCTAGAACTAAGGAGAAATTTCCTGACAGTTATAACAATCAGTGGAACAACTTGCCTCCAGAAGTTCTGAATGCTCCAACACTGGAAGTTTTTAAGAAGAGTTTGAACAACTATTTGCCTATATGGTACAGGGTATCCTGCCTGAGCAGGCGGTTGAACTAGAAGATCTCCAAGGTCTATCTGTTCTGTTCTATTATTTTCAGCTTTCTTTTCTAAGGAGGCATTTCTGAACACTAGCTTAAAGTAACCACTCTTTTCTTGCTTTTCAGCACTGCCTGAACCAGAATAGCAGCAGCAGCAGTCCTGAATTGGATCTCTATTTATATAATAAGCCAGGAGGTCAAGGCACTGGTGGCAAAGGTACTAAGCATCTCTGCTCTGTTGCAACAGGATAAAGACTAGAACACTCTAGCAATAAACTAGAGCACTTTTGGACAGTCTTAGATACAGGAGAATAAAGGCGAGTTGGGCTACCGAAAAAATAGAAGATTCTGTGAAGAGCCATCTGTCTCTTGTTTGGTCCATGTGAACCGAATTATGAAACATCCATGCATCTATATACTGTATCTTGCCGCCTTTCCAAATCTGTTTTTTCTCCAGATGTGTTACCCATTCTTTTAAACCAGCAGAGTCGGTAGCCATGTAGGTTATCTGGGTTATTGTCAGAATAGAAGTATAGTGTAACTGGAGGATTAGTAAAGGCAGCTCTAATGCTGTGTCCCCAGTATGATGGAGAGGCACTACATTTTTTAAAAATCCCTCCCTGCCATTTGTGGGTTGTAATTCAGTGAAATTTGTTGTTCAGTACCGACTGCACATTTTCTGATCCATGGTGATTAAAATGAAATGACATGTAAGAGTCGATACTGTATTCTTGAATTAGGGAGCCAGAATAACTAGAGATTAAACTATCTGCTTGAAACAAGACATTTTGGGTTTTGGCCCATTCATTTAGCTGGTAATGTTGATTGGTGTTGATTGGTGTTGCCAAATGCAGAGAGAATAATGCATGTACTTTGACATACTCTTGCCTCCTTTTCCACCTGCACTGTGGTTTGGTTGTGTGGGTAATGCATCACTTCAAAGTGTGTCTGACCATTCTTCTGTCGTGTAGGTTCCATGTTGGATCTTGTGCAGCACCTGTTTCCACCTTCCCAGTTTCAAGGTAGCTTCCTGTAGATTCCAGTGGGCCACTGAATTTTTTTCCAGTGCTGCTTCCCATCCTCATTTTTGATCCTATGCCTGCTGTGCTGTTGGCTTTTGCTCTGTTGTTTACTGTGTCACCCATGTTTCCTCTTCAGTGTTGTCACCCAGACCTTTTTTCCGGCTCTTATCCTTGGTTCCAAGAAAAAGCTTTTTTTTTTCCAAGTAAGGATTATTTGTCAAAGTTAAAGAATCCACAACAAAAATAGGAAATATTGGCATATTTGGTGGCTTCAGATGGACATAGAATAATTATTTTTCTATTTGCATTTCAACCTTTCATCTTGAAACCAAAATGGGAGTAAAACATCAGGCACATTTCAGAAGATCTGTATAACTCTGTAGAGCATATACTGCTGTAGGGTTTATTTTGCAACGCAGAGCAATAGACAATTTTCTTCTGTAATCCTGGAATTGTGAAGTGGGATTCCATGATACTCTGGAATAAAGGTGTAAAACTATGCAACTGATAGTAGGTTGATGGAGAGCTGGAGACGCCTGACCCTGCAATGCATTTAGAAACAGCCCTAACTGAATGGATTTTATACTCAAAATCAGAATAAATGCTGAGCTTGGGCAAGAAATTTTCCTGGTGACATATTTGTTCAGGATCTTAAAACTGCTGGATCAGTGGAAATGGGACTGGAACACTTGAGTGCCTTTGGTATTGTGCATCTTTGAAGCAGGTTCTTTACATGTAGCTTGTCAGATGGATTTCTAAGTATTTTTGGCAACTTTGAGCTTTATGGTTCTATACCTAACAGAATAGATGACACTACTAGCTCTTCCTTTATCTTTGTTCTCACATGGTTGTTGAGTCAATAACAGGATTATGTTTCAGCCATGCTGGGAGTCAGTATAAACTTAAAGGATCAGTTTGCTTCCATAAGAGGGCTTATTGCATGCCTGGAATAGGCTCTCTTTCTCTTTCCTAGGCATGGTTTAGGAGACATATCTCCACGCGATCTATTTCTTCCATGCAAAGGCTACATCAGGCCAAGGTCATGCTAATAGGAGGTGCTGAGCATGTTATGATTACCTTTGACAATAGGGTGCATGATTGAGATAGCATCTACAGTGTCTCTGCCATCATGCACCTTCTGCATGGAGGAAACTCACTACTTCTGTCTATAATTGATGTCATTTTAAAAACCTAGACTGCTAGTGTCTACTGATGCTATCTTGTAGAGTGTGTCCTTACCATTTTGCACACCCTTCTTAGGAACTTTTGGCATGCAGATATTAGTAAGAGATTTTGCTTGGCAAAGTGTGATTCCTATAGAATTACCATTTGTCATTATCTTGTTTTTTTTCCCCATGGGTACTAATTAATGTGGTGCATTACAGGCCAGAAGAAGGTTAGAAGAACTGAAAGAGTTACCACCACAAACCTTGATCCCCAGTTTTCAAGGGATCCTGACACAGTACAGGAAAGGAGCTGCTTGCTTGCTTGCTTGCTGCTGTTTGCTGGAATAAGTAAAAGAAATCTAGAGAGGGCTGATCTGTTGTCTGATGCTTTTGCTGGCTGAATTTTGCTAAACCTGCAATGAATGCCACTGTTTTGTAGGTGAAAGCCCATTCCTAGTGGGAGCAGGTCTCTTTGTTATCCACATGTATGTTGATTTCCTTGTCCACATTTGTTTCACCCTTTCTCTCTGCACATACTTTTTTTTTTTAACCTTCCCAAGTAGCATCCCAAGGATGCTGAGTTTCTGTAGCAAGTACTAAGGTGAATGGGCTCAAGGAGGCCTTCTATTTCCCTGCAGGTGTTGCATGCATTGCCCTGTCCTTTGTGGATAACTGCGGAAATCCCATTTCACTGGCTCGCTGGGTGAGGCCCTCCACTGTCCTGCTGAGCACTTCATTTCTTCCAGAGGCGGACTTTGAGAGCTTGACTACAGCCAACAAGCATGAGTGTGAACCTGGCAAGTCACAGTCAGGTAGGAAGGCAAAATTTCTGTTTTCCAAAAGAATTCATAAGCAAAATAATGAGACCAAAATGAGACCAGGTGCACAGTCCAAGTTCAGGGTTCATTTGGGAATTGCTGTAGCTTTTTCTAAGAGGCATTCTCTTGAAACAGACTTTCTCTTTACAGCTCTCTCTCCTCTAGTACGCTTTGACATCTGGGAGAAGGGAAACATCAGCTTGCTGCAACTGTCTGAAAGACTGCGCCATGCCTTGCGCCATGCCCTCTGTGATGCCCTCATGGAATTTCATGTGCTCCCCAATCCGTTGTGTGTTGAGACATCCACTGAGCTGGAGGATCCGGATAATGTTGGTAAGATCTTTTGGTTACCCTGTTGCTAAATTCTGCAGAATTATTGCAGCCAAGGGTTTCCTGGCTCTCATATGACTGTTCTTAGGAGCAAATGAAGTTGCCTTTGTGAATTAAGTTGTCTTAGATCAGGAGTGGGCAATTCTGGCTCTTTTACAACCTGTGGACTTCAACTCCCTAAGAGAGCCACAATTGCCCATACCTGCCTTAGATAATTCGGTATTATCTAAGTGTTCTTGAGGCTTCAGATAAGAAATGGCAGAATCAGAAGCCATTTCTGAACTTTATTGAATATAGCAGGGCTTGAGCTTAGGAGTAGTCACGTGCAAAGGCACACAGTTTACCATGGTATTATAGCTCTTTTCAAAGATTTATGATTGCTTTTTGTGGAGTTCTTTTTCACTGGCTGCCACATAAAACAATAAGAGATTCATTAAAGCTAAAGTGACTGGAAAAAGAGGGAGTTTCTGGTTTGAGTAGTGTGGGATTTTCACTAGCAGTAATAGAGACTGTACTTTCAGGAAGCCTGCGTCGGACAATGTCTGAATCAAAAGGACTGACTCACAATGCCAGAGGCAGAGCATGCCCTCCGCCTCTGCCCTTCTCAGTGCCCACCACAAGTTTGGGTGAACCTGTCACACCTACAAGCAAGATGGGACGACGGAGCTTCTGGGATAAGCTGGTAATGACTATGGAAAATGGAGGGGGAAGCTGTTTTGAGTGCGAAGGGGAAGGGCCAAAACTCACAAACAGAAACTAAACCGAAGAATTGTTACAGCAGAATGCAAACCTAAGAACTTCTTAAGATAGTCAGTATTCTAGCCACAATGTTATTATCCACTACATGCTTTATAATTCAATATTATAATTTTTCAGCCCCAGACTTTAAGAGGTGCTTTTCAGCCTAATGTCTCACAGTTCCAGGAAATACTTTAAAATTTACCCCATAAAGCAGGTGTGTGCAACTATGGCAACTCTGGACTTTTAACTGCTCCCTGCTGGCTCAGGAATTCTGGGAGTTGAAGTCTACAGGTCATAAAGTTGACTTAGTTGCCCACTTCTGCCATAAAGGAACTCTAGAAAAGGCCTCTGGCCTGATGGCATAATTGTGTACCTGCTTCAAGTTAGACCAACAATATTTGTTGAGTGCTATATTATAGAATAATATATTTATATCATATTATGTGAGGATTATTAGAATGCTCTTCGGTTTTTGAAAAAGATCATATCAAAGCAGAATGTGGCAATATCAAAGCTTGTCTAATACAGAAGCTTAATGGACATGTTTTCCTGTGCTGTTTTAATTGTCAGAGCAAACCAGAAATGGCAGACCAAGGAAGCCCCAAGACTACAGATGACATTGTGTTGGAGCGACCTGAAGAGACTCGCAGTCGCCGTCGCCATAAGACTGAAAGCGTAAAGCAGCATTCAAGCCAGGAACGTGCTGCTTCTGAGCAGGAGCAGAACCAAAGGCAAGCATGATAGCAATAGCACTTAGACTTATATATTGCTTTACAGTGCTTTACAGCCCTCTCTAAGTGGTTTACAGAGTCAGCATATTGTCCCCAGCAATCTTTCTCCTCATTTTACCCACCTTGGAATGATGGAAGGCTGAATCAACCCTGAGTCTGGTGACATTCGATCTGCCAAATTGCAGGCAGCCAGCAGAAGTAGCCTGCAGATCTGTAGGCTGCGCCACCGCGGCTCTTTTAATAGCTTCCATCCACATTATATTCTAGGAAATTGTGGGAGGGGTTCTTTCTTCCATGTCAAATCCTTCACTTTTTTATGTACTGGGATGCATGAAACTCTCAGATCCTCAAAAGGGGCTTAATCTGATAAGTAATAGTATGACCAGGTGCTAGTAGATACAGATACAGATAGATACAGATAATAGTGTCAACCATAGGCAATTGAGATGACGGTGAGCAAGAGATCTGCTTCTCCCTCACTCAATGATTTCTCCTCCCTGGGATCTGTTTTATCCTTCAACCACTTGGACTTTGATATTTTCTCTTCATAGACGTCGGACTTTCCAGCTAGAGGAGGGAGATGTTGGAATTTTGCACCCAGTTTTCAGTCAGACTTGCCAGTCCTGGATGGCTTTCATGAACCGTTTGGGTATGTTTCTAGTTTCATGTCCTGATCATTTCTCTTTTCCCTGGTTTCAGATTAGCTTAGTGTGGGCAGATTCTGCTTTTCTTTCTGTGTTGATACAGTATTTTAAATGTGGAACTCCATACAAGGAAAAAAACTCCCCAATAGGAACAAAATATAAATCTCTGATATTGTTCCTTGAGTCCAACTCCCCTAGTTGGGGAAAAAAAAGCTTGCTGTCATGTGAATGATAAAAACTTAACGCCCAGAATAAGGTTAAATAATAAATGGAACTTACTACTGGCCTCAAAGCATCTTAGTTTTTTGAAAAATGTTCTGGGTAAATTATGTTCAGATATATGTTGGTTTCTTCTCTGTATAGGGTGTTCATCAGTGCAGCAGTGTGTCCTAGAAAGTGTCTCCCGCTTCCTGCTGCCTTCTATCATGCTGCAAGTAGTGAATCTCGTCACTACTTTAGCAAGCGACACCACTGTCAAAGTGTTTGAAAAAGTCAGGTAAGTGCTGAGGCTCAACTGCCCAGATAATAGGGAGATGCTTAAAGTTTTAGGAAGCTCCTTTACAAAGATGGGAATAATGTATGTGGGAGAGGAAGCTGGAATTACCAGATGGATATTCGCATACCAACACGTAACATCTTATCCTTTCCTGCAGTGGTTCTCAAGGCATGTCCTTTGCGCCATATTCTCTGACCCCAGGCACCAGTGCCCGACCGGCTGTTATTCGACAATTTATTCTGCTTGGACGGAGCTTCCACCAGTGGCGCTGCAGCACAGAACAAGGTGAGTAGCGCACCGTAGGGAAATTAAAAAAAAAAAAAAGTAGCCTGATTCCTTTACTGCCTTTGGGGTTCAGAAACTATATTTCATAATGCAATCTTTCTAGCTGTCAAAGGATTCCAGCGTTTCGAGAGTACTGAGCTTAGCTCTACAGATAAGGGTTGTGATGTCGCTCCCCGACAAAGATTCCTCTTCATGGAAATCATTGACAAAAAGGTATATATTTAGGTGTGAAAGCTGGGAAATAATTTGGTGGTCTGAAGTCTGATCCAGCAATGCTGAAAATGAGTTTTTCTTGTCCCGTTTTTCTTTCCAGTTGGTGCTGTACACTTACAATTGGTCCGTAGACTTGGGCAGTGCCCTGAATAACTCACTCACTCGCTTACTACAGTGGCAAAATGCCCGAGCCCATGTAGTACACTGCCTGCTTAGCCAGAAGCTTGGGCTGTTCCATCATTACTGTTATATGGAGACCCCCTGGCACGAGGACAGCAAGCAGGTATTTACATTCTTTGCTTCTGTTTTCATGATGTTCTGCTGCCTCTAAACTAATGCTGCATCTCGCTTTGTCCAGGAGCAAAATCCCTTCCTAAATTCTACCCTGGAAATTGATGCCCTGATCCGGAGCCCCAGTGTTCCTCCAAGCAAGGAGCAAGGACGTCTCAGCAGTTCTGCACGCATCTTGCAGCCTTTGCACTTTCCTCCAGACATGGTGCCCTTTGACGAAGCTCTTCGAGATGTTTCAGTCATCCAACCTATTGTTCACAACCCAGAACAGGGTGTTCATGACCCTGTAGCCCAGCATGGAGCTCAGTTCCTAGAGATCAAGAACACAGAGAGGAAAGGTAAGTGCAAAGTTAAGTGTAAGGGGAGTGATAAACAGGATCTGGCATAATTACAGTTCTGGGGCTATCCTGAGAATCCCTGTGTGAAAACTGGCCAAGGAAGAATTAATCAAGGCAATAAAAATAAAGCTATAGAATGCTATAGAGCCAGATTAGTTCCCATTTTTGAAGATATCAAATCTATAGTACAGGCAAATGTGTATGAATTCTTAAAAGCATAAGTTTTCAGTTGGGAATGCTCTCTGGCAAAGGAGAACCTGATAGTCCAAGAATCTCAGAGCCCTGCTGTCTTCAGCTCCTGCTCCTGTTCCCGTTCCACAGAGCTGGAGAAACAGATGAAGATTGAGAACCTTTTTGTGACATGGCAACAGCGTTCTGCTCAATCCAACATGCCCATCAGTGTGAGTTTGGGGCTGGGACATGGGGCTGGGTTGTGATAAACTACAAGCATGATGATGATAATCCCATAAAATGTTTTTCACTATAAGGAAAGACTGTAAATTAAACCAGTGGAATCTTGAAATATAGTTCTCTGAGGATCACTTACATTACTGCTGTTCTCATGTTGGTATAAATTCATTTTTATTAATTACCAGTGTTCATCGTTTGTTTGGACATTATTAGCTGATAGACTATAAACTAGTTCACCCATAGGAATGCTCTCCTCTCCTGCCTCTTATACTGTTTCTAGGTGTGGGCATTGTGTGGAGCTTATGATTCTTGTGCTTCTCTTCTAAATTGTGTGATCAATAGTGGTTTTAAAAAGTGCAAGTGTTTTTATGCAAATAATAATACTGTACAAATATAGAAATGAGTCACTCACACTTAGGAAGGAGGCTGTTGCAAAGAACGTCTGAATAACTTTGTCAACAAAACTACAGGACTTGTCCAGGCATTCACCAGAAGTCAATACTGACTGAAAAGCACAAAATAAAATATTAAGGACAGCCTACCAGAAAGTATAGCATACCAGGAGGTCACCATCTCTCTGTCCAAGAGCCACAATAGACTTTAGTTACGTTTGCAGTCTAGAAGCCGGCAAGAACAACTATGTTCAGAAGAACAAATGAAATGGCTTTCAACTGCTCTGAATATATTTAAAAGACAAAAGATTTAAGAAAAGCCAGAATAGTATCCCCGATTCAGGCCCCATTATTAAATCTTATAGTGCAAGAATTTAGTTTTTCATTAAATATTGACAGATTGTTACTTGTTGGGTTCTTAGCGCTCTCTGAGCTTGTTCTCATTTTGCAGATGTTTAGTTACCTTACTCAGTAACGCCATCAGCGCATTAATATACAGTAGGGTTCGGTGGCTGTTTTTATGTAGCTTATAGAACACCAAGAGCCCAGCAATTCAACCCTGAGCTTACATATATTCGCCACTAGTGCAAAAGAAAAATTAATTTTCATACATTGTCTTGGCTATGTCAGAGCAGGTCTGATCATCGTTGATAGTTTTTCTTTCCATTTGAAACAGCCCCTTTTGGCAAGATAAGTAAGTTTAAAGCAGCAGATAAATTTATTTCTTGTTCCTGTTTGGTTGTCTGCATATATTTAATAGAGCAGACATTCACATAAGGTCGGCGGTATGCCATACCTCCTTAGGTCCAGAGAAAAATGCTTAAGAGGGAGATTATGGCACCTTTCCCTTTGAAAGCTTCCCCTTTGTTCTCCAGGAATGTTATATCAGTGGGGTGTTAATACATGAAATAGGCTTAGCAATATGCAAAAGTTTTCTCCTGTGTGTATGTGTGCAGCTTGCAGACCTAGACACCCTGAAGCAGTCATCACGCTTGGTCCATTACTGTGCTACACCCCTGCTCTTTGATCCAGGCTTCCGGCAGCAGATTCAGGCAGACCAACAAAGCAAGCTGGAAGGCAAGGTGAAACAAGGGGGAAAGGGAAGCACCTTTTGTAATCCCTTTCATCCTCAAGGTTTACGAGGGTGGCTCATAAGAGGATTTTTTTTTTTCCTCAGGTTGAACTAATTGAGTAAACGATTCGATAAGAGCCCGATAAACGAGATTAGAATAAAAGTTCTATTTAAAGAGTCATTGGTGGAGGGTGATCCTTAAAATCCCATTGTCCACAAAGTCCTTTCCATGAAGGTCCATTAAATCCCATTATTACTTTATATTCTTAACAAGGAAGGGCTGAATTTATATGGTCTGATTCTCTCCTAAGTATCAAAGTAGTTTTGAGGGCTCACTGCAAGACTGAAGCCCAGATATCGCTGTAAGGTTATTTACATTACATAAGTTCAACTGTTTTCTGAGAAAAATATCATTGTCTGATTATTTGCTCGCATTCAGAAGCGCCATCGCTCCAATGACTCCACAGCATCCGGTAGGGACCGTAGCCACAGTTGTGACTCTGCAGAAGGGCTACCATGTCGATCCAAGGATGAGGCCTGGCTGCTGGAACTATGTCATGCCTTTCTCCAGCAGTACATACAGTATCTGCAGAGCATGGGCTTCATCTTAGTACAGGTGCGCCCAGCCTCACCTGCTCGCAGGTTAGTATGATTTAGCAAGGACAGGTGATTTACAAGTGAGGTGGGAAGAGGGTTGTTGGTTTTTTTTAACTGTTCTGGGTTGCACCAAAGCATATGGCAGAGACATGCTTTCTTTGGGAGAGAACTTCCTGCAAAATGTGGTTGAAAAATTATCAGGTTAAAAGTAACAATTTTAACAACTATTATTGTTAAAAGTAGACATGCAAGATTTTAAGTTTTGTTTACGATATATTGAATAAAAAAGAGAGGATATCCTGGTAGGTCTTTGAACTTCTTTCTGCATTATTCTGGATTTCCAGCAGCACCAGCCGGATTAGAGCTCTGGCATCAATGGCTGGTGAGACACGGGGCTCCTTCTCATACTCCAGGCCAAAGGTGGATGGGAGTCCAAAGGTAAGAATGCTAATTATGGGCAGGTTGCTAGCAGGCTCTGTTGGCATTGTTGTTTCATCATAGATAGGTGCTTAGCTGGAGGGAGGATGGGCCGTCCAACAGAGAGATTGGACCTCATGTTTCCTAGCCAATGATCCCTTTGGAAGCATATTTTCTAGGTAACCAACTTGGAGGCGTACTCCTGAGAAAAAAATGTATTGATTTTCTAGACCACGAACCCTCCTGTCACAGCATACCATTTGCAAAGAGCTTTGCCTGGGGGCATTGTACTAATGGAATTGGCTTTCCAGGTGAGTGGAAATTGCCTTTTGCCATGACCAGACCATATGGCTTAACAACAGTCAAGGTTCCGAGGTCAGCACTTTCTCCAGATGAATTGCAAGTACAATGGGGAAACTAAGGGTATAGCCAACTATTGTGAGATGGTACGGACTAGAATTGCTGGCGGTGTGTGTGTCTGTGAGTCTGTCTGTGTGTCTGTGTGTGTAATCTTCCTAGGCGGTGTTTCGGTTAAGTGTTTTTTTGTTTTTTTTTGGATTGGCAAGCTAAAAAGTATGGTTTGAATCTGAGACAAACTAATCTTGATTTTATTTCATTTAAATTTATATTAAAATGTAATTAAATCAAATATATTGTTATGATGCCTTCAGTTACATATTCAGCCATTTTCCCTTAATATCAGATTAAACATTATCTTTTGTAACAAGTTTTGGAATGCTCTGGGGCCATGTGCAGCAGTTGAACTATAGAGGGAAAAATAGAGTTGAAATAACCATCATAGATGGAAGCAATATCAGTGAATTAGCTGTTTTAAGGAAGAATAATTATTTTGTTTTACTTACACTTAGATGCTTTTATGCCACTTTATTTTTTTTAACCTTCTTTAAGGTTTATATGGCATATAGCTATATCTTTTTGTTGTTGTTGAATACAAATTCCCTTCGAAATTTGAACCGATTTGAAAATACGATTTCTGTTTTTATAGATTTTACGCACACACTCTGTATCTCTGCCTCACAGTTTCTAAATAAATGTTGTAATACTACAAGAAGCAAATAGGATAAACTCCAAGGACAGTTTTCAGAGTGCAATAGTTAATAAAGGTAACTGCAACATATGGCTGTTATGGACAGATGAAAATTGATATTTCATCTTTTGCTCCTCTTAGGGATGCTATTTTTGTGTCAAACAATATGCGCTGGAATGCTCACGAATCCCCATGGGCCAGACTGTCAACTCACAGGTAATACTGCCAAGATTAGGGTTTCCCTAACAGGTAAAACTCAGTGGATGTAGAAAATATCATCAAAATATATGCATAAGAGGCAGCTTAAACCTTGTAGGCTGTCTGTTTTCTTGATTTTTGCATCTTAGGCATTCAGAATCCTGCTCATCAAGTGACCATTCTCCTGTGATTGATTGATTGATTGATTGATTGATTATATATTTTCAGTGGCAAGTCTTAATGGCTACATAGGTAAACCTTCTCTGGGACTGTCTGCAACCTAGTTTTTCAGGCCTCCTAATAGTGCACCCATTGTTGATATAATTGAGACCATCCACCTTGCAGCTGGTTGTCTTTTTCATGTCTTTCTTTCCACCTTTTCTAGCATTACAGACTTCTTCAGAGAACAAAGTTATATAATGTGACCAAAATACAATAGCTCAGATTGTACTATGATCCATTGTATGGTTTTCTTGGCTATCTTATTTTATTCTCAAGGGTCGTCTCCAATATCAAAGTTCAAAAGCATCAACAGTCTTTCTATCCTGCTTCTCCAAAGCATAACTTTTCCATCCTTCAAGTATCACAGGGAAAATCATTCCCTGCATAATATCTAGATGAGTCACTGCATCTGAGTATCATTTCTAAGGCCTTATTTGCTATTTGTTGATATTCGGTCCTAAAAATCAGAAATTAACCACCATTCAGAATCTTTATTGTTGGTTCTAAAACTATTTGCTCTACCTGCAGTCATTAGTTTGTTCTTTTGTACTATATATTCAATATTGGTTCTATTTTTTACTTTGCTCCTTGACTTTTATTACCAGAATTTTCAGGTTATTTGCATTTTCAGCTACCAGGGTAATGTCATTTGCATAGCACAGGTTATTAATGTTTTTCACTGAAGTTTTAAAACCACGTTTATCTTCTTCCAATCCAGTCTCCCTCATTATATATTCTGCTTTTGGTTGAATAAATGAGGAGTGGGTGTGCAGCCTTTTCTCCTTTGCCTAGCTGAAGCCAATTTTTTTGTGTTTCACCCTTCTTCATTCAGTCTTTGGGTTCCCAACCTGTGTATAAGGTTGCCACAAGAGGACAATGGGAAGTTCCAGAATTCCCATTTTCCTAAGCATATTGTGCAGCTTGATATGGTCAATATAAGCATAAGTCTATATTCAATGAACTGATTTCTTTTTTATATTCTCAGTTTATTCAGTTATCAGCAGTTATATTTCTTGTTCATCAATGTTTTCTAAAGCCATCTTGAGTCTCTGGTCTCTCTCTTCCCATATATGGTTTTAATTTACATTGGATGATCATATTTTGTTGGCCTGTGAAATTTTATCATATTGTGTAATAGTTTGCCCATTCTGCTTTTTTTTCTTTCCTATTGTGTATATTGACTTCCTCTACTTTGTGGTCAGTGTATCATTCTCTAGATTTGCTGATATGGTCCTGTTAAAACATTTACTGATTCTTTTTTCTGTTGCTATATTTCTATAGATTTTCCATCAATTCCTACAGTTTTCTGATTTAGCTATGACTGGAATGTTGATCTGAGTTCATCTTCTAGTAGTAGAGATTCTTATAAAACAGGAATATGTTCTAAGATAACTTAGCTGTTGACATCTCTACTATTCAGTGGAGGAAGTGTGGAAAAATATTTTGTTTGATCCTTTTGAATAATTGTTATCTGTCCATTGGCGTCCTGTAGTAGACAAGTTCAAGGTTAGAACCTTCTCCTAATTATGGAGAGCTTTAGGAGGACTATCTTTGTTCTATGTCTGTTTCCATTTTTCAGTGTCTTTATAGATGGCATTGTATTGCTTCTTTTATCTTCTGACAGATCTCTGAAATTCTTGAAATTCCTTCTTGAAATCATTCTCTTTCTTGGCTTCAGTTTGTCTTCTCTTGGTAATGTCACCATTTGTTCTGACATCTAGTTTGCTTTCTTCTGTTTCTTGGTTTTTGGCAGTCTCTTTTCACATTCATCCTAAACAAGTTACTTGATTTAATTCCACAGTTCCTCTGGTTGCCTGCCAATGAGGTTCAAAGGACTTCAAAGTGATTCCCAGTGTTCTCATTGAAAATGGTGGGCAGATGCTCAAGTTCATATTGTGGAAACTGGGGGGTTACTTTTTCCACTTCAACTTGTACATGAGCTGTTTGTGATTTCAGTTCTTAGCCATACCTTGACTGTTGTTACTGAGGTCTTCCACCTATTTGTATAATAATATAGTGAATTGATTTCTGTATAAATCATCTGATCACTTGAAAGAGTCAAATTCCAATCCATTTCTATTCACTGATGTTCTAAGATATTAAAGTATAATCAAGTCATTTTATTTTTCACTATTCTTGCTTCTTATCTTCCATGTTCCTATTGTAATTTTCTTTTCAGCTTTAGATTTCCTGTATGGCAATATGGAAAGCTTCAGTATAGCCACATCATAAACATAAGCCACATTCCCTCATCACTGTCAAACTATTCACATTAGGCGGCATTACTTTTGCTATTGGTCTTTTCATCGTTCCTGTCGCCCGTCTCCTCCCACTTGTGACTGTATGACTGTAACTTTGTTGCTTGTATCCTTGCGATTTATATTGATATTGTTTCCTAGTATGATTTGATTGCTTATTGTACCGTATGGCTGTCACTGGATGTTGTGCCTTGTGATTCTTGACGAGTGTATCTTGTCTTTTTATGTACACTGAGAGCATATGCACCAAAGGCAAATTCCTTGTGTATCCAATCACACTTGGCCAATAAAGAATTCTATTCTATTCTATTCTATTCTATTCTATTCTATTCTATTCTATTCTATTCTAAACATTAGTAGTTGTTTTTCAGTTTTGTAATTGCCTAATTGTTGATCATCTGCTCCATGTTAAGCGCCATTCAACCAGAGAGGTCTGTCAACCAGCACTATATCATTAATCCGCTTAGGTTATCCATCCACATGGTTTTATGATAAAATGCAAAATGGTTTGCCATCTCCCTCACACTATGAAATTATGCCTTTGCCATTTTCACTAAAATGCATAAAATCTACCTCCAGCAGTTTCCTATATTGCTACTGTCGTATAATAGTTGCTTTAGCAACTGGGATGATTTGTAGACTTTGACCTAGCTGGGATATATACTCCTGACACTCTTTGTTCTTCCCTCCCAGGAATACCCCCTCCACAATGAAAAAACATAGCAGAGCTTGAGGGACCATCCTCCTATATCCCACTATTTTTTAAATTCCTGTTTCTTACATTCTGTCAGGCCTGGGATTCTATGATATTGAAAAGGCCTGACCTCTCCACCTTTTCAGCATTCAGCAAACTTGATTTGTTGCTGCTGATTTTCTCTAATTTTTATAAATGCAGAGGTTTTTTTTTCTCCTCTTATGTTACGCTGACAATCTGTTCAGTAGTCCTTTGCTTTGATTTCCAGAATGGAGGGCATCTCAGTTGCATCTTGGTTCCTCTATTATGCTGTGGTTTTTGCTGGAAAAAAAAATTCTGTACCAGCAATTCACAGAGTGCAGAGTTATAGACCACCTCTCATTATCTCATTAGGTACAGACGTGGGCTGAGTTTTACAGGATGCGATTCCTCCTTCGGGTTGGTTCTTTGTTTGGTCATGTCTACACCTAGTTATACAGGGTCTCTTACTGCACTGGGAAAGTTGGTCTGCCAGAATAGTGTGAGCACAGAATATAGATCCAACTGAGTGACATTCCTTCCTTCGAATCCAGGAAATAATGTTTATATCGTGTGTCCACTGCATGGGGCATCAAAATGTAAAAAAAAATATTTTTGCAAGTTCCTTTCTATAGATGGGTGGAGCTTGGATTCTCCAGTTCTTGTTGGATTACAATTTCATAAGTCTCAACCACCATAGCTAATGACTGAGGAATTGGCTCAGTAATATCTAGAGGGACTTTCCTGTTCCCAAGTAAAGGTTTCCATCTTTGAATCTGCTCATTAATTGCAAGTCAGAAACTGACGTTCTTTAATTTGAAACTAAATGTAACCAATTTCTGGGATAGTGAAGAAACCAAATAAATATAAAACACTATAATCTGGTAAATATTTTTACCAGATCCATGTTGCAATATTTTTTTTTCCTTAGTCTCAGTAGTAAATTTGGGATAGAGGAGGAGGAAGAAGACGAATGGCACTCATGGGACATTAATTGTAGGAATTGGATTAGGAACCATAAAAATGAACAGAAAAGTTACTTAAAGGCCCACATTTTCTGAGCATTTAGGAGATGCTGCCACCTGTCCAATTTCGAAATTATCCTTCCAGTCAAAAATTCAAAGCTTGGTCCTCTTCATAAAAGAAACTACACTATAATTGTTTTAAGTTGGAAAGTTTTAAGTAGTGAAGGGTAATTTTAAAAAATGTAATGATGACACCACTTGCATTTTGTGAAATGCAAATGCCCATTTGCATTTGGGGAAGCTGCACTTATTAGTTGAATCTTCTTTATTCTCAACCTTCTCTCTTCACAATTCATTCATCTTGAGAAAAGGCAGATCCCTCAGATCATTTCTGTTTTCCTAAAAGTGGCATCTACTGCTATTAATATTTTCCTGATGAATTAAATCAAGCCAGCAACTCCCAGCATGCTTTTCCTCTCATCCTCATACAAATTTTGCTATATGCACATTTGAGATAAGACTAGGTCCTCATACGTTTGTTATCTTTGACAGTTTAAACCTTCGGTGGCTTCAACCACTGCTGTGACTAGTTAAAATGTTCCTTCTGGTATATTACTTGGTAGTAATTTAAAAATCACAGTCCTTCTTTCTTATGGAGCAGCGTATATATCAGAGGCCTTTCAGTTTTCATACTTGCTTGATGCATTCTCATGATATGGAATATGACCTGTACCAGAATTCTTCCAGGTCTAGTAAGTAAAAAATCCTGCCTAATTCTCCTAAAGCAGAGTTTAGAACAGATTTATTCTGTACAATTCACTTTTTCCTTCAGAATGTATCCTTTATGATTATTGATTGAGAATTTCTATTTACATTGTAGATATTTTTCCCAGCATAATTTGTCTGTACTGCTTTTGCAAAATGGGCAATTTATGAACCAAGCTAGATTACTGGCTGGATAAAGATTGTACAGTTTGAATCACAGAAGTTTCTGTTGGTAGATGAGCAAAAGCACACAATCTTACCTAGCATTTCAGCCCCAAAATTCAGTATACTAGGACTACTGATCAAACTACTTTCTGTTCAAAACACATTTCTACTATGATTATATGTTGCTTAGCTTGGTAATGAAATGAGTATTCACTCAGGTATTTTCCATCATTATATCTTTCTCAGTACTGTTTGGATCCATTGCACCCAAACTGTCTAATGATATACTATTTTTGCTAGGCTCTCACTTCCAATTGCTCTCTCCTCAGCTTTCCATGCTCTTCACAGAGGAGTGTGACAAAGTACGTGATCTTATGCACGTGCATTCGTTCAGTTACGATTTTCACCTGCGTATTGTGCACCAGTATCTACTTGGATCTCACATGGCATTACGGCAAGGTTATCACCTCACAAGCTTCCTGGAAGACTTCATCACACAACATCCTGACATCCCCAAGTTTGGACGCAACCACATTTTTCAGGGTAAGGATTCCAGCAGAGTGTTTTGAGAGATCTTTCAGAAGGAACAAGCCCATCTGAATAGTTCTGTGTCACTCTGCAGGTTTATAGTTCAAGGCAAATGGGTGGAATATCACAAGGGCACTATCAATATTTTTATTGCTATTTATGTTTTGTGATGCACTGTCTGAGGACAGTTTTCATTTTTTTCATTTTCATTTTATTAAATTTGTATACCGCCCTACTCCCGAAGGACTCAGGGCGGTGAACAGCCATAAAATAAAACATATAAATACAAAATTTAAAATAGAGATAAAACAAATTAAAGAAGTTTACAAATGGATAAGAAACAATCCACATTTATTTTGTGTCTTATTTCTAGGTAGCTACTAAAGTAATTTTACATAAATCAGTACATCAGATAAACAGGACTATACCAATACATAAAAATTTATAATTGCCCTTATATCTTGTAGTATCATCTCTCATTTGTATTAAAAGACCAAGGCCCTTAGTCACAAAAAGTACATTGAGGTTGCTCAATGTACTTTTAATCTTCAGAATATTTCCAACAACTTCTATGTTGGCTTTTCCATGGCAAGTAGAACAGTTCTAAATATAGTTTAGAACTATGCAGCCATCCAACATTTTTATTTATAAGACAACCTAATGGGTTTACACTTCAGAATTATGTAGAAGACTGGTAATTTCTTTGCATCATGCTAATTTTCCATCAAATCATTTTTTAAATAATACAGTTTATATAAAATCCAGGTGGTACAAGAAATCTGGGAGGCACTCTCTTACAAGTCCCCTACAAAAGATAGCTAAGAAACAAGCAATAGGAGCAACTGCATTGTTGTCACATCTAATTAAAGAACACAAAAAAAGCAGGTGAGTAAATGATGACGACATAGCAATAGCACATAGACTTATATACAGCCTCATAATGCTTTACAGCCCTCTCTAAGTGGTTTACAGAGCCAGCATATTGCTCACAACAATCTGGGTCCTCATATTACCGACCTCAGAAGGATGGAAGACTGAGTCAACCTTGAGCCGGTGAGAATCAAACTGCCGGCAGTCGGCAGAATTAGCCTGCAATGCTGCATTCTAACCACTGTGCCACCACAGTTCTGTCAGCCATAACATAAAATATAAAGCAAAATAGCTTCACTCTGAAGGTTAGAATTATTTAGATTAGAGAAGCCTTGCATTCTCACGTATTCCTCCCAACCCTGCTGAGGGGGGAATATTTTATTTTACTTTTCTTTCATGCTAATAAACAATCCACCTTCTCTTTTCTCTTTTTCAACAGGTACACTAGCTTTGCCTACCAACACCATCACAGCCCATCAACTCTATAATTATATAACTGATCATGCCAGCACCTACCATATGAAACCCCTGCGCATGGCCCGGCCAGGAACTACCAATGAGAGCAAGAAAGGGACTCCTAGCTCTGAGCAAAATGAATATGCGCTGGTCTCCATTTGGAACAGGTGTGTGAGTCTAATGCACTTCTAAGGATTTGGTAAAAGTTGCTATCACTTATTTGCTCTCAGAATTCCACCTGCAATGTTTGGGCAGTGAATTTTCCAGTGCAGTCATATAAAAGGCAATTTATCTTTACATTTATCAGGGACCTAGTACAACTACAATAACACCAAGCCATGCCTGTAACTTACAGTGTAGATTCTTGGGTTTTCTTGGAACTAATTGACTAGGTAAAAAATACATATTTGAGACAATATGAATGTATCATAATTTTGAAGCATTATTTATTCTATTAGAATTAGAATTCTGTTAGAATTCAGGTTATTCCTGCAATAATGTTGCAGGAAAAATGACGGACTAGGACAAGCTCTTCAGTGCAGGAAAGAGTTTATTTGCGCAAGGTTCAAACAGTCCGAAAGGTCTGAACAGTGATGGCTGATTTCAACCAGATATTTATACAGTATAAAGACAAAGTTATTACGAAGAGTGCAACATTTCACACGTAGAAGTTACCCTTTAATCTATCTCTAGGAAAGACATAACAGCCTGATTCCCACAGGCTCAGGTTCTCAGCTCCGGAGCTCAAGACATAATAAAAGAGGAGATAAGGGGCTCAAAGGCGCCTCAAGAGCAGCAAAGAGGACAGTAAGGGAAGCAGTTTTTCTTCTCTAGGATATACATGACATTTGGGGTGTAATAAACAGTAAACAACAGGATGTATCTGTTTAGGGTCAGTTTGCCCTTTTACAATGCTGTACCTACGTCAAATACCTTTTGTCAATTCAGCACATTGGCACGGAAGAGGCACTTCTGCCTTGACCAAAGATTTGGATTTCTAATATTTGAGTTTTATCCCAATATCGAATCCTAGCCTGGCTCAATAACATCAGGAACATGCAATTTTTTGCAGGCCGAAAAAAAGATACCCTTGATTTCTAAGTGGTATGCTAGAATCGCATTTACAAAAGTAGTTAGGTGGAATTGGATTTCATTTATATTTAAATGAAAGCTTACTATAGTTACTGTTATAAACTCTATTGGTGAGTAATGGCAACTTTATGACACTTCTTACTTAATTCACCCTCCACAATTTCAGCAACAGAACCCTTATTTTTGTTTTTGTTTTTTAAAAACCCCAAAACCCCCACACATAATTTATTTAGAAAGTTACTTTAATCCTGGTCCTTATATTTTACATTTGATATGTCCTCCATGAGTCTAAAATAATAATAAAAAGTTTAACCTATCATTCTCTGCTTACTATTGCAAATAGCTGAAGAGAGAAAGATAAAACATTTGCTTTCTTTCCTAAACTAATAATCTCTGATCCTTTTGAAAATCCCATGAGAGCAGCATGATTTTCAGATTGCTTGCAACGATTGCTTTCCACCCTCACATTCTTCCTACTTCTGTCTTTTGGTTGACTTCTTTATTGCTTCTGCTGGAGTCTAAATACCCACAGGGTGCTTTATTCTGTTCAAAACCTGTCTCGTCCACTTTCTTTATAATAAAACAAGGCCTTCTGCCTCCCCCTCCCGTTGTGGCACAGGGTAAAGCCCAGTTCTTGCTGCCTGCATTTTAAGCTTTCGCTTCAAAGCACCAGGCAGTCTTTTCCAAGTTGTCAATTGCTTTGATTTCTAATAGGTGAGTCAAGCACCTGTGTAACTGAAGTGCTGAGTCTTTATGGTTGTATTCCTTTGTTGCCTAATCCTTAACACATAATGCCCTGAATTTGCTTTGCAGTAGTTCATATTGTCCTGCTTCTAACAAGTCTAGCAAAGATCTGCACCCTTTTGAAATGCTAATGTTTGTATTAATGATAGTGACATGTGATTAAGAATTTTGATTATTCAGGATTGAGTCAAGAAGGGAAGCCAGTCGTCTTTTACAAAGCATATTAGTAGGCTCACATCTCTTCCGGCACTTGAGGATGTTATAACTGAGTTTAATGTATTCACAATAACAGATACGACTCCATGAGAACATAAATACAAAGTTTATCCTGCTAGTTGGATAGTTTCAAGGTGCAGCAACAGAACAGGCCCACACTCCTCATTTATCCTTTTCATTAGATTCACTTAAGATTTTCCAATTAGTCTTTTCCTGTGTAACTCCATTCTTATTGAACTGTTCCTAGTGAATGTCTTTTAATTCAAGCTAAACAATGCACAAATAATGTTACAACTTCAAATATTTCCTATGACTATAGGAAAAACCCATAGTTCTAGAGTTGAGTTAAAGGCATACCAACACTCCAGTTGAGGGTTAATTTCTTGTCTTTCTGCTTTTAGTTATGTCGAGCAGCCTATTGCAATAGTAGCGTATCCATTAATAGTAAACATTGTGGAGGAAAGAACTGCAACTGCTTTTTTCCCACTACTGAAAGAATTCCCACACTTCTCTCTGCTCACAGCTCTGGTTCCTACAAAGATTCAGAGGGATTGCATCATCATGATGATTTTGATGTGTCTCTGCTTGTGTGCCACAGTGCTGTGCCCTTTGAAGACCAGAGTGAGGCAGACCGACACATGTTGCGGTAAGACTGAAGGCAGGCAGGGAAGACTAACAAGTTGGACAACTTTTCAGGCTTCCAATTTAGAAGGCGGTGTGTGTGTGTGTGCTTACAATGTTGGACAAAACGTAAGCAGAGATACAGTTTAGCTGTAGTACATTAGTGGATAGATGGCCGAGGACTATCCAGGGGAAGGCCATAAGATGCAGAGGATGCAGGGAATGGCCTTGAAGGACAAGAGAAAGAACTGCTATTAAAGCAATGGTCAGAAAAGCTGGGTGGCATCTAAGTTAAGAAACTAATATCTCAGACAGGCCTTTCCTTAGTTCACATAAAGGTAAAGCGAGGGAGGAAAAAAGCATATTTGGACTTGCAAGACTCTGATGCTATCTCTAAGTGCAGTGAAAGTAATCCTGACATATGTAGCATTGGTTTCTTAGTCTGGCCTATTTTGTTGGGTTGACATAAGATTACTGGGTTAGACAGATTATTATTAGGTTAGACAAGTCAGAGAGCAGGGAAGACGCCTTTCTTCAAATGTTACTATTGGATGCTGTGCATAAGGCTGTTGGTAAACAGGATCATCTGTGAAAGGCATGACAATTGTTTACCCTTTTCCAGGTTGCAATATTACGTAATCATGACAAGCCAACGGGAGCTCTTCCCTCGATTAACAGCGGACATGCGGCGCTTCAAAAAACTGCCACGCCTACAGCGAGAGGCACTAGAACCTGTCCTGGGACGCTCAGCATGGGAGACAGCAGAGGGTGGCCGGCAGCGAAAGGAAGTTCCAGATCCTTGGGAGGAGGTAGACGATCATGGCGAGTTCTATGCAGGTGGCCCCCAGGTCAAGGTGGGCCCGGGACTCTTCTACAGCTCCCCACTGTTTCCATTACTTGCCTCTGAGGTTGCTGCTGCCCAGAAACAGCTCAGCACCATGGTACAATGTGCCAAGGGCCACTGTCGCCGGGACAACCTCTGGAAGAGGCTCTTCTTGCTGGAGCCTCTGGCTTCTGACAAGCTTAAGCTGGGCAAGCTGTCTCTAAGTGAGCTGGAGGAGCTGTTGGATGCTGTGCATAAGAAGTCCATTGCTGACATTGATCCCCAGTTGGTAAGTGGCTGAACTCAATCTAGGGTACTCAGTTTAATGGTGCTACTGTGTATGCATTTGTGTTGGGCCCCGGTCTCCATTACAAACAGAGACTGAGAGAGCACCAGTGGATTTAGGCTGGATAAGTTTACCCATTGGCTTAAGAAGGTCTGTGTTAGTCAAAAGGTAGATTGGGGCAATGCAGTTTTGGATGGCCAGGTCCACCAATAGGCTGATTGATCCGCCCAACAAGTAGATAGAACTAACAGGGTAAGAATTTTACTGTGAGGTGGCTTTTGTCCAATATACTTTTTTATATACAACTTTAAATTTTAGTTATGATTCTTGGAGTATTCCTTTCTGAATGCATGGTTTTAACATCTCCCTTTGCAGGAATCTATCTGCCAAAATTAATCTAGGGCTGGTGGAGAGCCTTTAAACATGGTGTTGTATTGGGCTCCCAAATTCCGTATTCATACAAATACTTCACCTTACAGAAAACTCAGAAGGGAAGAAAATGCTAATTATACTATTATAACGAGAAAGACCCCTTTTCCAACCCAGTGAAACGTTGGAAAGCATGGAGTCAGAACTCTGGCCAAAAGCATGATAGTCATCCAGAAACGGAGCAAACTAAGACCAAATGTGATATGTTAGAAGAAAGTATGTAGCAAAAGATCCATGTTCAAAAATGAGTTAGATACATCTTGCAGATACAGAGAACACCTCAGAAAAGTGTGGGAAGGAGCTGGGCAGTGGCTTGGGCCATGCTAGGTTTCCCTCTCTTCTTTTTGGTAAAATGAGCCAGAGTGAATGTATAGTCCATCCTAAATACAAAAATAGCAATACATATGCACTCATCCAAACACCTCCCCACAAACACATTATTTCCTTACATGGGGAAACATAACACTTTTTATGGCCACTGCTAGTAAACATGTTGGAAAGAATTCCAGAAATCATACTTTGTCTGCCTATTTCGCATTCTCTCCATGCTGCAAAGGATCTGCCCTCAGTTTACCCGTTTTTCCTCTCCCTGGCAGAGCTGCTTCCTCACTATGACTGCCTCCTGGTACCAGAGTCTTATCAAAGTCCTACTCAGTCGTTTCCCACAGAGTTGTCGCCATTTCCAGAATGCTGATGCTGGTACCCAGTACCTGGTAAGACATTTCCAGCTGAATTGTGCCCTGCTGGACCTTTCTAATTAGCTTGCTAAAGTTCAACCAAAAATAATTCCTGATTATGCACCCTTATGAACTGGTAGTATTTTCACTACTAGAATTAGAAATTTGTATTTGTTGCTTTTCTAGCACAGTACACAATGCGGTTTTAGGCCAGTTTGTATATGTGTATATAGATAAATCGGTGTTTAGGTTTTCTAGATAATCCCTAATACCTTAACCATATTCTCTGTTTCCCTATCCTTCCATTGACTAGAGCCTCTTTCTATGTCATGACTGTAATGTAGCACTGTTGCATTTTCTCTACAGGTGGTTCTGAACCAGAAATTCACAGACTGTTTTGTGCTTGTATTCCTTGATTCGCATTCAGGAAAAACAGTAAGAGCTTTATCCTCTGTAAATCTGAAGGTTAAGGGGAAGGCAATAGTGTTAGAGTAACTCCATCAGCTTGAATGTTTTAACCACAGAGATTTCTTGTACTCAGAATTGTAGATCCTAATCCAAGAGTTTTGGGTTTATTCTTCTGGATTGGAACAACTGCCTTTAACAGCTCCGATTTTCTCTATGGCCTGTCTTGACCATAATTATGCAGTCACATCTGAATCTGTTCTCCACCCCTAATAGGGACTGAAAAACAAATATATAATATTTGGATATTTTTGGGCACTAGTCTTCCAGCAGTACTCTTGGCAAGTTTGTCCGTCCATCCATCCATCCATCCATCCATCCATCCATCCATCCATCCATCCATCCAATCAATTTCTATAGCCACCCTTCTCAGTCAATGACTTTGGGTGGCTTACAATTCAGAAAATATGTGTAACAATACAAGATCTAGATCTTGTTGGTTTTGCCTTGCAGAGCCTGACGGTGGTCTTTCGAGAGCTGTTCCCAGTTCAACCCCAGGACAGTGAAAGCCCTCTGCCACAACTTGTGTCCACGTACCACCACCTGGAATCCGTTATCAACACAGCTTGCTTCAACCTCTGGACAGGGCTGCTCTAGAATCAGCTGGACCTTCTGACTGCTCCACAGGCATCTACAACAAGCCTAGAATGGAGGTCCCCTGACAGGACTGTGATCTGAGGCTGTAGCTTGCTAGATAAGAAGTCGGAACATTGAATCTGACCGGGCCAAGAGCGGGAATCATGAAGAGAAAACAACATGGCTGGCCGACTTAAAAGAGCAGGATATGCTTATTCAAAGAAATTACTCTAGGAGGCATCTGAAGGATGGCCCATGTTTCTGGGGCCTCTTTGAGATGAAAGGCCAAAAGACTACTGGAGTCGCTGATCTGGGCGATTGGCTAGACTGACACTATTAAAGCATATGGGAAGGGTTCTGCACAATGGTGGGAATGTTTTATATGAAGTGAATGTACAGTAAATTAAATAAATGGATTACATGAATTTATTTATTAAATAAACTAAATGGCTTACTAAGGACTTTGTTACAGATTGCCTAACAGGCTGTTGCACTGATCTTTTAAGGAGAAGCAGAGTAAATTTCTGTTTACTTGCCCAAACAACTTTGTGTCAAGATAGGTGGAAGCACTGTCAGATTCTTATCCTGTTGTTATAGAATATGCTGATGTATTCTCTAAGACAGCTGGCCTGGATTCCCAAGAGTTCTGTCAAACACTTAACAGATTTTAATGTTACATAGTGGATCCAGCTGTTTTTCTGAGTAGAAACAAGACATCATGCAAGGAAAAGGCAAATTTAAAAAAAATCAAAGATTTCTTTTTCTAGACCCACCAAGTGGCACTGTTGAGCTACATCTGGAATGACATGACTTTCTTTTCTTTGGACCAAACTGTTTCCCATTAATTGTTAGCAGGAAGAAAAAGGGATGCCAACATCTTTGGGAGTGCTCACCATAATTTTGCACTCCTTTGGCCAGTCTTTGTTATTGTATTCAGAACGTGGGGGTGCAAATGCTTTGCATCTTAAAAAAATAAATCAAAGTAGAATATGTAATTAAGAAAACTCCTAGCAGGAATATCATTTTATCATGGAACACTGAGTGATATGATTTTCAGCTTTAATCCAGATAAAAACAAACATACTGAGCATCTTACTTTACTAAGAAATATCATCCTATTAATGTAAAATAATGGGGTGCTTTTGGTAGCTCAGGCAGTAGCAAAAGAGTGGTTGTTCCCTCTGGGGGGAATACAGCAATTGTTGCTGTTGGTTACTCCATCTATAATGGTCTTTTATTTCAATTTTTTCCAACTTTTCACATACAGTGATCTTCCCAGTATGTGTACAGCCAGTTTAATCCATCCAGTGTGTTACCTGCAGAGGAACCATAAAGACTTATATTAAGCAAAAATAATATTTTGACAGCTAACCTCCAGTCTCTGAAATTGCAGAGCTGGCTAGCCAAAGCTTCCAACATGCAATAATCAATTTCATATAACAAGATTTTTCCCGTTCGCATAAAATAAAACTTGCCTTTTGGTTTATATTCGCAGCCTATGTAACCACTATAATTCATTGACTCCAGTAACTGGAATAAGTAAGGGAAGTTCAATTCTCCAGGGCTATCAGGCTCATGTCGTTCTGGTACTTGGGCAATTTGAATATGTCCTACAGAAGAAGACAGTAAATATCAGACATTTCTTATTTGCTCTACCTGATTCTAGCCTTGTCCCCTTAATTTAAAAAAACTGAAACAACAGAGCATATCACTCTTTCTAGCTTACCAATAATTGGGAAATATGTCTTTAAATTCTGTGTCAGATTACCATTCATGATCTGGCAATGGAAAATATCCTGTAGAGCAAAAAGTAGATCTTCAGCTCAAGTCATAATCTGTCTCCTTTTTCAAATTCAGTATTACCTCTGAATTGGGGTGGGGGGCAGAAAGTCTCAAATAGGGGAACAATAGGAGAAGTGTATATTTCTGACTGTGAATGGAAGTATCTGATCACAGTCAGCATGAAAAACAACATTGTGTAAAATGGGCTTTGCCCTGATCTATTAAGACCACGGGTGTCAAACTCGCCGGGTCACGTTGCTGTCACGTGATGTATCATGTTATTTTCCCTTCATGGAGCTGGGGTGTGTGTGTGGCCTGTGTGTGACACATCTGGCCCATGGGCCGCCAGTTAGACACCCCTTAAGACTGTTCTCACATGGTATTAGAAACCAATAGTTTAATTTTTGCACATTACATAATGCGGGTAGTCCTCGACTTACAACCACAATTGAGCCCAAAGTTTCTGTTATTGAGACATTTAATTTGCCCCATTTTATGACCTTTCTTGCCACAGTTGTTAAGCTGATAAGTTAGTAACCCAGTTGTTAAGTGAATGTGGCTTCTCCATTGACTTTGCTTGTCAGAAGGTCGCAGAAGGTGATCACATGACCATGGGACACCACAGCGGTCATAAATAAGAACTAGTTGCCAAGCATCTGAATTTTGATCACATGATCGTGGGGATGCTGCAAAAGTCATAAGTGTGGAAAACAGTCATAAGTCACATTTCCCAGTGCCGTTGTAACTTTGAACGGTCACTAAATGAACTTGTAAATCAAGGACTACCTCTACACCCTGCCAGTCCAAAGTGGCACCAAGGAACCCCATCTAAGTTTTTATTTTAAATTCAGGTAATCCTCTCATTATAATGGTAATTGTGACTGGGATTGCTGTGACTGTCATACGGTTGTAAAATGCAATGTCAGATGACCACATGCATCATTTAGCAATGGCAATCCCCATTGCCATCATAATGCCAAGAGATGTGGGCCATTACGCAAGAAGAGGAAACCCCAGGTAAGGAGTGCCGGGGGGGGGGGGGGGTAGGAATTGAAAGATGTCCTGAAAGACTGCCATAGGGTCCATGTGAGTCAGAGAGGCCCTGGGAGGGCCAGCTCAGGCTACATGTATGTGTGTGGGGGGGGGGGGGGGGCGGGGGGAGGGGGACAATGCATGCTGGTAGGGGTGGGCTGCAGGAGGAAGAAAAAGTCTGAGTGAGTTATCGGAGCAACTTGTGCCCTCTGCTGGCTTCCCAGGTGACTGGAATTCCTGGGCAGTGAGCAGGCCTAACCAGTGAGCAGGCTATTCTGAGTTACCTAGCCCAACATTCCCTTAAAAAACATATCTAATGGCACTCACCAGCTGTAGCTTCAAATTGGGTCTTCCCACCTTTTCCAAAATGGCAGCAGCTGAAAGAATACCGATTTAGGTTATCAACTGCTTTTATTCTCTACATATCTTAGCGCTACTACAGCCAACTCTAAAACAAAGAGGAACCATGTGTAATTCCACAGATTGTTGATGTAGCCAATCCAAACATCCTAATGACCCTCATTCTGTTTTATTGTCTGCTGTCACCAAGAACCAAGTAACCACAAAATTATTCATTACAGCACGTCTATTTTCTGCCCTTATAGTAGGGGTGTCAAACTCAAGGCCTGCAGGCTGAATCCGGCCCACAGGGTGCTTAGATCTGGCCCATAGGGCCACCCTGGAAACAGCGAAGGACTGGCCCACGGTGCCTCTGCCATCGAAAATGGAGCTCAGGAGGGCTGTGCATGGCGCTCCCAGGGACAGCCTCCTGCCACCCTCTGCCAACAAAAACAGAGCTCAGGAGGGTGCACCAGTGGTGGGTTCCTCCTGGTTCGGTCCGGTTCGGCCGAGCCGGTAGCGGTGACGATATGATGTCACTGAACCGGTTCTCCCCCCCGCCCTCCCACCCCCCCACCCATATTATTCATACCTTTAATTTGGTCCCACCCCCAATCTATTGCTGCCTCCTGAGTCCCAGCTGATGACTAGAGGGAAAAAAACTGTTTAAACTCTTGCCGCGGGGCTTCAAAGGGCCATCCTACAGCTGATCAGTGTTAAAAGCAAACAAATGAGTCGGGTCGTAAGTGCGAGGACTGGTCGTAAGTGTGAGGACCTTCCAGAAATGACTCTGACCAGCTAGCCACAGCCACCTAGTCACATGACCTCCAAGCCACACCCACAAAATAAGCCACGCCCACAGAACCAGTAGTAAAAAAAATTAGAACCCACCCCTGGGGTGCACTTTCCGTTTTCACTGGCAGAGGGCTGCAGGAGGCTGTCACGGCTGAAAACGGAGCTCGGGAGCCCATTTTTGCTGGCAGAGTGCTTGGGCCACAACAGACACCCCCGACATGAGCAATGTAAAGATGACCACACCCAAACCCCTGAGATCAAACACAACCCTGATGCGGCCCCCAATGAAATCGAGTTTGATAGTTCTGTCTTAAAGGATTCACTGGGAATTAGCAAAGTGGGATGGTAGTTAGGAAGGGTTTTGATCTCCTCTATTTTCTCAGTGCAATCGAGAACTGTTGAGGAAAGAGAACTTCTACTCTTTCTATGCAGTTCTCTGCCTATGAAAAGGAAGTTTCACATGTTGTTTTACCTTGCTGTGATGTGGTCAAAAAATAATTGGGATCACTAATCCGGTTATTAATAGGCTCCAGTAATCCAATCAGATTTTCCTGCAGGAATACACACAGAAAGGGAATTGTAATTTGGAAGTTTTAAGAATAGCATATCATGGAAAGTTTGCTTTTAGGCTTCAGCCCTTGTGTTTCAGTTCTGCCTAATCTCCCGGGTAGTTCCATATCCCTTGTGTACAACAATTTTCCCTTGCTGCCTGTCATCCTGGAGTTAGTAACATAAACTTGGGAATTACAGATAGTCCTCATTTAGCAACCGCAATTAAGACTGCCAGCTTGGTTGCTAGGTGACACAGCAATGAAGTGGAAAATCACAAGACTGAGACCGCTTACAATTTTACTTACACTTTTTCCCCACTCCCTCACTTTTTGGAATGCTGAGATAATTAGCAAAAGGGAAATCACATTTGTATTTACATTCATTGGAGAAGAAAGGATTACAAGAGAGTAAGGCACACAGTGGGGAATACACTTTGAAAGGAATGCAGTAGCTTACTATGCAAACAACTTAGCATGAGGGGAGGAAGGAAAAATGGTTCAGACAAAGGAGAAATTGCCTAAAGAGATCACTTGTTTAGGCAATGTCCCCCCTCTGCAAAGGGGGAGTGGCGGAAACGAATGAGAGACAAGACAGTGTCTAGTACTGTCTACTGACTGATTGTAATTACAAATACATGACTGAGAGAAAGGCTGCAAAGGTTGTAAATGTGTGCCTTTGTTGCAAAGGGTTTTTTTGCAGCACTACTGTAACTTTAAACATTGCACAAGGTAGTAAGTGAGGTCTACCTGTAATTGGATTATGGCTTTTCTGAGCAGTCTGTTCTTGCTGTTCTTTTGATTCTATGGAATTCTTGGAAATTGGAGTTCAGGAAAGTTTAACTAACAATACCCAGTAGCCAGTCTGGCTCTCACAGGGGGAAGAGTTGCAGTTCAGCAACATCTGGAGAGTAATAGTCTCAACACCCCCCCCCACACACACACACAAATAAAACCAATATTAAATAGGATCCTTTCCCTTTCTGGGAGAAGCAGGGCAATCTGGTAATTCTCCCATTTCCACTCAGTCCATACTTGTTTCAAGATGTCAGCAGCGTACTTGAGGTTTTCAATAAAGGTGGCTTCCATCTCAGTTGACACAGCATCCCCTTTAGCACCTGTAGGAAATCGGCCAGCCATAAGATGGATCCTAAAAGCATAGAGCTGCATCAGTGCAGAAGAAAGCTCAGTCAACTGTTTCTTGTACAAACTAGCAGGGGTAGGAATGAGGGAAGTTGTGTCTTTTTGTACTTGGATCAAGATATCTCGGCTGCTGCTACAATGTGACTATAGTAAAAGCTCTTTTATTCCCAGTTTAATTATGCCCTAAGAAGCAATGATCCATGAAGTGCATTAAACAGTTAGCATATATCATTGCATGCGGACTTTCTGTGAGTGAATCCACTCCCTCTTGAATCATGTAATTCAGAACTATACAAGATGCAGTTAGTTTATTTAATGTAAGATCGCCTAGCTTCACTTAGATTGGCGCATAGATACCATGAACTGTACATACAAGCTCACTATAGGAAGATTAATGTACCTTTGGGCCATTTAACAAGCAAGTGGGACATATACAATTGGGTAAGAAAGACTGATTTTATCCCTTTTCACCATTTTCATTCCTTGCTTTACAGATGAAGAATAGGTACTAATCAACAATGCTATATAAGATTATGCTTGTGTAATCATATGTGGCAATGCTGATCAGAGGCTTTGCTTTGTAATGATTGGTATTCATTTTTCCAATCAATTAAAATAATATAAAAGGATGAAGCTATATGTGCTTCACTACTTTTTTTTCCTTCTCAAGCAGCAAAGAAAGAAGAAATATAGTGTGAAGAGCACTAAACTTGGGAATCTGTCATTATCAATGACAGATGCCATATATCCCTGTTCCCCAAATGGGATTTCTACTTATAAGTCATATGAGTACATATTTCCGGCTTTTCTATTAATACAAAACAGACAACTTAAAAGCCACCAGTGTGATACAGGGGAGGCTGAGCTGTGGAAGCCCACTTGCACCAATCTCTTCAGCCCAACTTATCTCACAATGTGGTAACTATGAGGAAAACCTGGAGGAAGAAATGGCAGGAAGTACATGAAATAAAAAGAATAGGCCTTTGCTTTTAATAAAACTACCAATAATCCTGCTGTCAGCCCTTCAAGACGGGCAGAGTCAAGAAACAGACGGGATAGGGATTCAGAATGCTCTTTATTGCTGTAGGGTAGAATCCAGAAACTTGAAAGCCTACCAGTGCGACTTTTCGCTTCATCCTATGTCAAGAAAAATCAAGGTGGGGTTATTTTCCCCAAGCATTTGAAGAAGGAGTTAGGTGGGCATTGGTGCTGCTGATGTGCTTTATTGTAGTTATTGTTTTAACCTTGGGCATTGCACCACTAATCGCTACTGACATGGTTACCGGTATATGTTGTTGTCCAGGTTTTCTTCTATCAATTTTGAAACTCAAGATATCTTGGTTCCTCTGGATCATTGCAGCTGCTGCAATTTATCCACCTTACAGCCTGTAATTACAGTCAACCTAAACTGAATTGCCTCCTTTAGATCATCCCTGTGATGTACTTAAAAGAGTGTCTTTCAAAATCCTTCAGAAGAATTGCATTGGACCATACACGAATACCGTACTTCTCTGTTAAACATTAAAGCAGCCCATCAATCTGAAAAAGATGCTTTGCTTAGGGAGTTGGCTCAGTGCAACTGTGGTACAGTCAACAATGGTTCACCCAATCCCATTATTTGAGTTTATGTGATATTCAGAAAACTACACGTGCTAGTTTGGCACAGCATGCTAGTCTAAAATGCAGTGGTAGTTCAGTGTGTTGTGGAAACATAGCCAATTACTTTAATCGGGTAATTTCCCTACTGCAGCCTTCTCAAAATGGTGCTATTGAGATTGGTAGCAATGTAATCCTGATAAATTCCAGTATCTTGGGAATATTTTTGCTGCATGTAAATTGGTACATGTGAAAAGAATCTGAATATTTTAATGGATTATAAACTGAAATGAGCCAACAGTGTGATGCAGTTTGAAAAAAAATGCATTCCTATGTTCACTATAAAAAGTAATTGTTTCTGCTAATTCTTAACTGGTCAAACAGAGTATTATATTCAGTAGTGGTCAACCTCATTTAATAAGGACATTGGAACTTGCCTGGTGAAAAGCTACCCAATTTAATAAAATGTCTGTAAATTTATGAGGAATGGATAGAAGCATTGGGAATCTTTACCTAGGACAACACTGCAGAGAAATACCACAGCTATCTCTTGAGCATCTGAAGGGCTGTCAGATTGAAGACAAGGTAACATTGCTCAGAGTTGTTCCAGAAAACAGATTTTTTTTTTTAAAAAAAAGGTTTAACCACTAGGAAGGAGATTGGGGTGAGACATAAAGAAAAAAAGTCTAAATCAAAAACTATTCAACAATGGAACAGATTGCCGCAAGGAATTGAACTTCCCTTCACTGGAAATGCATGAGCAGAGGCTGGATGTCTATTTATTAGTGGATTCCTGCTTTAGGTAGAGGATTCGCACTAGATGATCTCCAAGGTCTCTTCTTCCCTTTCCATTATGGGACATGGAAAGCTCCAGATTCCCCCTTCCCCCACTTCCAAGAAGCAAGATAAAAGCAAGTAAATCTGTCTCTTACAACATCCATCAAGGCTGCTGCCAGACTCAGTAAATAACAGACACATCCATTTATTCTGATTCTTTCCCAGTTAAAAAGAATACACTTTTGCTTGGATCTGGGAGGAGCAAGGCTGCACCTGCCTGTATCATTCCCTTCTAATGTGCCAGTGAGATTTATAAAAATTCCCTCTTCGATAACAGAGCATCAAGCCAAAAGGAAATGTACGATTGATTGTTTCCTGCATAGAAAAATATATTTTATAACAGACTATGGGAGAGATGTAAGAGAGAGTTTGCTGTAGTGGTAGGCTAGGAATCAGGAGACTGTGAGTTCTAGTCCCACATTGGGCACCAAACCAGCTGGGTGACCTTGGGTCAGTCACTCTCAGCCCTGGGAAGAGACAGGCAACTCCGTTGCTAAGCTATGTGCTCACTAAACAAAACATCACGTGACCACAGCGACCTTATGTCAGTAATTTCCAGCAGTCCCATTTGTGGTTGTTAAGTGCATTGTCACGTGACTACAACTTGCAACCTTCTGCCGGCTTCCCTATTGATTTTGCTTATTGGAAGCTGGCTGGAAGCTTACAAACGGCTATCATGGGGGGTTGTGGGATGCTGGGACCATCCGAAATGCAACCATCAGTCATAAGTCACTTTTTTCAGCACTGCCATAACTTTGAACAGTCGCTAAATAAATGGTTATTAAGTGATGACCACATATAAAGAAATTTTCCCAGACTTCCCCAACTGGACATCTTCTGAAAGTCCAGACTTAGTCATCATGCTCCCTGACAAAATATGGTGAGAGTATTATAGTAGCTAGTATTATGCGCCATGGTGGCGCAGTGGTTAGAGTGCAGCACTGCAGGCTACTTCTGCTGACTGCTGGCTACCTGCAATTTGGCAGTTCAAATCTCACCAGGCTCAAGGTTGACTCAGCCTTCCATCCTTCCGAGGTGGATAAAATGAGGACCCAGATTGTTGGGGGCAATATGCTGTCTGTGTAAACCACTTAGAGAGGGCTGTAAAGCAGTATATAAGGCTAAATGCTATTGCTATTGCTATTGTACATCTGGAGGGTATCCAGCTGGTAAAGGGACACATCTATCATTGGTTCAAGGTTTATCTTCATTATTACCTTGGACATTTCAGTTCTTTGGCATACTTCACAGCCAAAGCCACAGCTTCCCGGAATTCAGGCTGGCGTCCAGGCACTGCTCCTAAACCCATATCACCTTTCTCTTGGTTCCCTGGAAAAAAAAGACAGCACAAATTGATCTCTACATATTGGCAAGGACCATTGAGAAAAGAGTTCTGTGACGGGGCAAATTTATCAGCTTTTCCTCTGATCTGCCACTATTTTGAAGTGAGGGTTTTTTTTTTTTTTAGAAGACAGATGGTCAGCTAAAGTACAAATTCCAGACCCTTCAAAAAGCTTGGAGTATAAGTGGTATTGATCCATACAACAGAACTGGCAGATGTTTGTTTCCCAGTTGATGAAGCAAGTAACAAATGTGCTGGTGATTTCCTCCCCCCCCCCTTTTGTTTGACAACCCGGTGCCTTTAATAGCTGGGTGGCTTCACAAAGAAGGAACACTAAATTATTTTGGTTGCATGAGATGCAAAGCGAAGACCACCTCCAATTTTCGCCCGATCAACACGGGTGGCACAGGTCTACTACCCGCATTCTAAGGAGCCCACTGAGATTTCAGCCGCCGCTACCCAAAGTCGGGGAAGAGAAAGGGGAGATCGGGGGAGGCATCGGCAAGAGAGCAGGCGAAGTCTCCGAAAAGCAATTAACAAGGCCATCGGCTACCCGGCGGAGTATTGAGCAGGACCACCTCCAGCCCGTCCCGTTCTGCAGCCGCGCGCAGCTCCGGGGCGCCGGAGGCGTAAGGGAAGCCCAGCTCAACTGCTCGGAATCCGACCCGAGAAGCCGCCTCCATGCGCTGAACTAACGTCGGCTCCTCCTGGAAGAGCCAGGCCAGGTTCGCCGCAAAGCGCAGCGGGGCCATGGCACAGGCGGTGAAGCGGCGTCTGCGGCCCAGCGCACACTGAGCCCGGGAGGAGGAGTTTTCACTGTTCCGGGAAGGAGCAGCCGCAGCTGGGTGGAGGAATCGCGTGAGGTGTGGGGGGGCGGGGGGCTGTTTGTCTATGCGGGAATCTCGAGGCAGGTTCCTCGGTTGCTTCTCGGCGCAATGGGAGGCCGCGCACCACGGGTAATTGAGTCCAAGAGCTTCTTCCTCAGCTGCAAATCCTAGCGACAAGGCATTTTCCCTTCCCGGGAAGGACGGGGGGGGGGGGGAAAGACCTCGTTATTTAGTAAGTAATCTTCACTCTGCGTTCCTAAATCAATCTGCGCAGAGATGCCCCACACAACGTTTCACACAACTGAAACTGAACAACGAAGGACTTCAGCGTGTTCTGGCACCTCACTTGCGTTCTCGTGCGTTGTGCGACCACAGGAAATTCACCGCTAATTGAGTGAAGCCTGGGCAAGTCAGCTCTTAAATAGGGGTATTATACTGTAGGAAGAAATATCCTTCTGGGTTCAGTTCCAAGTGGGGAAAAAGACACTGGAAACACGGAGACTGCTTGGAAAAATGTTAACTATGGAAGAAATTAGAACAGTGGACAAACAAGGAAATGTGAGGGATAGGAATGGTTAATGTTAATGATCACATGGCTTGAGTTCTGAACAGAAAAGGGGGGGAAAAGACACAGGACTGCAACAGAATGGCTTGAATGGTGTAAAGAAATGGCTTGATTCCTGAACAAAAAGGAGAAAAGATACTGGAACGGAGTGCTCACAATGGTAATTGAATCACAGAATAGGGGAAAACACTGAAACGGGTGCTTGGAAAGAAAGTTTAATGGTGGATAGGAATAACTGGTGGATCTTCAGAGCCATGGAAACTGGAAAAGATGGAATGGAGGATCACGGGACCTGAGAAACACTGAAACGGGACTGCTTGAAAGATGGTTAATGGTGGATAGGATCACATGGCTTGAGTTCCTGAACAGAAAAGGGCCGAGACCCAGGGTTTTATACTCTCTCTGGCTTTGAACTTCCTGGGGCCCAGAAAGAGTATCCTGATTGGTTGTCAGACTCCCAGGGGGTGGGGGTCTTAGCTAGCCTTGCTGGCTGATGTAATCTTCCCAGGTGCCATGTGGTGAGTTTCTGTTGTTAGATGGGCCCTATTGTGTTGCAGATGTCCTTTGACAAAGGATTGGGTTTCTGCCTCTGGCCCATTAACAAAGGGTCTGGGGGCAGGAAGGTGGGAGCTGCTTTGTCTTTAAAACGTGCTTCTCCGTTTCTCATCCAGGGAAACATAATATTCTGCCTTTTTAATATTTCCCAAAATATTTCATTCTTCTAGGAAAGGGGTGGGTGCTAACTTCCTACAATACCAACCCCAGACAAAAGCTAGAATCCCACGGTTGGCTGAGGTCAGTTATAGGTTGTTGAATCGACCTCCTTGCTCATTTCAGAAATTCAAATGGAAGCATCCGGAGTAGAGTCTGTGGCTATTTAGCCTCTACTTGAACACAGGGATCACTTCTCGGAATAATTAGCTGCTTTTCTCAGACTATTTATAATAGGAGGATTTTTTTTTTCTGGATTCAATTGATTTCTGCCACCTGATACCATCTTAAAGCCATTTTTCCATGTGCTGCATTCTGGAAAAATAGATAAGAGCTTGACTTCCTTCCATGTGACCTTTTAGATGCTTAAAAAGTGCTATTAGACTTCCTTTGCCAGTGACCACAGCAATCTGCCTGGATGCTGTTTAGCCTTGTTGGTCATAGATAATGGGCACTCATTCTGTCAGAGCTCAGGGGTTACTTGAATAGAATAGAGCTGGAAGGGACCTTGGAGGTCTTCTAGTCCAGCCCCCTTCTCAAGCAGGAGAACCTATACAATCTCAGACAAGTGACTGTCCAGTCTCTTTTTAAAAACCTCCAATGATGGAGTACCCACGATATCTGAAGGCAAGCTGTTCCGTTGGTTAATTGTCCTTACTGTTAGGAAGTTTCTCCTTAATTCCAGGTTGCTTCTCTCTTTGATCAGTTTCCAACCATTATTTCTTGTCCTCTTCTGTGGTGCTGTATTTTTCTCCCATTGTCTTCTGGGGACCATTCTCCATGGTCTTTGCATCTTCCTGCTTGTTCTGGTTTTCATTTCACTTCATATGTTGCTTCTCCAATGGAGGAGCTGGTCCTGCTTTACAGGGATGCAAATAACTTTTGACAGGGTGAGCTCCCATCAGTTGCCTCAGCTTCCGCCAACCTAGCAGTTTGAAAGCATGCTACATGCAAGTAGATAAATAGGTACCATTTCGGTGAGAAAATAATGGTGCTTCATGTGGAACTACAAATCCAACCAATGCTGGACCTGCCCGAATGCCACACTCGAAGGTGAGATGACATCAGTCGTGGGAAAAAAGGCCAGATGTGTCAACCGAATGGACTAGCATCCTTGGGCAGCCAAACCCTGGCTGTAATATAACTCTGTATTAACACTGTAGTCTCCTGGCTAATGTACCGTTGCCATAGGCTAAATAAAATAAGTGTGCAGCTTATATGTTATATTAAAGGTGGAAAAAATACTATCTTGGACTAATTTTTTTTACATATCAAAAACCTGGCATTTTATCAGGAATGTGTAGATTTTTTATATCAAGTGAATAGAAGCATGTGAAAGATGCAAAAAAGACCAAAATAATCAAAACAAGATCAAAACAATGCAGAATAAACAAAACAAAAATGGGGCGCCACAATCACTGTGTTTCCAAAGCCTACAACAGCCAGGTCTTCAATAATTTCCTGAATGATATAAGGCTGGAACCACACAATCTCTGGGGGAGGGGCGGATCATTCCAGAGGGCAGGAATTGCATGAGATGATGCATGTTTCCTTGATCCCGCAAGATGAATGCTTGATTGATAGAATCGGAGTGCACGTATCCTGGTGGACCAAACTCGACTGGCAGAGACAATGTGGTCCCTATGTTCATAACTCTGAAATCTCCCAACCAGCTACAGTCCAGATGTTTTCCCCTGCAACCCTTATTTCTACCAAATATGCACACGTGATTAATGAATAATTGAGTGGTAGTATTGTAGCCTAGCACGTCTGGAGTGTGTCGGGTATGAAAAGTTATACTAAAACCTATCTAAAATCTATTCTGAGACCAATCAGAGATGTTTAAGAGCAACTTTTGTACCTCAGAATACAATTTCAAGCAGAAAGGAAGTATGGATTAGGATAAAGAGCCCTGCATACATCATGTATGTAAAACCAACCAAAAGGGAAAATAAATGCCAATTTTCTTTTACAAGATGTTGCAGCTCTTCGTGCCCCCATCTTGCTTGCCCTCTTCCCCATCTTTTCTTAAGTATTTACGGAAATCAAATACTTTTAAGAGACCAAATCGAAGGCTTTTTGCTCAGTTTCGTGCACATACACAGACTACGCACTTTCCTGTCTCTGCAGGTTGCCGTTCTCCGCTGCTCTGCGGCACTGCTAGCGCTAGCCTCTGCTTAGCATTATGCACACGACTCCTCTGTGGCCTGATGCATGCTGTTTGTTTGCTTTGAAGTGATGTATAATCTGCGCTGATAATTAAAGAACGTCATTCCAGGGTTAGTATTTATTGATACCAATTTAACTCGCCTCATACATCAAGCTCCAACCATCCATTGAAATCCCTGGTGAATTGCTCCATTCCAAGAGACCTTGTTTTCATTACCTAAATGACAGGACAGGCTTTGGGGGCATTGGCTCTTGTTCTCTGCCTGCATAACAGCCACTTTTACTTCCTTCATTGAAGGTTTGGGTAGAAAGGCTGCAGTTCAAATTCAAATGGGACTGGGACAAGAGTGAGGCTTTGTTATTACAGTGTAGCATATATTGGCACGTCTGTAAGATTATGATTTGAAAATCAGAACATGCCATTTTTAGAGATTAGGAGGCATCTAGACTAAAATTTTCTAAGGTAATGTCTGCTAAGTCTATGTATCTGCCAACCCTGGCGATCATAGAGGACCAGTTTTTGCCAGTTGAACTAGGAATTCTCAGATCTGTTTTTTTGGACTAACTCAGAACTGGCCAAGAATTCATAGTTCTACTGGCAAAAAACAGTTGCAGCATGTAATTGCCCTTAAACTAGACTGCCACAGTTTTGCAGACTTCTCCCACCCCATGCTTCCAGCTGGATCTTATGCAGATCTTACGCACTAATTAATTGGACAACAATCTGAGCAGCAAGCTTAGATGGCACCTAATTCTGCTGGCCACAGGGCATCTACAATGGATTGATGATAAGTGTGGACCATTTGAAGCTCAATATCCGGTGTGGTGTCTGATGTTCTTTTCTGTTACTCTGATTGTTATCATTGTTTGCTACTGTGATTATCAAAGAAGAGAAAACATAATTCATGAAATTATTGTGTCGACTTTTATTTATTTATTCGGCCGCTGCAGTTTTAAAACCCAGGGGGCTCTTGAATAGCAAAAGGGGGCAAAACACCGGTCTTCAATATAAGGCCGGTTGTGTTTATCTAGTAGCTGATAACCTGTAGCCAACCTTATCACACAAGTTTAAGTGGAGTTGGATTTAGTTAGTATTTGGCTAGAAGAGCACCTCAATTCCCAAAGTTAGCTCCCCCCCCATCCCAAATCCAAAATGAAGGCAGCACTGACCATTAGCATTCAGTTGCAAAGGAATCTTTCTGGATTTATACACAAAGTCACCAGGTCAACTTCAAACTACAGAAGTTTTGCTTCTTATTTACCCATAGCCACATCTTTCTGTTTTCTCCAGAATGACATACACAATTTAAAATAGGCAACAAATATACCACCTTTCTGGGTTAGATCAAAAGTCTAGCATCTTTGTTTTTCAAAGTACAAAACAGCATTTCCTATAGGCTTTAATTAAAAATATTTTTTTATTGTTTTCATACCCAGCAATTAGAAATATTAAAAGAAAAAAGGAGAAGAAGAATACAAAATAATTATCATACCTATAATAACTCAAATTTTAAACAGAACATGAAACTTCAGTCACAAAAAATAATATTGATGGATCTGTCAATTTTGCCATAAAGAGACTAATTCAAAAGTAAAGAATAAACCCAATACATCAATCTAAAATGATAAATCAGGGCTGCAATACTCTTTCCATAGTAACTGAATGACCTTTACAGTATTGCCACATTCCACTCTCAACACATAGCTCCACATATTGAAAACTGTACTTTCTAATTTCTGATGAAATAATTCAAAATCGCATTCACAAATGTTTAAAATTACCATTC